CCCGCGAGTACGTCGTAGACCATCAAGAGTTCGCGGTGCAAGCCTCAAGATTGCTGCGCTTTGCCCTAGAGAGCTACAAAACCAGCATGGATGAGATCTCATCCTCAGCCATGGTGAAACTGGTCTTGGAAACCTTCATCGAAGCGTGCCTGCATGATGATCGAGTTTGGACCTATGTCGATGCCGAAGCCGGCTTCAAGGACTTGATCATCACTGCTTTCGTCCAAGATCCTCGAGTCGAGGTGCGACATTCACTCCTTGAGGTTGTGGTTGGTTTGACTGGTGCTGTTGGAACAAAGCTATACCTGAAAATCAACAATCCACGAGCACCACGATCTCGCTTCCCACCTGCTTCCATTGAAACCTGCCTCTCTCATTTGTGGACCGCCCTAGCGGACGTCTTGCCTCCCGCCTGTTTGCAGCCTGAGCGGTGCGCCGAAGTCTGCGAGACAATGCTTGCCATCCTAAGAAGAATAGGCAAGTCTTTTCCTGTTGAGACCCTCAATCAATATTTTGACCGGTGGATCTCCATTCTCCTGAGACACGAGCACGTCGAGATTGTTGGTCAACCCCTAAGAGATCATGTGGTTGCCTGTCTCACCAAGTTGCTCCTCGAAAGTTGCAAACTACTGAAGGTGTCAAATGCACTTCCTGCTGGCAATCAGATCATCGAGCAGATCATTACGCTGTTCTTATTTCCACCCCTCTCTGACAATGGGGCCGGGATGGACGAGAACTCGAGATTACCGGTCTTGGATAGTACCGTACGGGAAAACCTTTACAATCTCATTCTTGCTCTATGTCAAGGCCCACGAGAGCTCGCGACAGTGGTCACCAAGTTGGGGGACGATCTACTACCCCCGGACTTTTTTGAACCCATTTATTCACATGATCGCCAGAATCTCCGCACAGAAGTTGGCTACGCCGGGTTACGAAATCTTTCGAACACGTGCTACCTCAACTCGCTGTTTTCCCAACTCTTCATGAACGTGCAATTCCGAGAGTTCTTTTTGAACATGCTGGGCTCAGATGAGTCGAAACAGAAACTTGTCCTGGAACTCGCAAAAGTCTTTGCATATATGCAAAATTCCTATGAAAAGTCCATTGACCCTTCGATAGCGGTTGAAGCAATTACGACATATGAAGGCGAGCAAATTGATGTCTCGGTGCAGATGGATGTAGATGAGTTTTTCAACTTGCTCTTTGATCGCCTCGAGAGTCAGATTGATCCTTGTGCCAGGGCGGCATTCAGGTCGATGTACGGGGGGCAGTTGGTTCAGCAAGTCAAATCGAAGGAGTGTGACCATATCTCAGAGCGACTGGAGCCTTTTTCTGCTGTCCAAGTAGAGATCAAGGGAAAAGCACGTCTAGAAGACAGCCTCCGTGCCTACGTCGAAGGAGAAGTTCTTCAGGGCGAAAACAAATATTCCTGCACATCTTGCGGGCGTCACGTGGATGCTGTCAAGCGTGCCTGCCTGAAAGACGTGCCCGACAATCTGATATTCAACCTCAAGCGTTTCGATTACGACATCATGACCGGGATGCGAACAAAGGTTAACGACGAGTTCCAGTTCCCCGACACGCTCGATATTGCGCCGTATACTCTCGCAAGGCTTAGTGATGAGCAACAAACGGGAGACCCAGACTACTTTCAGCTCACTGGTGTCATCGTCCACTCTGGTACAGCAGACTCTGGTCATTACTATTCGTTTATCCGCCAGCGTCCGTCAGTAAAACCTGTCCACGATTCCTGGGTGCAGTTCAATGACCAAGACGTTGGCGTCTTCGACACCAACCAGATGCGTGACAACTGCTTTGGAGGCACTTCAGATACTGGCTTTTATCATCTTCCGAAGTTCTACAGCGCTTACATGCTGTTCTACCAGAGGACATCGAGCATTCGCAAAGTCGAGGAGCAGTATCGTGCGCACGATGTTATAAACCCTGTACGCATTCCGTTGCCGCATCGACTAGAGCAACACATAGCTCAACAAAATGAGCTTTTCCTGCGGTCTTACTGCGCACAAGACGCTTCGCATGCTCAATTCGTTCAGAAACTACTTGAACGTATGCCGCAGGGCGTGGACAAATGCAGTGAAGATCACACACTCGAAACGGCTGTGATCGAAATGGTCCTGGACTATGTACGCTCGGTATCGTCTCGCTTCAAAGAACAGCCATCATTCGAAGAGACCATTTGCGTCCTTCTCACTTATACGCAACAGTGCCAAGAGTGTGCAAGAACAATAGCTCACTGGTTTCAAAGCACCAGGGTACTGGAAGACGTGGTCGTCCGCAGCCCTTATCAGACAGTCCGGAAGTCTTTTGCGAACCTATTCTGCGTCGTTTTTACTCGACTTCATTCACTAAAGAACGAGATGGAGTCCGGTCAGGCATATGAAAAGTTGACGGCGGAGTATGGCACATGGCTCCAGAACTGTCTCGGCCAGTTATCTCAATTGTGGGACGTGGTAACCAAAGCAGGTCGTTGTTGGCCAGACTATTTTGGCCTCTTGTACACCATCCAACGATTGGGTGACGAGGAAACCATCTGGATTCTGGAAGAAGATTTTCTGGAAAAATGTATCGACATAATCATGATGCACCTGAATAATCCGGCCGAGTTCCCCCTGTCCAGAAAGCTCAAGGCGCGATACACAATGTATTTGAGTGCTCGAGAAAGGAATCGGCCCTTCAACCACCCGGTGCTCATCCGCTTCTTTGTGAGCCTCCTCTTGCGAATTGACTTCCACCTGCCCGCAGAGGGCGAGTATCGCCACTATGACAAGAAGATTGGTTTGACTGGCCCAGAAATTGAACTTCTGGGGTTGAACAAGATCCCCCCCAATTTGGAATGGCTCAGGCGTTTGATCGCAGGACGGCAAAATCCGGCAACGGTGGACAATCTCATCGAATTGTTCTCTGCAGACCGACGACTCGCTGGTGCACTCTCCAACCTTCTCGTGAACGGACTCAATGATCGTAGTATCAACACCGCCAGCAGCTTCCTCCGATCAGTCCTAACCTTCTGCGAGTATTGTCGCTCAGAGAATCAGATATTCGACCTCGTGCAACCCGCGCTGGAAAGTATCGCAACGGTAGGCGTTGAGTATGGCCGGGAGTATTTCGAGTTTGTCGACGCCTTGTTGAAGGTGGAAAACGTCCACCTCAGCTTCCCTGTTGGTTTCCTAGAGGACCTAGTACTGCAGACGGTGCATCAATGGGCACCGACGTTTCTGCTCGCGCCCAATGAAGGTCAATTCAACATCCGACTCGCAACCGTGGACTTGCTCAGACGCATCCTGTTCAACCCTCTACAAGAGACCGGGCTTCAAGATCCCCGACTCTACTCAACACTTGTCACGGCTGTGCAGGAGTTGGCGTCTAGTTGTTCCAACTTCGTGCAGACCACCTTCTTAAATCCTCGTAGCCGGGAGAGCAGCACGCTCCAGCCCGGCCAGGTCAGCCAATTGATCGATGTGGTGGAGCATTGTTTACAATACTTCGAACTGGACAACCCGATCCAGGAGGAGAAGATGAGCGAAATCCAGAACACCATGCTCGCATTGAGAACCAAAGCTGAGACGGCGGTCGAAACTCTGAGCTCGGCTGATTGGCAGGACAACAGCAGTGAACTGGCCGAATTGAGTGCTGAGGATTACGAAGATCCGCTTAGTCCGTGAGATCATTCGCACAAAACACCGTTGGGCATGCGATACTGCTAAAGGACAAGGAGCATTGAACCAGGCGCAACTTTCGGCGTCAATGATTGGAAGAATTTCTTTCAGGTACTTTGGGCATGCAGGGGAGGGCGTTGATGGATTGATCTGGGATATCGAAAGGTATTATGCTTTACGACATCCAGCAGACAGGTTCCCAATGACGAAAGACGAAGGATAATGAACAATGCGAGCTTTCCATGTTCGAGGAATTTCAATGGCGAAACGTGCAAAATGGTGAATGTGGACATGGGAGGCGTAGTTGCTGTGGGCCCTTTCTTTGCGGTCAGTCTTTTATGGTCTTCTGTTCCGGAGATGGGAGGGAGTCTCTTACAGTTCAAAACAAAACGAAGGTGATTCAATTCAGACTTCTGGCACTCTGCGAAGATGAGTCTGGCTCGGAGGCAGCAAGGGCAGGCAAGGGTCAATTGGTGTCCCCGATTCGAATGTATGTTGCTGCAACAAAGGGTCTTTTGGATCATATCAGCTGATAGAGAATTGTGAGAGCTCGTTGAGACGCGAACGAATATGAGAAGCAAGCAACAGACCTGGTTCTTCATGCCCAGGAATCCGCGGGAGTCAAAAGGGGGTTGCTCACCTGAGAGCGCAATCCAGCCCTTGCCTTTTCAATCCAAGACAGGCGGGAAAGGAAGGGTGGCATTCAGGAATTCGGGTTCCCTTGTACTGTCATGGCTCTAATGAGATTAAATGAATTACAACGATCAAGACAAAGTGTGTCTGATTTTCGGTATCTGGTTCGCCACCATGTCGCCCATCTGTTCTTGGGTCTGGGGTATGTAAGGAACCAACTGTGTAGCGCTGGCGTGGCCATGTCCATGTCCATTTCATCGGAGAAAAGAAGCCAGTCAGTTTTGACGCGCTCTTGGATGCAATGCTATGCTACACTCTGCGCCTCACTCCCAACACCCCACGCTTGACGCTTGAGGCATGAAAATATACAGAGACAGAGAGACAGACAGACAGACAGACAGCTGAGATGCAGATGTAGGTCGGTAGATGATGCAACAAGCACCTGCGCGGACAATTTGTTCTCGCCCCGAACTTTTGCCAATCCAATCAAGCACTGCACAACACGCCGGCCACGTCACTTTCGTGGGAAGGATGGAGGGAGAAATGAGGAAATAGCAAAGGGGGCAAGAAAGGAGGAACGCCAACGAGTGCGAATGCGAAAAGTCGAGTAGATTTCCGAGTAGATGCCTTCTCCTCTGCCTCGGGCGCGCTCTTTTTGTTTGGGTGGTATCCGTCCACAATGCTCGTGTCTTACAGCGTCTTGACCCTCATCCATTCGCCTGTGCCGACTCCAAGGTTCAAGCCGTTGAGCGCCCACCATTCTCGGACCTCGCCTTCGCCGCCGCCGCCGACGGCGTCCTCCATGGCCTCCTCGATGTCGCACGTCTTGTACTCGACTCTCAGGCCGGTCTTGCGACTAACGTCCTTCCACCACTGCAGGACGCCAGCGTGGCCGTTCTTCGTGGCCCCGACGAGGACCTGGTTGTCGAAAATCATCTTGCTCCCCTTGAAGCGGTGCCACATCTCCAGCACGGGGACGTGGCCGTGTTGAGACGCAAGTCGGGCGACGCCGTCTTCGTGCGCGTACGGAATGCCCGAGGTTTCCCACCACTCGATCGAGTTCGTCCGACCGCTCTGCGCCGCCAACAGGATGCTCTTGCCGACTTTTAGCGGCATCTCGCGATCTGTGCCTGCCATTTTCTGGGAGTTCTCCTTCCACCATTCGAGCACCTCTACGTGGCCTTTGGCACTCGCCGATTCCAAGGCCTTTTCCGTGTATGTGAGTTTCAAGCCCGAATTGAGCCACCAATCCAATACCTCCACGAAGCCGGCGCGGGAGGCCCCGTCCAAGGCCTCAGGTCCGTATTCCTTCTTGATAACGGCGGGACAATCCTTCCACCATTGCAAGATGGTGGGGGAATTGTAGATCAAGGATGCCTTGTGCGGGAGAAGGGCCACGCCAAAGGAGGTCCAGAAGATGTCCTTTTGATGGAGAGCCAAGTACGTGAGCAGGTCGGTCATGGAGAAGCGGAAGATGAGCCTTGTCGCGATCAGGGACAAGGTGGTTGGAGGGTTGGAGGCGGTGTTTGTGGTGAAGTATTTTTGGACTTGGGGCACAGGTTTGGTGAGGATGGTGTATTCAAGCGAGACAGACTTGGACGAGCCTGGCTTGGGGACAAGCGGCTCCCATTCGTGCGGCACTGGGAGGTGTGTGTAGATTCCCAGCGCGGTGGCGAGTTCCCAGTCGGCGAGGTGGTCCAGAATGATGGTCCAGATCTCGTTGGGCAGCCGGGGTTTGGAAGACGTGGTTTTGGAGAGCGGGAAGTCTGGGATCGATGGGTTTGTCTTGAGATGAGCCGTCCGCAGAACTGACTGCGCTTCACTCTCAATTGCCTCGATCATCTCTGTGGGACCAGCCCATTGCCATCGGAATACTGGGTTATGGTCTGTCTCGACAGAAATTGTTTCCGACAGCGCAGGATCCTCCAAGTAGTCGAAAATGGCAGGAGACAGAACACGGACCCAGTCCCACTTCCGCCGCAGTTCCGACAACTGCCTGTTCCAGATGGGGTGTCTGAATTGATCTCTGCTCAACTCGGGTAACAGGTCAATTCGCTTTGACACATCCCAGCACCTCAAAACATGGAGGAGGACGTCGGTAGTGAAGCCACTCAACATTAAGCAAATCATCCCGGCATCGATGGCCAGGAACATGAAATCGGCCCATCGGGCCAGCCGGTGGCCCAACATCATGACTTCATTGCGGTGCGGATCTTGGGGCTTGTTCTCTATCCAGTCGACGTGGTCCAGGCTGACGCCCGAGGCCATGTGTTGTTGAAAGTCGGATTTGGAGACTTCCGAAATGACTCGGAGGTTGAGGTGAGGATTGTGGAGGAGGTAGGGGAGCAACTCAGGCCCTATTCTTTGGCTCACATAGAGCAGAGCGTTGACCCGCCGTCGAATCGCGCGGGACTGCGCTCGACGTTCCATCTTTTCAAGAGGGTCTGGTTTCGAGGGATATGCCCCAGGGGCCAACGGAAATAAGGGAGGTATTGAGAGATGTTATAAGTCGGGTGTTCTGAGCATTGGTGGCGAAATTTGGTTATCGGGAGGGAGGCGGTGGGAGCGAGGCGATAAGCGCGAGATGCGGCCGGGGAGATGCGGAAGATTTCGCTGTAGAGGGGTCTTGAGGCGGACGAAGAGTGTTCCTGTCCGGGCTGCAGAGCTGGGAGGGGAGGAGAAGAGGAAGAAGAAGAAGAAGAAGAAGAAGAAGAAGAAGAAGAAGCAATTCTGGTGGTATTCCAGACGTGGTGGTACAAGGAGAGGAAAAGTCAATGACATGGTAATATAATATGGGAATATTCAAGTATCCGGCAGAGGGGAAACCCAAGAAATGGCCGATCAGACGATACATAGCCAGTACTCGGTACTACCCAGTAATGTGTGTGTGACCGCATAATTGGAGCCATGTGGCAGGCTGCGGGCCTCTTGATAGGCGGCTGCAATCTCCATGCTTACTGTTGGGTGGTTAAAGGTGGTTAAAGGTGGTCAAAGGTGGCCAAAGGTGGCCCTTCTTGCCCTTGGTCTTGTTCCTGTTATGTAAGTTGCCCGCACTGCGGACCCCTCTGCAGCCCCTGCAGCCTCTGCAGCCTCTGTACCCCTCGACCACTCGACCACTCCACCACCACCACCACCACCACCACCACCAATACCACTACCATCAGCCATCCCAGCCATCATCCCCATCCACCATCAACAAATTAGCAAGATCCCCATCCCCTCAGCCTGATGGACGCACCAAGGCAGCATCCACCCCCCTTCTCCCCGTGCCCGTGTGACTCAGTCTTCACACTGACGCCTGCGATCGATAGCATATAAAGAGACCACAAAGCCCTCAACGCCGAGAGGAATCCCGTCATCTCCACTGCCCCCCCCCACAAAACATCTTGCTGCCACCGACATGCCTCTAACCGACGTAGCTTCCTTTGTGCAACACCTCCAGTCGTCCAGACGCATTGTTGCCTTGTTGGGGGCTGGCCTGTCTGCCTCCAGTGGTTTGCCTACATTCCGTGGCGCTGGAGGTCTATGGCGCACCTACGATGCCACCATGCTGGCCACCCCCGAGGCCTTTGAAGAAGATCCTGGTCTATCCTGGCAATTCTATTCTTACCGCCGGCACATGGCTCTCAATGCCAAACCAAACCGAGCCCACCTTGCCCTGGCAGAGTTAGCCCGTCGCAATCCCAATTTCATCACCCTCAGCCAGAACGTCGACGGTCTCAGCCCCCGCGCCGGTCACCCTGCTGCCCAACTCAAACTACTCCACGGTAATCTGTTTGATGTCAAGTGCTGGGACGAAGACGGCTGTGGTTATCTTCGCAAAAATGATTTCACCGACCCCATCGTCCCAGCTCTGGCCATTCCTCCGGAAGCTGTTGACTCGCAGCTCAAGGCCGCCATCGAGCAGAAGAAGAAACACGCGTTGATTCGAGGAGCTGACATCTCAGATATCGATGTGGAGATCCCCGACCTCAAACGCGAAGATCTTCCGCAATGTCCGTCCTGCAAGAAGAATCTGCTTCGTCCGGGAGTGGTGTGGTTCGGCGAGTCCCTGCCCCGAGACGTGATAAGCGACGTGAACGAATACTTCGAGCGGCCTGAGAAGATCGACCTCATGCTGGTGATTGGTACAAGCGCCCAAGTATACCCAGCTGCCGGTTACACGAACCTGGCCAGGGCAAAGGGTGCTCGAGTTGCAGTCATCAACATGGACCGCAGCGATGCAAGAGAGCTCACAAAGGACGATTGGTTCTTTGAGGGAGATGCAGCTATCGTTGTGCCCGAGATTCTAAAGAGCGTAGTTGGGGAGATAGGGGAGTTCGAGGAAACGAATCGACCAGTACTATGAGGCCTAGAGGTCAAGCCAGCGAGTTAGACGTCGACGGTACGAGCCACGGGTGACTCAGCATCCGATACAAAAGACAGAAAACTACGAACAAGAAATGTTTCACTATGACACCGTGTTCAGCATGACCAAGAGCACCTGGTCCTTGCAGGCAGGATATCTGCCGGCTTAGCGGCTCGAGTCCTATTTGGTCGGCGAATTGCGGCGCAACACACAAATAGGATGTCATGAAAGACAAACGCTCTATTCTAGTGTCGGCTTGGACCCAGCTGCTCTTGGCGGTCCTTTTGATGCTTTGTGGATCATCCGTGCTGATGGTGCGATTTCGAGGGCTGGGGGCCAAAATCATCCACCTCAAACGCCACACCCACCGCTCTTCAGTCAAAGGAGGAACCCGTCCAACCATCCCTTGGACTCTCAGAGCCCTAAGGCTGAGAATGGGCGACTCCCTTCAGTGTGCCAATCAAAGCTCGAAGGTGCCTGTCCAACATAGACATGCTTTCTTCAGGCAGCCTTCTACTTCATCTCATTCGCTCTCGCCGACCACGAGGCAACCAGCAGCCACCTGTGACTATGCTACAAGTCGTCCTAGATATTATGGATCTGGACGTGTGGCCAGCGTTTTCGCACACTGCATGCTCTACCACGAAACCAAACGATGACTCCTGGTCATGCTAGAGCTTTTGGTTGCATGTTGTATCTTTCAGAGCCAAGCCACGGCTCGAAAAGCAACATCTCTTCACGGTAAGTACCATATTATCTCTTCTCGCCCTCATGCTCGTGCTCAATCCAAGATCTGGACTGCCAGTCAGGATATCTATCTGGCCAAAGCAGCATGAACCGCCCTTGTCCCTGCGGATCTTCAATTTCCCACCATGGCTTCCACGAATCCTTTCTGGTCATTTGTCACTCCCCTCACAGACAACACGCCGCATGCACTCTCTGGGCGTCTGAGCGACATCCTAACTCATGGCAACCACATACGGGGACCTTCTAACGATGATGCTCGAAGCTATACACAAACGACACCCGACTCGGCTTGGTCACAGGCGTCGTTCCAGGACGTTGCCTTCACCTTCGATACGTCCCAGGGCAAGAATGTGGCAAGCTTGAAAGACGCAGCCTCCATCCGGTCCGGCGATTGGCCCTTGACCGAAAAGTACTATTCTGTCTCTTCTGTACCCCATGATCTGAGATGTCCAAAATGGACGCTCTGGAAAACCATCCTCCTCCCCACCTCGGCTATCATCCTTCCTATGGCCTTCCTTGTCGCTGGGCTACTAGCGTTGATCTTCGGCTACAGAGTCAGATCTGAGGACAGCTTATTTGCGCAAGTGTCGAACTCCCACGTCTTGAGTGATCATGCCGTTGTACTAGTCGATTATTCAGCTACCCGGATCGCGTTTGTCGCTTCGTGGGCGTCGACTCTGGCACCTCTTCTTGCTGGCTTCATCATGAGCCTGTCAAGTTTCCAGTCTGCCCTCCTCATATATCTCTCCTCAACACGCTCTGAACAACAAGACCTCCCAACTCCCTATCAATACAGTCTGCTCGTCGGCCTTTGCTTGGCCTCAATGGGCAGACTGAGGAGATACTTCTCCTACGCGAAAGAAGATGGAATAATCATCCCTCCGGCCCTTCGGCGAGCTGCACGGACTTTGACACTAACATTTGTCCTTGCTTGTGTTGTCTTTGGCGCTGATACGGCTCTTCACTACACAACTTCAACCATCAACTTCGACCGTATCTCGGTCTCGTCCGAAGCTCATGCTTATGGGTACGGGTTATCGTCAGCATGTCTCGCCCTCAACCGCAGCGACAACTTTGGCCTGCCATGCTCCCGTAATGGAATTCTCGCCGGGACGGATTACAATGCCTACGTTTCAGGCCAGAATGAGATCTTTTATCTTCAACACGGCACATCCAACGTCAGTGAAGTTCGTCTCGTCGACACGCCATCATACGAGCCATCAAACGACACATCGTCAGGGGCTGCGAAGGTCGCCCTTGTCATCCCCCAAAGCACACATTTGTCTCCCTTCCGTGACTTCCAGGCCCATTCCACCGGCGTAATCACGACCTGCGAACCCATTAGCGCCCTCTGCAACTGGACAAGCGGCGGTCCAGGAGATTACTACAGCCAATTCAACTGCAGCGAGAATTTTTGGGGGATACTAGGAAAGGCCCCCAACGTGAGCGACACAGGCATGCTCATTGATGACAGCTCGGTGCCACCATTGGGATTCAAACGTGGCGCAGCCTTACAATACGCATTTTTCATGGACAAGGGACTGAGCATCCCCTACGACACAGCCGGGGATCTTGGCCCCTTTATACAGGACTCGGATCTTATCAACCCAGTATATATGGGAGTTGCTGCACGTTTTCAAGACACAGCCCAGCGCGCCGGTGTGAACATGTCTTCAGATCCAGGGGTCTACCAGGGCCCTACGCCGTACATCGACTTCACACTGCGATGCCAGTACACCACGTACCTGGTCGACTACAACTGGGTCAACTCTTCGGCTCAAGTAAACACGCTTACCCCTTCGCCAAACGGCACGATTGCGGAGATCTTCCATGGATACAACATTTACGGGAGCTACGACAGCTTCGACAACGACCTTCAGGACTTCATCCTCGAGGCAGCGCTGCAATCCGACCCGCAACAGCTTGCCGATGCTTTCGCAAACAGCTATTCATCGCGCGTGATGAACGTGATTGGCCCATTCCTCTCGTCGCGCACCAACCTGCAAGAACAAACGCGCACTCCATTACTCGTGGCGAAAGTCCCGAAGGTGCCACTGGCAATCCTCGTTGCGGGGTGTCTGTGCTATGTCGTCTTCGGCGTGGTAAGTGCGGTATTGGCATATAACGCTCTGAGGACGGTGGATGTGCGAGATCTGGCGTTTCGATTCAGCCTGCCAGCGCTGGGCCTACATGCTTTTCGAGACGATAATACAGAGAGGGAAGCCGTAGATATTGACAAGATTGGCAAAAGGGGCGGCGGGTTCGAAGAGGAGCGCAGGGTATTCAACGAGACGAGAATAAAGGGAGAATCGATGAGGGTCGCGGTCGAGGGCGAGCCGAGGACCGGATTCATGTTGAAGAGCCTGGTGTGACCCCAGCTCTCAGTATGGCTTGCGCTTCCTTCGCAAGGCAAGGCATGACGTTCACACATAGACGGACCAGAGGTCTTGCTGGCAAGCCTCTCTCGGCTCTTTCAGTGTTTGTGACAAGAGACATGAAGCGGCGGAACCTGTGCATGAGATGACATTTCTCCCTCGATTTTAGAATCACATTGGTTTTTGCGAAACCCGTGTGTTTTAGATTATGTGTTTGTATAGATCGGTGCTCCGTATTGGATGAAAGATGAAAGAGGAGAATAGTAGTGGTGCCTAGGTAATTCATAGCTCTTCCATCCACCCCCTTTCCACATGTTTGATGTCTCCCACATATGTGACCAGCCAGCCAGCTAGTTAGCCAATCAGTGAGGTAGGTAGGTTTCTCGACTTCCGCTTCCATTCATTCATTCATTCATTGATTCATTCCTTGGTCTATAGTCCGGTCATCTAATCGTGGCCTCGCAAACTGACTCATTTGTTGCAATCATCGGTTGCATTCATGCCTGTGAGCACAGGGAGGCCTTCTTCCAGGGGAGTCAGGAAGTCCTTGTTCACGTTCACTGCTCCGCCCCCGGCTCCAGCTCCGACTCCAATCCTGTTCATGAAGCCCATCCCGAGCAAGATCTGCTCCTCTTCCAGCAAGCGCGATCCGTCAATGACTACGAACGTCTGGGCCAGCCCCTGCTTCGCGTCCTTGGGCCCGAGCGCGACGCCGAGCGTGATCTCGAACGTCTTGGCGTCCTCGCCGTACGTGATCTCGCTGATCCTTCCCAGCCCACGCACGAGGTTCATGGTGATGAAGCTGTCAAAGACTGTCAGGTTGATGGCCGCCAGCACCGAGACTGGGTCCCCGGACGCAGTCTCGGTGACCATCGCGAGGACGTCGTGCGCCTTCTTGGGCACCTCGGCAACGCGGGAGTCGGAGCCCGGCGTGGTGCAGCAGATTGCTTGGATATATGCTGGGCAGGTTGGGGCGCAGTAGCACGGGCAACCTAGTGGGCGATTTGGGTGGCCCCAGAAGAGCTCCTTCGGGTGGAGGATCTGGTCGAGGAGAGTCTTCTGCGTGGCGTCGTCGACGACGACGCCGATTTGCTGACGGTCCGCAGCGACTTCTGGTTCGTCTGGGGACATGGAAGCTGGTGTGAAGCAGCAGATAATTTGGACGTTTCGCGGGCACCAGGACTCGCAATGGCAAGGGCAGCCAAGCGGTGGAAGAGGAAGGGGCCGTCCGATACCGGGAATCAACGGCCGGGAGATGATTCCATCTGGAGAGCCCTTGGCCCTGTCACTGGTCGTCTGTGACCTGTCGAGTGCACAGCATCTGGGATTACAGCCAGGCGCACAAGTCAGACACCTCGGCGAGCAGTCCGCATTGGCCGGGGTGTAACTGTCGACGATGTCGTGCCACTTGAAGCCGTCGTCGAACTTGTCTCTCCAGTTGAAGTTATCTGCGACAACCAATCGTCAATGACGAGGCTGCCAGGGAAGGCACCTGATAGAATTGCTTACCAAGAAGACCCTTGTACTTCCGGACTTTGGCTGGATCGATGGCTGAGTCCCCAGCCGCATTGGGCACAACGTGCTGCGAAGAGTTGCCAGCATCGCTCGCAGCGAGGACAGTTCCTAGAAGAAGGAAGCACGTAGCAATGGTGGTTAGAATTTTTATCAGCGCCATGACAAGTCACGGACTCTTCGCTGCTGGAGAAGTATTAAAGGGGATTCAAACCAGGAGGATAGAAGATCGCAGGGGAAAAGCGACGGCTATGTCGTCTTTATACGATACAGAATGCTGTACCCTCTCCTGAACTGCCTGCAAAAGGCCACAACCGTTCGATGACGGCGTAGTGTGGTTTCTGAAAGCTTCGAAAACGGGCTGGAACGCCTCGTGATGCTCCCAGAGGTATCCTAGCATCTGTAGGGCTGCATGGATCTCCTACCTGGGGGTTAGTTAGCACCGAACTGAAATGGCCCCTGGACGAAAGTCGCCGCCAAGGGCTTGGAGTTGGGGGCCAGACGGTCTTTTGCACCCAGTGCCTGATGAAGGGTTATCATTGCGAGCTCACCAACCAGAAGCATAGATACATGGTACGACTGGTGTAAGGCCTCCAGCCACCAAGGAGACAACATCGTTTGCAGAACGAATGGACTGGCGAAAACCGAGCGCCACTAGACATGAAGGCAGGCATGTGAAACGAGAGGCACTTTTTCCGCCTATTCCTCGTAAGGATTAAAGCCGAGTTTGAGGAGGTGTGCCAGGGAGAGGAACGGCCCAGCCAACAGCTCGCATCTTTATCAAGGAGACGCAGCTGGTCAGGGGTAAAGTTGGCCGTTATAGTAGTCGGTGAAGGCTGCCGTCGAGATGTCGGAGGGTCGAATCACTCAACGGAGCAGCGCCTGATCTAGCCTGTTCTTTTGGCTCTTCTGCAAGTGAACTTCGACTTCACACATGCACCCCGTATCAGGACACGAGGGCAGCCTCCGTCGATAAGTCGTCGATGCTTGCGGCGCGACAGTTGCAGTGGCAGTGCCGAGCAGCATTTGGCAGCGTTACCAAGTCGCCGAGTCAAAAGAGCACCACGTGACCCCGACGCGCCGCAACTGCAGACTGCAGGCTGCAATATTTTCCCATTGTCATGGACTGCGAAACATGAACGGCTGCAATGAATTTTGCTGTCTTCTGTTCGGTCGCCGGCCGCTATGCCGATGGTTATTGTTATCGCTAGTGGTCGCGGCGCCCTTTAACACTCCAGCCCTCAAAGCTCTAATTGTGGTTGTACCAAGTCTTTGCTGCTGCAGGACGCAGAAGCACCAATTCGCCCAGACAGCTTCGGTCGAATTGTCTGACTACATATTTGAGCACAGCTACGACTTGTAGAAAGCGAACCCTAACAAGCTTCGGTGATTGAAAATGCGTGCGAAGATCAAGGAAGATCTACATATTAACAAGCGCAATTACATAGTGAGATAGGACAGAGCCCGGATAACCTGCTATATTGAGTACCACGACGAGAAAAGATCCCTCCTAAATAGGTATAGCCAGGTCTGATTCCCGTCCAGCCTCGTTCTCCAACGGCTCATGTTACGATATTGAGATAGTTGTGAGACTGCAACATGGCGAGCCTAGGCTAATGACTTAGCCAACGGCGAGGTCGCCGACGGTGTCGTTGTCCTTTAGCCACCTCAACAAAGTACCCTCCTCTGATATACGTACTTACCTGAAAGAGCTTAGCCATCTCATCCAAAAAGGCTAAGCGCCGGACTCGATTCCGAATCGAATCCTTGCCGGCGCCAGGACTTGGTGCCTCAGGTGCTCCAGGACTCGCTTCATTAGGAGTCGAGTTTTGGCAATGCTGCCGCCTAACTACCTGGGTAATATTCTTCCTCGTTCGTCTTAGAGCCACGGACGACTGACATTAGTGTTGAACGCAATCCCCCAAATGAGAAAATATTGGTTAGGATGCTCAAGTGAAGCGACTAGGAGTTCGGTGGTCCTACAGGAGGTGGTTTGCGTGGGCGTGGCTAAATCTCTACATGGATTTGAGCTCAGTGCAACCTATTGCACTTTTACCCGCGCGACCCGGCAGAGAGACAAGAGCAATGAGCAATGAGCAATCAGCTTGGAAAGCTCCCTGAATCTTTGATGTTTGGATGGAAAAGTGTAGCACGATGAGCAATCAACTGCTTATCAGTCTTCGACTTCTGGAATCGGCCGCCTGCAAGTGCTCCAGCGGGCGTCCTTTAAAGGGCTTGGGACCGAATGCAACCACAATGTATGTACTGCGGCCTTCTATGACCGACCTGCCCCCATCCTCCCCCATGCGCCTTTTCTAGATTATTGCTGCGGTGCGAACAAGAGAAAAACATCAAACCACGCCAGACCCCATTCCCTCCCCACCTAGAATAACGCAAATCACTGTGATGTGTCCTGCAACAGTCCTGGGTATTTTGGAGCCGTAGAGTCGTGAATCCCGCGACGAGCGGCATAAATGATGATGATAGCGTCGAAAAGATGAAAGACAACCATGAGATCCCCAACGCACTAGTCTAGCAGACCGTTGCCGCTCGTCGGAAGCGGTCTCTAGGGAGCCGTAAATTTCTGCCATTCCGCAATCTGTTTTCCAAGTAAAATTGTTTTGCAATAGTAAGGTCTTCAACGTCTTCGATAGATTTAAGAGGAAAGGTAGCTTTTGACTTCGGTGGTGTAAGGTGCGTGCCCAGCAGAAAACAGCAGAGGAGAATGACCACCCCTGATGCAGCAATCACGAATTGCTTGTTATAGACGTTGGATCCAGATTTCAGTGTTATCGCTCGAGATTGGTGGCTTAAGTGCTGCAAACAAGCAATGATTTTGTCGTGGTACTCCGCGGCTAAGGATATGAGGCTTTCGAGGAATACTGGAAATTGGTTAGCCCTTTGTTTGGGTATAGGAACGGGAAGTGCACCATAGAAAGCCATCAGTACATATGAATACTTTCGTGGCTTCCAGAAAGACGCTAGCAATGCCGGCATCGCAAAGAGGCCCAGTAACCTTAAATGAAGATGCTCCGCCATTTGGCAAGGTATAGTGATGACTGCGAAAAGTGAGCTGAGAACAGTGGACGCTGCTTCAACACGCGTCAACGCTTGATTGACTCTGTCAAGTTTGGTGGACACTCGTCCGGCGGTAGCACTTGCAGTGTCGAGTTCGGACGCAAGAGACGCAGAGAAATGTTTCATCTGTTCGCCCAAAGCCAGGTTGGTCCTCTGCGCTGCAGATAGTTCTTCGCTAAGCTGCAGATGATGCCCGGCACTCGCTAATTGCGTCGACTGAGCACCAGAGATCTCATCAAGACCGTGCCTAACACGATAAAGAAGCTCGCCGACATCCTATCCCTGTCAGTCCATGTTCAACCCCAAATGGTGGACACAAACCTGGACCACTGCATCGGCCTGTATGTTCTTCAGAGCTCTTGTGGTAGCAAGGGCAAGCTCACGAACGTTGTTCAGCTCCTGTCCTTGGGCTGCAGCCACCTCAGCGTATTGCTTGCCAGTGGTTGTGATTGCTTCGCGCAGCAGATCTCGCAGTTTGGCCGAATCAGCAAGTATGTCTCCAAGAGCCTGTCAGTGACGAATCAGTGACCCATCCGACGGCCCTTGTAGAATACCACCCACCTCACGGGTATGGGTCACATGCGCGTCTGTGCCAACCATGGCTCCCTTTAGAGTCTGAAATGCGTCATGTAAGCCCTCCTTAGCCATATTCATCGCGTCACGGAAGGTGTTAAGCTCAAGTCTATGCTGCGCTTGGCGTTCGTCTTGATTCTTCTGCAGAAGCTTGCTCACATGCTGCATCTCATGCTGCTGCTCTCTCAGGAAAGTCAACCACTGAGACCGAGTGGATCCGAACGCAGCACGAAACTCTGGAAGGAGTTGCGCGAGCTTTTGGTAGGACTGAAGCGCTTCCAATCTGGTGGACTCGATGGTGGTGGCTTGACACAGAGTGTTGGCATCCTGTCTGTTGTTGCTGTAGCTCGTCCAGTAATAATGTTCCGCAATCAACGCTTCAAGACAAGAAGCCAAAATTTTGCTGTTGACCACGTCAATTTCGTGATCAAGTCGCTGAGGGATGTCGAGTATGGGCTTGCAAGCGAAGGGAACTGCTGCTCTGCCCTCGCCAGTCTCGCAGACAGCCACTCTGACAGCGTAGACTGACTGGGCTCTCTCTAGTATTTCATGTTTCCCTTGCTCCCGGCTGAGACTTGTGCCAACAGTTTTACAAGTAATAAGCAACTGAGCTGCGGCTGCTTGATGGCAAGTGGATTGACTGGCGAGGTTATCGACCACCTGTATAGCCTTCTCAAATATCGGGTCATTGTCCGGCTCTCTGAACGTCAGCAGATCGGTGAGGCTTGGTTGAAGGTCCTCTTGGAATTTCCGAAAGGCAGGCCATCTCAGAGCCGCTGGAGGTGTTAGAGCCAGATGATAACTTCTGGTCGAAGAAGGGCCTTCTCACCTTTCGGAAACTTTGCTTGGGCATGAGCGGCAAAAATGACAGCCACTGTAACCAAGACATGAACAACCGAGAACACTCGAGATCGCGGCGATGAGAACATGGTCGCGTCCATCATAATAGTGTGAAGTGCTCCTTCCAGGCGGCGAAGCAAATAACAAAGCGAGGTGTGGACAAAGAAGAAGACTGACTAGCAAAGCAACAGACAACGAGAAGAAGACCGCGGTCGACAACTGCAGATATCTCACGCCGAGCCCACAGATCCGGGCCGAGAATCACAAGAAGCGTATACCTAGTATCATTCGCAGGTGTGCGGTGTGTGATGGATGGTTGATGGCGGACGGTGAATGTGAAGTCGATGTGAAATCTGGCGACCGTGTCAATGCGAGCTCACCTTTTCGAATCCCGCTGGTCAGAGGCAGGATCTGAACTGTAACTACATGCCTCACGATGACAGATTGAGAGTCATGAGTTCATTCACGGGTGGATTAAGATGTCGTTCAGTTCAGACGAAGTGAGTGGTGAGGTGAGTGATGAGGAAAATGGGTGATGAACAGCTCACCAGCTCACCAGCTCACCAGCTCACCAGCTCACCGTTGATTTTCTCCCCTACTTTGCACCTCTTCTACACCTTGCACTGACAGACTTCAATGCGCTCGGATATTGATTCCACCCCCCAATCCCTCGCTTGAGATGTCGACAACTGCTTCCAATCAAATGCCATCGACAATTAATAAGCACGCCTTAAGCACAGCTCCTGGGCGGCTCCCGGGTGGCTGTTCACTGGTCCATGGGTCGAGACTTGTGCGGGTGCCCGTCTGCTGCCCTGCTGCCCCCGACCAATTGCCCCCAAGTGGCACACCTGTGCCATTGACGCCAGTCATATCACAGGGTAGCCTCCCAAATAGCCCCTTGGCTGGCCTATAAATGAAGTCGTCTGGCCCTATGGCCCGTAAGGTTGGGCATGGCTCGGCCAAAACACCCCCCAAAAAAGACGGGATTCCATTCTGATCCCTCCAGTGACAACGTGGGATGGAAACAATCCGAGCTTGCGACCTAGTTTCTCGCCTCATCTTGCCTTTGAAATCGACCAAAGATACTCTGCCCTCAGAAACAAGCATTTCCGTAGCTTATGCAGGACACCGACAAGCAGCTCTGAAGCCCGAAGACGTAACAAAAAATCGCCATGGTCTTGGACCCGCCTCAACGTTATTTTTATGCCCAGGCCATATTTACCTCACCTCGTATCAACCCCTCTTCCGAGTTGTGTGAAGTATGTGAGGGGAAATACCGGTCGGTCGAAAGCGAGAGCTTCAAAGATGGCAGAATGGTTTATCTATATGACAACCCCCCATTTAGAACGAGACCTGAGGTGATACAAGCGGTTTTTTTTTTCCAGGGCGACAACTTCATGATAAAGTGAACTACTAGGGCTCAGTCAAATCTAGCACGCGATCGTACCAAGTCTTCTACAACATAAAGCGTCTGCCAACAGGACCACTCCTCGGAAAGGGAAGGGCGATGAGTCGAGAGAGAGGTGTCTCTGTTGTTGATCGGTCGAACTCCTGCAAAGACGTCACACCCCCAAGGGAGTCAGATTCTGATGATGGATCACAGCACAAGGTTAATCGAATCAGGACCATGACCAAATCGAGTCTCCGAATTCTCGAATCAGAAATCAACTCAGCGAGGAGCTCTGCTCGGGCACTGCTCAAGGTGAAGCCCGCCAATTTTTATGCTTTGCCGCTGGATGCAACAATGGTGGAGGATGACCTCAACCCTTTGGCAACAATCCAATTCTGTCAGTATCCAAGAACCCAAGAGGCAAAGTTGCCATACTGAACAAGTCCATCAGTCGTTGAGGTATACTGTCCGCCCATGTTGCGTTATCCAACGTTCAGGCTGCAGGGCAGAGATTCTGCCTTCCTCGATATCAACCTTCCAGCAATGATGCAAGATCCGTTGATAACGGCCACCTCTCTCGCATTTGCTCTTCGAATACACGACAAACGCCTGAGCCGGAAGGTGGTGGGCTACTACCGCAGGGCCCTTGTTCTCCTTCGGAAAAGACTCGAATCCAATGACCCCACCTCCACCAACGCTATACTGCTGAGTCTTATCCATTTGATGGCTGTTGAGGTTGGTTTTCTGTTCGCGTGCACCACGTTTGGGACTAATTCCTGCCAGTCACTGTCTGAAGGCTTGGGATCTCCTCTCCAGCACCTTGGCGCCATGCGTCGTATGATACAAATTCGCGGTGAGCTCAGAGATTCAGGCTTACAAGGCTATATCAAGGCCCATATCAGATCGTAAGCCATCATTGTCCGCACTACTCACGCAAATCTGACATCTACAGCTGGGAGATGTTCCTCGGCGGAGTGTATGCGGAACCTGACCCAGATCAGGTGCGAATGTTTCCTTATGGCTCACTTGACTATCCCACCCATCCATTCGATCCGGAACTGAGCCTCATCTTAAGTCGTCTGCCTTTAGGCTTTATCGAATTGGCTATGTCTTGCAGGCTAAGCATTCAAGTGATACGAGTTGTGCAGACCGGTGCACAACTAATGTCCAATCTCTTCCATGCGAAGCAAAGTCTTGGGCACGACGACAGAATGCATTTTCCACATTCCCCGCCATCATATCCCGTATCGCCTGCTCAAGTTATGTTTCTGGCCATCGCCATTCTACAAAATCAAGATCGCAACATGGTCGAGGAGGTGCTGGCAATTTCATTGCTGGCGTTGACAATATCGACCGAGGCTTTGGGGGAACACATAACAACCGGCTATGGATTCATCCAAACTTACTGCATGGGGATCTGGGACGTCGACATTGAGCGAGAATGCCGCAGTACTGGAGCGCTGGGACTTGGAAATTTTCTTCTCTGGACGAAAATGTTACTATTGGTAACGTTCGATCACGACACACAGACCCGAAGGACTGCGGTTCAACTGCGACAGGATATCCCATTTCCAGAATTCAAGCCCTCGCATTTGGAGGTCTGCAGGCAATTCTTCTGGACGGAGTTGTTAACTCTGTCGCTGGAGCAGAAGATGGCGCAAGACAGGGCACTCCGCAAACCACGGCATTCTGACGAACGAAAGAGTCCTCAAACCGATTGACAGAAAGACATGATTTGGAAAGCGTGTCCTGCTTGGAATGACAGCATGTTGCTTGATGAAAAACAAGCACTTGACGCTTTTCACGCAGAGTCTCAGGCTGCTGGGCATCATGAAACCTTGTGTTTGCAATGGGCAAGCGACAAGCAGCGGCGTCTGGGTTGCTGATGGTATGTCACGCATCTCTTCTGCTCTTTCCGCAGACACGCCTGGCACGTGAGGATTGAAGGCTTTTGAAAGATTGTATTCTTACTGCCTCAGGCGCAGAAACTCCTGGGATCATTTCGGCATGACCAACTGATTGGACGCCTGGGATCAGCCCAGAGCAGAGCATCTCATCTGATCTCGCTGATCGATCCAATCATACAACAATTCGCAAGGAGGCTCCAATTGTGGACATGAGAGAAGAGAGAACCTGGAACAGAGAAAAATCAATTTGCTCAGGCCTGCAGGTTCCAAAGGATAGTAGTAGGTTACATTCTCGATGTGACAGATGGACCAAGTTTTCAATCGGGTCAAACTTTTATGCGGCATTTTCGTGTGCTCCACTGTGCCCACTGTACCGCGCAGCCTCGTCCATTGTAAGGCTGTTCCGCAGGGCGAAGTTCTGGTCGGCGCTAGAGGTAGGGTTCGCTTAGGTCAAAAGATGGGTCAACCACCATCATTTTCCCCGTTTGACTTTGCTGCGATACTGGAACATGGCATGGGCCCAATGTAGCCTCCCAACTTTCCAGGAGAAATTTTGCATCTAAGGTTCAGTGACTGTAGAAGATCAACCCAGAGGAGTCCTGTAGACAGTATATATAGGGTGCCCTCCACGCCCATCCCGGGTAGACCTCTCCATACTACATCACATTCTGCTTCAGTTGACTTGACAAGAGCCCTCCAGCGACATCACTTTCAAACACCATTTACTTCACTACAAGCCACCAAAGACATCACCATGGGTTGTATGTTCTCGAAGAAGGCCCGCAAGGAGGCTGAGGAGGAGTGGCTCCCTCCTCCCATCGTCTTCCCAACCCCGCCCATTCGAGTGCGCCCCCCATTCGAGCCCCTGCCAATCCGGCTCCCCGAGATTGGCCCCAACGGTGAGCCACCGCTCCGGGCGATCCCTGTGCCGGCGTGGCGCAGGCGGCCGGCAGACCAGTGCCTCTACCACTTGAGGTACGAGCTTGGCTCCGACGACTCCCTGGTCTGCGAATGCCACGCGTAAGTACATGATCCCTTGGCGTTCTCCCTCCGCTCGCCGCCAAAAACAGCAAGATGCTTACATAATTGCTTGGCAGAGCCCGCCGAACTGCAATGCCGCGCAACCCAAGATACCCTGGGCTTCTTTGGGGTACCTGAGCTTTGCTCACCCAAGACTCGCCGGCTGCACGTCTCTTTCTTCTCGGTTCTCGCTCTCGGTTCTCTCTCCTGGCTCTCTCTTCTAGGTTCTCTCTCTCGGTCACATCATCACGACCACCTTCATCATGGACGAAGCCAAGACCCTCATCCGAACGGCAGTGCGCACTTTCTTCCCTCATCCTAAACAGATCATCATCGTCGACGCTATCCTCATGCACTCAGTTCTGCAAATGGACGACCTGAACATTCTCCTCAATTCTCAGCCTAAAGACATCAGAAGCCTACTGAACCCTCTCCGCACCGCACGGCTCGTCCAAACACAATCCCGCAATGAAGCCAAGATAGGCTCTACAAGACCCTCTTCAAGAGAATACTACTATTGTCCCTTTCACCCGGCAATAGACGCAATCAAATACAAAATCGCAAAGCTCCGCAAGAAAGTGGAGGCGATGTATCAACAAGATGAGACCAAACGCAAAGACTGGCGCTGTCCCCGCTGCAAAGCAGAATATGAAGAACTTGACATACTCGACAAAGTCGGAGACGAAGGCTTCTATTGCGACAGATGCCATGCGACACTGGTCCAAAATGAACAAGCTGCACAGAAAGACCGCGGCAATCACGAAAAAATCAGAAAGCTGAATGATCAGCTCAAGAAGTTTGACGACATGATCCTCAAGATCGATCGCACAGACATTCCCGAAAACGACTTCGCCTCAGCATGGGACCGAAAGAAAGACGTCCCCCGACCGCAGGGAAGTGGTAAAACAGACACCTCAGAACAATATGTTCCTCTACAGAGAGGCAACAGATACTACGACTACAAGAGAAGCGGCCCAGAGATGGTCGACGTCAAAAATCTCACCGTCAACTTGACCAGTGGTGAGGAACAGGAGCGTGAGGAAGCAGAGCGCAAAGAAGAGCGCAGGAAATTCCTCGCCAAGCAGAATCAACTGCCAGTGTGGTATACAAGCAGTGCAATCGGGGCTACCACCAATGGAACCGCCACGGCTGCTACCACTCCAGATGAAGACGACACAGCAGAAGCTGAAGCTGAAGCAGAAGCAGAAGCAGAAGACGACTTTGAAGACGTCATGGATGTCAAACCAAGCAATGGCATCAAAAGAGAATATGAAGTCGCATTTGAAGGCGACTCAGAGGAAGATGAAGAGTTCGAAGATGCAGTTTAAGCAACACAAACTGCAGCAGTAACCGCACCAACACAAACTGCAACAACAACGACAACGACAACCACACAAACTGCAGTGTTGTGATGACTTTATGACTTGATGACCTGGATCATTGGGTATTTTTTACGACTCGGCAACAAAGCAAAATCATCATTACGTATTGTTATGGGGTGTGTGGAAAAAGACAGACATTCTTATGGTATCATTACGACTATTGTTATGGGGTATGGAAAGAGACATTCTTAAAGGCAGGCAACAAACTGCATCATTATCATGGGGGAAAGGTATTCTTACAGGCAGGCAACAAACCGCATCATTATCAAGGCAATGCATCGCATTCTTATGGACAGGCAACAAGACAGCATTCTTATCATGGCAAGCAAGCAATTTTCATGAGCGTTCAGATCATCGTTGGCGTTGGTTGGCGTTGGCATAGACATGGGAGTGGGGGTTTTCCTCATTGAACATTGGGTTATGGGTATCATTAAGGAATTTCATGATCACGATCATGTTTTACATCGTTAGGAAAGGCATCCAGTTGTATCAATACAGTATTTGCTTAACAAACTCTTCTGTTCTGTTCTTTAATCATTTCCTCTTTTCATTCCTCTTTCATTTTCCTTTTCATCTCCTCTCCTCTCCCCTTTCCCTCCATTTCATTCACTGTTGTCACCGTCCGAAGAACAAGCCCAGTATCCACCCCCCGATCCACCACACCAGCAGGCCCCCCACGACGATGATGCCCGCGACCTTCAAGACGGCGACTTTGTCGCCCTGCCGCGCCATGCGTGTCAAACGGCCGGCGCTGCCGCGGATGTTTGTGCTCATGCTGCTGAAGACCTCGTTGGTGTTGTCCAGCGTGCCCTGACTGCGCGCATTGTCATAGATGTCCAGCGTGATGTGTTTCAGGGCCGAGGTCTTTTGCGAGAGCGACGAGAGGAGCGCGTTGTTTTGTCTATTTTGCGCCGCGGGTTAGCTTGGGCATTCGTTAATTGCCTGGGTGGGTAATATATCCCCTTGACGTGGGACTTGGATTTGTTCGACGGGAAGCGGAATGGAGAAGAAGATACTAGAGAGAGGAGGCCAGTGGCACGAGGGTACAAAAGGCGTAGGGCTTACTCTTCGCGCCCGTATGCGTCTGCCATTGCGCCGGACTTGTGAAATGGGGATTTGAGACTTGTAACCTGTGACTGCGGCTCACGACCGAACTGCTCGTGGTGCTTCCCTTGCTTGGACCTTTCGACACCGCGCGCACGAGTTGTGTCAAGTCGGGAAATTCGCTCAGATCAACCGCGGACGTTTCGAAGAAACCCCGGGGGCAAGACGGGAGACAACACAGTGGCCGGGTTCAGTTCTGTACTGCTGTACGGATCCTCTTGCGATTCTTATTCTTGTTCTGCCTATTCTTCTTATTCTTCTTCACCTCGTCGTCGTCGTCGTCGTCGTCGTCGTCGTCGTCTCTAGTGTGTGCGGGCCAGGAACTCTTTACAGTACGGTACGGGCGTGTTACGGCGTGGTCGGCTGCGACACCGGCGGCGGCGGAGGAGGAGGAGGAGGAGGAGGAGGAGGAGAATAGCCCGGTCGTTTGGCAAAACAGTAGAGATTGAGTGTGTGAACGCTGAGGAGAATAAGATTTGGGAGTAAGAGAGCGTCGGTGCAATGGCGAGCCCTTGCGGTTAGAGATGAGGGAGGAAGATGCCACCTCGGGCTCCGCCGCCTCCGCAAGACACAGGATCTCCTTACCTACAACTACAAGTTACTCGGTACAACAGTGGCCGTCTTAGCCTTGCCCTGCATCTGTCCTTCTAACAAATGGGTGCAGGCATGTCCATGGACAAATTGTGGGCTAACATCACTTGGATTGGTTCTCACTTCCTGGGATACTGCAGATGTATATACTTGCTAGGGCCTTGCAGGCATTTCCCTTCAATCTTGCACTTGGAACGGCGCTGATTATGTTGTATATCAACCCCTGGGTGCCTCTGTATCTACACGCTTGAAACGGGCTTCCTCCAGGCGGCCAGTCACCAACATCTGCTCAAACCTTCCAAGCCAGCAAGATCTCCCTGTCTCCTCCTCCTTCTGAAATACAGCGCTCACTTTGGTCCATGTATCTGAATATCGTATGTCATTTTCGAGAGATATGGGATCATATCGTTCCTTAGGTTGAAGATATTCCATCACAAACACGCACTCTTCCTGCCACCCGCTATGCTAGAAATCGACTAAAGAAAGCGCTCGGAATACGCTGGGACTCCAATGGGTCAAAGCTTTGAAGAGTATATCTTGTCCAATGTCAAAGCGGCTAAGTAGCCAGCTGTCATAGAGAACAAGCAGCAATGCCTTCTCATCAGACCTCACCGAATATTACCACATGTCGTCGTCATCTTCGTCCAGCTGGGATCCGCCTTGACGCGAACCCGTTTGGTGTAACTGCTCCTGTAGTTGATTGTTGTGATAGTACTGATTATATGCACCGACACCGCCGCCATATGCTGAGCCATTACTTTCTATCGAGTGCTTGCTTCCTCTTGAACTTGGCCTCGTACTGCCAGCTTCATATTCGTAACTTGACGAATCGCCCACAAAGTCCTGTTGAGAACCATATGACTGCTCAGCTTGGAGGGACTGTTGTTGCTGTTGAGCTTGTTGCTGCAGAGGAATTAGCACGAGCATTTTCCTGATGCCAAACCAAAAAAAAAATACTCACTTGTTGATACCGCTGATATTGGACATACTCGTCCGGCTGCTGCTGCTGCTGCTGCTGGTCTTTCTGCTGCTGTTTCCGTTGCTGTTTGGCACTTGTGGGTAGATTCATCTGGGGGTGCATCTGCTGGACCTTCGCCAAATAACTGTACATGAAATTACTGAGAAGCACCTGCGAATATAGGGCCCGACGAGGATTGGCCAATTTAATGTGTGCCATGCGGTAAATGGCCCTTTCTTCCAGAATCGAAAATCGAGTCCAATTGTAGTCGATGTCGGGTTTCAATTCTCGGTAGGGCGGTTCAGGTGACAGACCTCGATCGCGGTATTTCTTTGAGCTGCCATCTTTATCGCCCTTACTCTTCTTGCCGCCAAATATGGAAGAGAAAAGGCTTTCTTTCTCCTTTTTGTCGCTTCCTGACGCTTTCCGCTGGCTCTCCTTTTTGCGTTCTTCATCGAGCTTCAGGTGTTCCCGATCAAGGACGAGACTTTCACGTCCTCTAACACCTCCATCGATAGACGTTTGGAGCACATCAAGTCTAGTATTGTCGTGTTGCTGAGGAGGTTTGGAGATTTTGGCCTTTGGCTTTTCCGATTTGTCCTTGTCTCCATCTTCCTTGCCTAGCAACCAACTCCAGCTCGACTTTTTAGTCTCTTCCTTCTTTTTAGGTTCAGCCCTCTTATCCACAGTGAGAGTCGGTATAAAAGACAAGTTGCTGGTATTCGTGTCATTTCCTGGCAAAGGAGATGGTTGTTCGAGGCTCTGTGATGGTCTTGATTGTGGCAGGATCTGATTTGCCGGAGATGTTGTTCGTGGTGTGATTACTGGCATGGACCCTTTGGAAGGCATTGATGGCCTTTGCGGGGAGATTGCTCTTGTTCGGCTATCTTCACGGGAAGATACTCGTTCAGGATGTCGTACTTGCTGTTGCGCAGGTGGAGGGGTCATCGAAGAAGATCTCGGCGGCTGGACAGAGACCGGAGGAGTCTCTGCGGGGGGCGGAGTCTCAACTATCTGAGGCACTGGTTTGCGATCGAACGAAGTGCTCGTGGATGGAGGAGATATTGGAGGAGGCGGTGATTTTCGCGACGCGGGCATGCCCGTCGGGGTCGTTCTTTTCGTAACATCGTCATTGCTGAATATGTAGTCAAATGTTGTTGATACAGAAGAAGTTCCGCTTGCCGAAGACGAGTTGGCTGGCCTCGAGAAATTGGTAGGGGTGGTCTTCCCGACATTTGTTGCGCTAGATGGATCCTTCAAAGTCTGCGCGAGGTTGGGAATCTCCATGGACAAGTTCGGGAGCGGAGGAACCGCCGGAACGCTAGATTCAGGCGATTCAGGTCGGCTGCTTGAAGGGCTCCCAGCAGCAGCCCTTCTCGCTGCACGTTGAGCATAGGTGCCTCGATCTCCCCTCCCCTTGACGCTTCCACCTCGTCTATACGTTGTTCTTGTGGACCTTTTCAGACTGGATCCCGGGACCGACGGCAGTATGACATCTGGGGCATCGTCTTCCGACGAAGGCTCTAGGCTTGTCCTCGACAAACCAGGGGTGTTTGCGACCAAGTTTTCCAATTCTTGCAGGTTTGGGTCCTGGGGGGCAGCCCGGCGCGACAGTGATCTCTTCCTCTCTAACCGGTCCGCACCATCTTGGTATCCCACAGAGCTATCAATTTGGCGGGATAACATGGACTTCTTCCTGCGCAAGCCAGAGCTTCCTCCTTCAGTACTCAAGGAGGACGAGCGTGAGGAGGACGGCGTTGCAAAAGCGGACAGCTCGCCAGATCTCCTTCTGATTTGCTCCGCTTTGCTTTCCAAAAAAGTCTTGAACTCCTTTGGGGCCAGTTCTGGGTGTAGTCGGGCAGGGACCCAGAACAATCTGGAGGAGTCGTCTTCGCTAGAAGTAGGGGATGGGGCACTAGGCATGCCGGCCGCGCTCAATTGAGGCAGGTCTGGATCATCGGTCGCGCCTATATGCATTGACATCCGCCTCAAGGCTTGTAGATTGCTCAGCTCTTGCGCCAGACCTGCCGGACTGGACTCGTAGTCAATATCATTTAACGGGAAAGGAGAGGTGGCGGTATCGGATGGGGAGCGTTCTCTGGAATCGGACGCGGGCGACGAAGATGCGTGATTGCGGTGATCCCAAGAGTGATCCTGACCAGAGGATCGTCTCGAGACGCCGTTTGGTTGTGCCACTGCATGATCGTTTGACATGTCTCGGTAGGGTAACTGCTTCCTAGGTATGGACGGCATCCTCCTCGGTGTTATATCCTCTTCCATTTGGTGGTGGCCATTGATTTTAACTTGTCCTTGTATATTCGCATTCTGAAGCGAGTTCGAATAGGACAAAGGGTGCTGTTGGTCTTGTTCGGGATCGTCGTCGTAGAGGTAGCCAATGGTTTCGGTGACATGGTGGTTTTCATCGCTTATCGACAATTGGGGCAGGTGCCCCCGTTGGCGAGCAGCGAAGCTCGCGCCCGTGTCTCGACTCCGGGTTGAGGTCTGCAAGAGTCACCGTGTCAGTCTGGTTCATTACAGCATTCACATTGCACCTAATCTTCCTCCTTCGCCGGAGCCTCTGTACCCGGCCCTCATAGCCAACGTTTTCCACAACAATCCCGCTCGAAGGGAGAGGAAGCAGTTCGACGAACCTGCATGGAGCGGACCGGGAGCCGTTACGGGTCTCCAGAGCTGACGAAATGAGGACTGTCCCTTATCAAAGGCGCGTGCAAACACAGGCAACAAAAGCCTTCCCTCCTGGCCCGCCTCCTGCCCGCAATGGCCGACAGGTTGGTGCTGCGGGAGGGACTCCTTTAATCATCGGACTGGGGCAGGGGAGGGTCGGAGAGGACAGGAAGATCAAGAAGGAATGTTGGACGTTGGGCGACACCCGGAGGGCAATTGAGGTTGTCAAAAGGTGGCTGCGGTAACGGTAGACGAAGTTGCAATGACTGAGATCATGGGGGGGGGAACGATCAACGCGGACGAGAGTTGGGTGCGGTTGCTGGTACCCAGGCACGCAGCGGCGCTCAGGGCCCAAAGTCAAGGTTCAGAAGATGGGGATGGTGCAGTGGCCGCCGACAGGGAGAGACAAGTGCCTGGTTACTCAAAGGGAGTGACAGTCGGGCTGCTAAATGTAGAGTCGTGGGTTGGTGATGTGCAGGACAAGACGACAAGACGACAAGACAGGAGGATGGCCATCATAGCAGCCGCGCTCTTGTCATCCAATGGTGGAATTGCAAGCCCGTATCCCTGCTAGACGAACCCATATTATTAAAGACTGTGCCTTGATCAGTGGCGCTGGTGGGCCCTCTCTACCTCGTACTCGTGCTCTATCATTCGCCTGGCGCCGTGCCTCCCTTTCCGCTAAATCCACCATCGGACAATTGTCACATCGCAGTGCTCCTCGGTCCTGACCTGCCAAGCGAGGCGGAAGGTTATCTAGAAGTGCCTGGTCGCATATGAGCACTCTGTATGTACTCCGGACAGTCTGCATGCTACCTGATTGTAGATAAGCTGGAAAGCCCGTTCTCTAGTCCCCGTGTGGGCCTCATCTTCTTTCATTGACCGAGTCTCGTTCGTCCCATATCTCGTTGCTTTTGAAACCGAGCTCCCAGCAGATGGCAACAGCGCCAACTTTTCAAGACAAATCAACCCCATGGATTATCAAATGGATCCGATGTACCTCCAAATCCTCCACCACTTTTGGCCGGCGGGGCCACTGGCGTCTGCGTTGTCGACGCTGAGGTCCATCCCCCAAAGTCCTCGTCGGCTGTCACCGATGCCTGTCGCACGGGTTTGTTGCTTGACGATATTGGCTCTCCCCATCCTCCATGGATATCATTCGGCGTAATGTGGGCTGGTGGTCTCCCTAACTCGACCTTTGGCTGCGCCGGCTCTGCAGGAGTCGGGTCTGGCGCCCCCCAGGGGCTGCTCTCACTGCCTGAAGCCCATGGATCAAACATTGATGAATTGGTTTGAGGCATTGCCGGTGCTTTGACCGGCTGGGGAGCTGGCTTTGGCGCTGGTGCAGGCTGCAAAGACAAATTAAAAGGTGAGCTAAACGTCGAGTTGCCGACAGTAGGTGATGATACTTGTGGCATGGGAGCTGGCTTGGGTGGCGAGGTAGGTGTCGAGCTGGCAAATCCACCAAAATCGTCAGCTGCAAACAAGTCAGCAGAGATAGACGCGGCAGAAGGCCTAGGTGCCGGCGCTTGGGCGGCCTGCGGGGGCGGTGCTCTTTGCGTAAACGAGAAATCTAGTCCATTCGAGGTCGACGGCGAAGTGACAGTGGGTTTTGCAGCAGGTGCTTTGGAGTGGAAGGCTTCAAAGAAACTGCCACCACTTAGGGGAGGCGGCGATGTCAGCTGGGCTGCAGAGGGCGTGGCTTTCGGCGCTGCAACAGAACTGGTCAAACTGCCGAACGCGGAAAATGCAGAGGATGGCTGTGGTGCCGGGGGTTTTGTGGTGCTTGGGTTAGGGAAGCTCAATCCGCTGAAGGCATCAGCAAGTCCTCCGAATGCATCTTGCTTCGCAGTCGGGGCTGATGTTGCCGTTCCACCAAATGATGACTGGCGATCATGCTGAGGTTGAGGTGCTGGTTGAGGTTTAGGTGCAGTAGAATACAACGACAGAATTGAACTCTTCAGATCTCCTCGAGGATTGGTAGATGCAGGAGGGTTAGACGCCGCACTTGAAGGTCGACCAACGCCACTTGATGATGCGCCGCCAAAGAAATCTAACCCAAGTAGAGACTCTTGTGGCCTCGCAGCGGGTTTGGGGGCTGGTGCCGGCGCCGGCGCCACTGGACCAGTTCGCGTGGGTTTTGACTCAAGAATGTCTGCTGTGCTAGGCCTGACTGGTGGAGCTGGTGCGAAGTCGTCAAAGAGATTCACATTTGCAACAGCGCGAGGCTGCGGAGGGGGTTGGGTGGACGCTTGACGCTGAGAAGCCGACCTCTCAATTTTGGCCTTCTCTTGCACGATATTCAACGGCATATTGTCGTCACCTTCAGCATCTAGCGTCAAGGGATCGGGCATGGGACCGTCCATTACCCATCTCTTGGATTCGTACTTTGTACGTATGAAGTTCTCAATCTTTGCTTCAGATGGCACATGCCCCGGCGCCAACTTGGCCTCCCAGTATTTGTTCGCTCTTGTGTTGCCCCATCTCAGGACGCTCTGTAGTTGCTCGTCCGTCCAAGCATCCAGATCAACCGACTTGACTCGACTGATATGAGTACCCATCCCTCGATGAATGCCTGAACAGCGAATGCAAATAAACACCCCGAGATTCCAGCTTGCCCATCGTGGATGCTTGTTTCTTTTGCAGTCGGCGCAGACTTTGTTTCCTTCGAGTTTGACTAGAGCTTTGAGGGTTTGGGCATTCTGGGCCGCCCGGTCATTGCCGGGCCGTCGAGACATTGAGAGTCAATTCACCGTGACGACTTGGAGAGGGGCCCAATTTGCGAGAGTCGACTACCAAGTCTAGAGAAACGGAAGTCCGAACAGGTGAGGGCTCTTCAAAGGGTTGACGCAAGGTTCGTTCGCTTGCTGGTCGAGGTCAGAGAACGGATTGTTCACAATGTCCGATCCACAATGACGGCGAGACATGCAAGTTCCAAGTGGTCATTGCCGGCAGGTTGGAATGACAGAATTTCCATGTCAGCGCTTGCTTAATGTTCTTGGGGCTTCCCGCACCCGCCGCTTTAATAGAGAGACTTTCAGATCACGTGATGGCGCGTCAGATCCTACTTGTTCGAGTCTGTTCTGACATCGCAGCCTCTTTTGGTTTGGCCCTTCTGTTTTTGAAATCATGCTCCTCGCCTTCGATTCGATAAATCTGGTCTGCTCGCAGCTGAGGTCGCCTGTCCGAGATCATGGAGTGAAGGCTTCCCGACTAGCACACTTTCAATACTGATTCTGGCATACCTCCAATTGTGGATGGCGCGTTCACCGTCACAGCCCACGACGCTTGTCACGATGTATTACGCTTCAGCCTTTCCTGTCGAGCTCGTGCAGGACCTCTCCATACCATTACAGTCAACAACAAAAGCAAGGATTTGGGAAATAGCCGAAGGTCTTCGATTTGACTCGTGTACGCACTCGAGGCGGCAGGGAAGTGATGATCCCTGCCATACACACCCTCCTCACCCCTCGCGCAAAGGTTCTTGAGGTCATGCAAAGGCATTATTTTGGCGAAAGCCATCATCTACTCACGGATGACGACGCGTCGGGTATGTGATCAAGCAATTCTCGACGATTACGGACATAGAATACACGTGATTATGGTCGGTATTTGTGCCTTCAAATACGTTAATACTCGAACACAGCTTCTTCCTATACTCAGGGGGGTCACCGTCTCTTCGCCCGCCAACGCACGGCCATATTGGTTCTCATCACGCGCTGGATGCCTTTTTGGCTGGCATGAAGAAACCGCACAGGACTTTCTTTTGTTGATGAGCTAACCCTAGAGACACAGCTAGGCATGCTTCTAGGATGATTGTGGAAGGGCCAAGCGGTTTGATCGTATCAAAAGTCTGTCACTCGCAACAGAGGTGTCGGGTAACACCTCCCACAAGACTTTCCAGAAATGAAGTCTTGAGAACGCCCTCTTTGCGCTTTGGCAGCCCAAAGAAAAGAGAAAATAGTTCAATGTCTGAATCTCGGCTCGAGTCTGACCCATTGCCCGTCTTTGGGCTTGAGCATCCTCTGATGGGCCCCGGTTTCCCCCTACAACTCGGGCAACAACCCTAGTGGTGTAGGCATCCTCGTCGCTGTACAGAAGATTTCTCTTCGGGGATTTACCTGTTACGCACTTCCATGGCTTTGCGCAGAATCTGATGGAAAATCGATTCCAGGCTCCACGAATGGGAAACGGTGTTGTCTTGGTTGCCTGATGAGTCTGAATGGCCCTTCCTCATTTGCCAAGATATGCCGGACGCTTTTTTGGTGCCCGCTCAGATTCTCAGCCTCATCGATGCCACTTCATGGTATCAAGCTTTCTTTCGTTCACCTTGTGGTCTTAGCACTCAGGTTTTGGGATCAGAGCAATTTGGCCATGGCTGATCCCGTGTCAATTGGCGCCAGTGCCGTTACATTAATTGACTCAAGTTCGACTTGTCTCACATTACTTGTGAAACTTATCAAATGCCTCCAAAACGCGCCTGCAGAGATCGAGGCGTTGTCTAACGATTTGGCTGATCTCCGAAACTACTTCGATGATGCTAAGGATCTCTGCGAGAAAATTGGCGCAGAACCGACTCAACAATTCCGATTCCTGAATGCTGCGTATAAACCTCTTGAAGATGCTGGACAAGCGTTGGCGGAATTGGGGAAATTACTCAAAAAATCCCACTCACAGACTTCTAGCGTACAAAGAAGGCTGGCATGGATAACGCAGAGAGCTAAAGCAAAGAAAATTCACAAGCAATTGCAAAGAATCAAATCGGACCTTGGAGCTGCGCTGGTGTTATCCACCAAGGCTGACGGACATCATGTTAGCACTCGGATCACAAGAATCGAAACTCGGCTAGAAGCCTTGCAGTCTACAGCTGTCACGCACGTACCATTCCTCATGGCTCTACCGGACACTTCGGTGCAGATTTTAGGGCCCCAGCTCGAGAACAGGTTCCCCAGTCTACCTGAAGCCCCCCGTATGGAATCTGGATGTCGAAGCCCGCCGAATACTCCCATAGGAGACGCCGATTTAGACCAGTTGTCTAGTACAGCATTGATTGTCCCTAGTGATGACTCCCAGATAGAAGGTAACGTATCATATCGGGAGCCATGTGTGTTGATTTTGACTCCCTCCAGATTTTAACAACACATTACAACAGGTTCATACCATACCAGACTCTTCATTCCCCGCGAACAAGTTCTCTTCGAATACCACGGTGTTTTTTCACGGTAGTCGCATGCGTTGTTGCACTGTGCCGTGTGATTGTGTCTGTCACTCGGCGAGAAGATATCCCGCTCCTCCATTGTTGAAGAACTTTGTTGGTACTTTATTCTTGGGTTACTCTGGGTCCCCCGGGTTTTGGCCAAAATGCAATGTCAAGGCCTGCCAAAACTCTGACACTTCATCAATCGATATTGTCTACTGCTTCCCTTGGTGGTTTTGCCAACGATCACTACACATTTCAGCATCATTGTCTCCCTCCTTTGGTCCCTGTATGCAAATTAATGTCAGACGACGAGTTCCTTGGGACGGAGATTGGGATTCTTTGCTCAAATTTGCATTGACAGGGAACGTTGACGGCGCCAAATCACTTCTGTGGGACAGGAAGGCCTCGCTTACCGACGTCGACCCTAACCATGGACGTACGCCCTTACATGTGAGTGCAACCGGTGACTACACTTGGAATCTGACTGATCGGCAATGTTGTATAGTACGCTGTAATTCGCAACAAAACTGACATGTGCGAACTCCTTCTTGCAGCGGGAGCTGATCCGCATCTGCAAGATGATGATTACACGTAAGTTATCAGGCCAACTGCCTCCAATCCATCCCGAGTGTGCCCGCCGGTCCGCGAAGGAAGAGGGTGAAGCTGAAGCAACCAAGATCTGAGCAATATCATACATTCTCTGACACCCCAGATTTGCACAGGACTCCGTCTCAGAAAGCCTGGGAGCAGATCCTCTGCAAGAGAGGGACGGTCGCTGAAATCGACGGCTTAAAGCGTTTGTTCCCGGAAACCAAAGAGCTTGAAGCCTGGGAGTTTTCGTACATTCACAAGGTTGTCCTGGAGATATTTCCCGGCAGATTGGCCGATGAGTTGCAGAATGAGCAGTACCACAGCCAGATCCACGCTGTGGATTCCACGAATCGGACGCCCCTTCACTGGGCGACAATCAGGGGAGACGTGGAGGCAGTGAGGTACCTTTTGGAGGCCGGATCGGACGCCAACTGCCGCGATAGTTTCAATAACAGCCCTCTCACCTTTGCAGCGTCGACCGGCTCTGTACCTATCTTAGAACTCTTAATCCTCCATGGAGCCAACGTCCACGCCAGAACTTTCAAGGGCAGCCAGGCAATCCACAATGCAAGTCGGCATCAACGAGCCATTGAGCCGGTCCAAACTCTATTACGGGCTGGAGCATCTCTGAACAGTACCAACGACCTCGGCCACTCGCCGCTGTCCGGGGCGGCGATCCAAAACCGCCATGAGATCGGGGCGTTTCTTCTGGACAAAGGCGCGGACATGCATGTCCGCAGCCTACACGGCGACACGCCCCTCTTCCAAACCATTTTCCACAACAGCCACGAGTTCCTGCAGATGCTCTTGGAAAGAGGGGCGAGTGCCGACGACGTCAACAACGCAGGGTCGACCCTGTTGCGCGCGGCTGCGTCGGAGGCGGATGCGCGAACCGTTGAGATTCTGCGCACGTCGAATATAGATTGGACTCAGTGCCTGCTTCGAGATCCAAACGGGAGCATAGCGCTGGAGAAAGCATGGCGTCGAGTGAGCCCCCCGAAGGGCTTCTTGGAGGAATTCGAACAGCTTGTCGCGGCACTGGGTCGGGAGGAACGGCTACGAGTTGATTGCCCTTCCAGGAAGGAAAAGGCGGTCTAGGGCAAATCAGATTGGATATTCTCCCTTTCAATATCGCTCTGAATCTGTCCTGGTGGGGGTATAGTGAGGTCATGAATTCGATCCACATTACTGTCAATTTGTCCAGGGGGGGTTCATCTTCCAGGATATCTGCCTAGAAACATGTGGTATGAGATATCGCTATCCTGGCTCCAACTTGCCAGTGTGGTCGATACGTGTCCACGAGCACTGACCTCCCTCCGATCTATTGAGGTCTCCTTGACCAGCAACTGGATTCTCTGGGTCTCCACCAAGTTGTCAAAGCCCTCGTCGCCGTCAAGTTCTATACCTAGACACAAGACATGTCCTGGAAAACTAAAGACTATAATGCTATACCTATATAATACAATTTCTATTTCGTGCATACCTACATACGCGCTACAACGTTCCAAGCTCCTGCCCTATTTGCTTTTATTGTTATATCATTGATGTTGCCGTTATTATAGTTCGTTATTGGGCGACATTCCGATTCCGCGAATCCGCCAGATCCTGGTGATAGATCCGGACGCGCTCGCGCATAAGGAAACAGGTCTCCTCGAACACGTTCATGATCTCCTCACGAGCGTGCTCGCTCTCAAACTCGACAACCGCGAATTTCGACTTGCGCAGCTCGACGCCGCCGCCGCCCTTCCTGGCGTCCTCGTGCTCGGGGTACCCAAACACCGCTAGATTCCACTGGTCTTCGTGGCGCGGCTTGGTCTCATAGATCTTGACCGGAACTCCCGTTTTGTGGTTGCTGCTCTTAATGACGATCTTCTTGCACTTCCTGTCCGGGTTGTTGCAGTGGCAGTTCTCAGGGCTCAGTCTGGTACAGTCATCGATTTGGATGGCAACAAAACACTTCAGGCCCTTCTTGCTCTCTGTGAAGAGAACCAGTTGGGCTGAGATGGGGCGCTCAATCAAAGCCTTGCTGCCTGACTGTTGAATGCTGGTGCTACCATTGACCGAGGTAGCGTATGAGCGAGCCCAACCACCGGGTCCACCACCATTCCAACCAGACGAGCTTGTGAGAGTCGAGCTCTGTCGTGCCCGGGGGCTCGCCGAATCGGTCTCGGGAGATTTGGATGGTTGCTCATATCTCTTCTGGGCACGGCAGACCCAGATCTGTGCTCTCCCGCCAGAACCAATGCTCTTCAGAGGCCCGATCATGGATTCCTTGATCTGAACAGATGCCACTCCAGTCTGGTCAGCAACAACGCCGAAATTTGTGATAGCCTCTTGTAGCCTGTGCAGATCATCCAGCCGGCGGAATGTCAGAGCACGACTTTGATGATCCGAGGCCTGTGCTTTCCAACCGAGACTTATAGCGTCAGCCGAGGCTTCTGGAAAGCTGTAGAAGGGCAGCAGAAGAACCCTTTGAGAGTCGATTTCGTAGTTTTCGATTGCTCGGTCAGTCCCGCGGGTGAGAGTCCGCACAAGTCTTATTCGACTCGTATTAACCCTGAGAACGGAGATCTGCTGCGCGCGCCCGGAGTCTTCAGGTAAAGAGGCACGAAAGATGCGGGTTTCCATCCCGTTTGGCTCGGTAAGGTCGTCGAAATCGTCCACTTCGTCAAAATGGACCCAGATCTCAAACTTGTCGTCCGCCTCTTGGAGAATCTGCTGATCGTTTGGCGCTATTAGTGGCGACTCGCGGGCGTAGAACCGGCGACATTCATGAATGACTTTCCTCAGTAGCTGACGAAAGTAAGCTCCCCATAGAACATCCAGACATCTGGTTTCGAATTCCGGGTTTGCTTGGAGTTGTTTCACAAGCCACACACTTTTCATGAGATTGATGTACTGACAGGTGTCCGGTCTCACGAGAAGTGGCGGCTCAAGAACGAACTTCTGGGTACTGTTGCTCAGATGGAGAGCTAGCGCATCAATCCCCTTTTCAATGGGAAAGGGGATCGTAGATCCCGAGTTGGTGGCCGCAACGTCGAACTTTTGCTCAAGGAAGTCTGGGACTTCGAGGAGAAGGCCGTTGCTATCTATTTCCAGTTTTCGGATGATTTGTTCGAGCGAGAAAATGATGTCTTCGTGAACAATGGCTATATCTCTCCTGAGGTCGGTATACATCTTTCTATATCAGAGTAAGAGAGAGTCCCAGTGTAGATGAACGATTCTTACAGCTTCAGCGGGATGAGGATCAGGTTGATCTGTCGACATTAGCTACCCAACTTCCGGCGATCGCTTCCTCCTACCTTTGAACAGTGGAAGGACACTCGTCGTCCCAGATATTGCACATATTTCCCAAGCCCAGAGTTCCATTGGACATTGCGCACGAACCCTCTGTCTCTACTGAATTGGCTGTTTTTTTTAATCAGTTTCTCGCATCGTTTCAAGGTGTCGGTGAAGTCGCCGACGATTGTGTAGAAAGAAGCCAGGTCCTGGGGGTTTTCAACAGTTCCGGGTGCACCCTGTCTGTTGACATGCTCGACCGAGACGACGATGGCCTTCAGACCGTCTCCAAGAAGCGATATGTCCTTTCCGAAATCGAGGTATTCCTGCTCTATTTTCAGTCAGCGGAATCCTTTGTACAGGTGAAATCACCCAGTACTGACGAGCACTCGTGTATTGGCTGAATCCTAGATCATAGATCGTGTACGCAATGCGCGCAGCAGCAGCAATCTCAGCGAGTGGTAGTGGCATGATTGTCGACTTGTCCGAGCGGCAGGTTCAGGTGCAACTGCGCAATAATGAAGGAAAACATTGCTCAGGCTGGTGGCAAATGGTGAGATCAACCGTCCAAATTGGTTGACTGGGCTGATTGCCCTGCCTTGCGAAGGCAATCTGGACTGGGGACAAAAATTCCACCCGCCGTCCCAGGGGTATCAGTCGAGAAGTCGCCGAGTACAGCGGCTCGAGTAAGGGGTCTCAGATCATCTCAATTGTTCTGGCAGTCCATGGCTTTAAGGGTGTGAGAGCATTGGTTGTTGGTCCTCAGCCTCATCGTTTAGCGTCATTTCAGTGCAGTAGTTGGGAGGGGCTGTACAGCCTGCTGGGCCAATTTGAGGATTGGCAATGACCTTGGCCAGGAGGCATTGCAGATTCTGGACTAGAAATGACGCTCACTCGACGCCTGGTTTTCGAATTTCGCCCAATCGAGACCAACATAGAACCGTATCAACCCAGAAACCTTGACTCACCAAAATGTTGTGGCTTGAAGTCCCTCTCTAGCGGCTGCCTTTTCAAAGCATACTGACCTTTTCTTAGGAATGTGGCTGCTTGGCTCCGGATAGAACGAACCGCAGCTGTGGCGGAGTGGGAGGAGGAAGCCTGGTAGAAGATGTTGTTGCAATCTGGCATTCCTTTATCAACGTTTGATTTCAGAGGTGCGTGAAGATTTCCCTGGTTTTCTCGCGCTTGTTGAAATCCATGCTTCGTTGCCCTTTTCACGCTTATCTCCTCCCTTTTCAACATGTCCGAGTCAAGAGAAGCCATCATGCAACGCATTGAAGAGATGGAAGTCGAAGATGGAGCAGAACGCCCAAGATTCACAGAGGAGGAAATGGAGAAGATCCGGCAAGCCAGGGCACAGCCTAGGACCGTTGTGACAACCCGTCCAACCTCCCTGGGATATGTATCCATTGCTTGCATCATAATCAACAGGATGGTGGGTAAGTCTTCACCACCTAAGACACTCCAAATACCCTGGACAAGGTGCTGATTTGATCAAGGGACTGGAATTTTTAGGACACCCACCACGGTTGCTCACGGGACCCATAGCGTTGGCTACAGCCTCGTCTTCTGGGCAGCTGGGGCCATAGTCGCAGTCTCTGGGGTTCTCGTATTTGCGGAGTTTGGCATGACTGTCCCAAGGCTACCAGTTGAAAATGAGCACGAAAAAGAATCAGTACCTCGAAACGGGGGCGAGAAAAACTATGTCAGTATATCTTCGACACGAGAGGACTCGAGGGCTAACCTTTCGCAAAGCTCGAATACATGGTCAAACGCCCACTCTATCTTGCCACTTGTATCTATGGGATTCCCTTCATCTGTCTGGGGACCGCAGCCGGCAACGCGATCGTCTTCGCCGAAAACATCATGCAAGCGGCCGGCAAAGAGGCCATGAATGCCTCAGTTCGAGGAATTGCCGTCAGTGTGATAACATTTGCGTGTTTGCTGCACGCAATCTCGAGAACCGGAGGCGTCTGGTTGAACAACTTCTTCGGCGCCGTCAAGTTTGTCATGCTGCTCGTCCTGTTCATTCTCGGGGTAGTGTATGCCGCCGGAGGCTTTGGCGGGAGCGACGAAACGGCGTCGCAAAACCTGAACGTTCACAAATCCTTTGCTGGAGCGGCGACGTCCTCTTACGGCTATGCTGAAGCCTTTCTGGCCATCATATTTGCGATTGGGGGTTTCAATCAGGCCAATTATGTGAGCACCACCTCCGAGGACGGGAGAGTGTAGACTCCAGATGCTGACATTGGACAGGTCCTTGGAGACATCGATGATCCTCGAAAGAAGTTCAAGCACACTGCCGTAACCACGGTCAGCATTGTCAGCATACTGTACATCCTGATCAACATATCCTATGTGGGTGACAGCATGTCCAGGATGCGCCGTTGCCAACAAGCTAACCGTCTGGTAGATGCTGGTCGTGCCCACCTCGGTCCTATTCGAACACGCAGATGACACCGTTGCCCGGCCGTTCTTCCAACGCATCTTTGGAGAGGAAGCCGCCGACAAGGTGCTCTGTGGGTTCATAGCCTTTTCGAGCTTCGGCAACATCATCGTCCAGACCTTCACGGCGGCGCGGGTGAAGCAAGAGATCGCCAAAGAGGGCATTCTGCCGGGGGCAAAGTTCTTCGCGAACAACTACTCGCTCTGGCCACGGCGGTTGCGGCGTGACAGCAGAGCAGAAACCTCGGACGACACCCCGGCGGGCGCACTGATTCTGCATCTCGTCTTCGCCGTGGCGCTGATCCTCCTGACGGTGCCAGAACAGAATCCGAACGATGCCTATCGGACCATGGTCAGCCTCTACTCGTTTACCATCGACGCCTTGTTCGGGTTTGCCGTGGGCCTGAGTCTGCTCGTCCTGCGGCTTCGACCGGGCTACCACTGGGCCAGCAAGTCGGACTCAAACGCGTCCGTGAGCATTTCTGCAGCGCTCATCTTCACCATTGCCAATGCGTTCCCGCTGGTTGCCGTCTGGATTCCGCCCTCGGGCGACACAGGGATCACGCAGCCGGTGAAGTGGTATTTGACGGGTACGATTGGCATGGGACTGATTGGCTTCTCTTTGGCGTATTGGGTTGTATTCTACTATGTCGTGCCTCGGCTGAAAGGCAAGAGGCTGGAGGTGGAAAGAGAGGAGATTCTTGATGATCGAAACGGTTACTGGATCATGTGGCACGAGATTGTGCGGTTCAATTGGAGGGTTGTCTGATGCGTCAGCATCTTGTTGTTGTTGTTGTTGCCATCGTTATTCGTTCACCAAATATAGCAACATAGGGCATGTGTACATCTCATATCTCATATCTCATATCAAGCCTATGTACCGTGTCGACTTCCCCTTCCACATCTACCACACCTCGATATAAGAGATACATGAACTGTATTTTCTCCCGCAATCGACCATAGGATATGGAAAGCAGGGCTTCCCGTTCGCTCAGCCGTACTTAAGCCATATGCCGGCCCGTCAGTACCAAGGTGGGTGACCACTTGGGAATCCAGGCTGTTGATTGTTTTTTATGCTCGCTTTCTCTCTCCTCTTCTCCGTTTTCTCCTTAGGTACCTGACTGCCGCATGGAACCTTGCTCCTTAGAAAATTGATCGACAGTTCATTCTTCAAATAACAGGAACATGCGTCGATGATGTTTTTGGGTATTTGTTCTTTTTGTTCTTCTTTTTTTTTTCTTTTTTCTTTTTCCTTCTCTAAAGAACAAAAGACTTGAGAAGTCTCTATTTCGCCTCCCCATTCCCTTCGTTCCCCGCTTGTGCATCACCCTCCTTATCGTGAAACTTCAGACTGATACTATTCACACAATGTCTCTCGTCTGTCGGCGTCGGATAGCCCTCTCCCTTGAACACATGTCCCAGGTGCCCACCACAGTTCGAGCAGACGATCTCTGTCCGTTGCATGCCGAAACTGGTATCCGTGTGGCGGGTTACGGCACCCGGGATGCTGTCGAAGTACGCGGGCCAGCCGCACCCGGACTTGAACTTGTGGTCTGCTTTGTAGAGAGGGGCGTTGCAGGCGGCGCAGGTGTAGACGCCGTGGTCGGGCATGTGCTTGTCATACTCGCCCGTGAAAGGGGCTTCGGTTCCTTTTTCGCGCAGGATGCGGAATTGTTCTAGAATCGTCAGAGGCCGTCAGTTTCTGCCGTCCGCCATACAAAATGTGTAAATTGGTATGCCTGGACACGGAGGATGTGCAGGACGAACCTTTGTTCAGCACGGCCCTCCACTCATCATCTGATCGTGTGTCCGGGTAGGTCATCTTTGCTGAAGCTGGAGTCGAGGTTCCGAACAGAGCGCTCAGGAAAGGGATCGAGGACATGGACTTTGGGACGGTCGCGCGATGGATCTGGGAAATGCGATTACCCCGCAGTGGTTGTTGGAATCGGAAAGCGGTTGCGTTGCCGAGCGTGTAGAGTCTGCGGACAATGTGAGGGACAGATGGAAAGCGCATCCAGAGACAGTGGATGAGACGAAGGAAAATATATACCATAGACCTTGTGGGATCCGGCAATAGAGCGAGGGAAAAAGGACGAAGCCGAAGAAATGAGCATTTGAGATTCAGGCGAGCGAAACTGCCTCGACTCCCCCGGCGCCCCCAACGCGCCATCGGTGATGATGCAATGGAAGCATCTCGCGTGTTGCGACGGGTTGAAACTCAAGAAAAGTGGGGTGCTGATTGTGGAATCATTTAGTGCCTCGAGGCTGAAGCACGTAGCGAGGCAGCTATTTGGAATTCTATCCAAGTACTGGGTACGACGACATAGCCCCCAGCTCTGTCCGTCTCCCTCCAGGTCCCTGTAATCGTCTTCACATCGAGACATTCTTGACCCGTCTCAATCATCGACGGCTCTTACCCGTCACCAGCAACTCACCGTGTCCGATCTCGACTTTCCATCCCTCCCTCATGAGCATCTTGCTCACCGCTGGCCCTATCCGCGGCGCGTGATTCTTGCTGTGAGTGCCCACTCCGGTCACTATTTTGAAGCCGACTCTAGCTGGTCCGCCGCCGCCAGAAGCATATTTGGCATCGCCCAAGCCATCCCACCAGCTCTGGGTTTTCATGCTGCCGATTCGGACCGCATCTTGGACCGTCACACCATGAAGGTCGAGAACGGTTGGGGAAGACTGTTCAGCTACGAGCAGGTCTGCTTCTGCGGCTTTGGCCTCTTTCGCAGCTCTGATGCGTTCTCGTCCAATCTCTGAGTAATGCGCTGCAACTCCTCCATAGAGCCGATCGGATTTACTTCGTTTGTACGCAGCACCCGCTTGATCGAAACTTTGACTTGCTGCTATCCGAAAGCTGGCCGCAGAAGCTTGATACGGCGGTTTCGCCATTGCTGACGTCGCGGTCGAAGTTCTGTCGGGAGCTCTATTTTCCGTGAGGTCGAGAGGGGCGTACTGAGCTGCATCGTGCAGCTTCCCGGGGTTTTGTGCGTTCTCGAATACTGACATGGCCTGCAACAACTCCTGAGCCGCAGACGGTATATTACGGGCTAAACTCAGTAGACCGTACATTTGTGACTTTGGTACATGTTCAAATTGGCTCTGGAATTCGGCAATCTGAAGATCGAGGATGGGATCGACATCTGACAGCTGAGTATATGCCATCCCCTCCGTGATTGCCAGAGCCCGAATTGTAGACGCGAGTCGCGCACCATTAGAATGATATATCGACCGCACTACTTGGGGTTGGAGCTTGGTCCTTGAGCAAATAAAGCCGACATCTTCAGACATGGTAGCCCACACGTTTGTGGAAACGCATTCCGATTCGTAAGGCGACGAAGAAGCTGAGCTCGCACGCGAAGATTCGTTGGTCCGAGGTTTCCGTTTCTTTCTTCCTTTCCGCTGAGGCAGCACATCTTCTGCAAAACCATCTACACCCTTCAATACAGGCACCTCTTCTGGCCCTTCCTCGAGGCCCTGATTAAGGAACGAGAGGTTGAGAAGGTCGTCAACGGCTTTGTCAAGGGATCCTCCGTGACTCTCAAGGACGCTGGCCAGCTCACGCTTGGGTATGTCCGGAAACACATGCTGCAGCCACGCCGTCTTCTTCTCGATCGACGAGTTGTCGAGATCGTGTTCCAGGCTGTCAGACTCGTCCCATTTGAAATCCGAGAGACCAGTGGTTATGCTCGTCACATCGTTTGAAAAGACATCTTCGGGGCACGACCTAGACGTGTCGGTTGCTTCTCTGAGGTGCACAGGAGCTCCTGTACCTGAAGGATCAAATTCCGCGTCCTCCTGTTCTATGGCAGTGGCCTTCAGCCTATCGAGAACCGACGTCAAGGTTGCTCTATCCTGGGGCAGCTGATGATCGGACACGATCGCGTAGAAAAGTGCATCGTCTAGCGGAGGACAGTACTGGGCTCGAAGAGCCTCGCAAAGTTAGCACAAATGGCTCGGCGACAGGGTGGACTGCGGCCATACCTCCGTCTGCGAAGATGAAGGTTCCAAGTCGCCCATTCTGAGATATTTGCGCTGGTCATGTTTGGGTTGGCGAGGCTAGTCTGGGATTTTCTGGGGCAGTCTGGCGGTGGAAAGGGTAGAAAGGTCGTGCAAAATACATGGTTGAGAGAAAAGCCAAAGCATGAGGGGAGCGAGGACCAGTATATGGGGTCTGAGATGATGATGCAACTCGATCTGCAAGTGCGCTCATGCGCGACATGGCCGGGATGAGAGGGGCATGGGACTTTGGTTGACCGCCTGCGACTGCCCCGCTACCGCTGGTACCGCCGAGGCTAGTAGGCCTCACTAGCCGCCTAAGTCACTAACTGGGAAGCCTGGAGCTTGTAGCCGCAGTCAAAGCGCCCGCTTCACAGCAGCGGCCCCTGTTGGCCCCCCAACAACTATTACTGCCTCGACGGTTCTAGTCCCGACAGCCTTGCTCTTCGCTGAGACGTCCTCGCTTCTCGCACTGCCCGAGTCGCCATGAGGACTGTTTCCCGACTTTCATCCTAGGAATTGACACGCTCAAACAAAGCCAGCACAATTACTACGACTACGTACGGACTCCCCACACCATCTCTCCCAACTATTCTACGCGCCATACGGAGTGTTCGCCATGTACATGACCATTGGGCTGAACAGGCGCGTGTCGTAGTGTACTTAGTGTTGCAGCCAAAGAATGCGGGCTTCTGAGTGTAGTTCCGCTTGACGAAGGTTGCTGGAGGACGGACTTCTGGGAACGGGAGTCCGTGTCGATGCGCCTAGATATAGGTGTTGTAGAGTTCTGTCCTGTTGTCCCACTCGAACAGATCTCGGTCAGCATTACTGCCCCGAGCCGTGCTAGCGAGAAGTCAGAGCCAGCAAAACAGGGTCAGAAAGGGGATGCATCGAAACGGATGGCTTACATAAAATCGGATGTTCAAGCAAGTTGGATTAAAGTACAATGGAGGCGCTTGTCCGTCTTCCAATCCATTAGCAAGGGCAAGCCTAGGCGGCTCTGTGGTTTGACGCTCCCTGTATATGGCATGCCAGCGTAGGGACTTGAACCGTGGCATAAAGCCCTCATAGGTAGTTACCGTTCCTCCACTGGTCATGCCCTAGCTCATCAGCACATAAGGGAGCTTTTCATCATGCAAGTTCACGCAAGAAGAGGAGAGCGGAACTGAGCCATGAGTATAGCTGCATTCTCGTTCCCTGTATCACATACCGAATATGAAGATTTGCGTAGAACACAATTCGAGTATGTACAGGAGAGCTTCCTGAATCTAGAGCTGATTCAAGTGGGCATGTCTCCCAGGCATTGGCTGGCATATCCATACAACGAAGATGTCGTCTAGTTACGAAGATATCCCGAGGTCGTCCAATCCACGAGGAAAGAGGGGCATTGTCATAAAATCCTGGCAGAGAAAAGGGTCGGATATAAAACTCGGCACAAACGAACTCAACTTACAGGACAGAGCTTCATGTCAGAAGAAAACCAGGAGGAGAATCACTCAAGCTCTTTGCGGTAAGAAGGCAAAGTCTGAAAGATACAAAAGGGTCATGTATGTTGACAGAAGGAAAGCACAAAGGAAATTTGCTGCTGCTTGATGTGAGACTTGTGAAGCTCCTGGTACCTCGTACAAGCCGCCAGGAAAGGTTCAGGTTTGAAATCTGGCGTCGACGTCATCGGCGCCGCTTGGGAAACTCCTTGACTTCTCAGCCTCGTAGCGTAGCCTTGAACAGCGTGCTCCGCCCGCTCGGTACACAGCTGTTTCTCCACATACTAGGTAGACATCATCTCGTATTCACCTGGCCTGATGACTCTTGCACCGGAGGTAATTTATCCTGCTCGTGGCCCTCATAATTATGCCAGTTGACTGTAGTGCCGCCGTCACTCGCAGATAGGAGTGGCCAATATCTGAGCCGTCAGGAGTATATCAAAGATTCGTCCGTAGCGGTTCCGAGACCTGTGGCATCTTCGACAACGCCGTAGACTTGATATTTATATCAGTTATTTTCACGCTCACGTTGGTCGGGAAACCTTTACTAAGATGTAGCGGTCCAATAGAGACTGTGTGTGCTCCATGCAATCGTATTCCCACAGAAATTTCGCGATTTGTGCCTGGCCGACTGCGAAACTGTCAGAGAGATCCACAAAGCAGAATGAGAATGGTTAGAGACTGACCAGGAGCAGGGTCTGGCGAAAATAACCGCACGATTTCGGCTGGTAAGGTCACACCGTCCTCGACAGCAGACATACGAGCCCGGGACAACAGCTGCACAATGGATGTTCGTCGTACGCGCAGCTCGTCGTTCAGGAGCAGGCGATTCGTCACATCCGACTTGTGCTGGAGTCCTCTCATAAGGAGTCCGAGGGTTGCCCCGTCTTCGATCGACTGAGCTGCACCTTGACCCTGCCTCGGCCACATGGGATGAGCCGCGTCGCCAACCAAGACCAGCCTGTCCCGGTAATATGTTGGAATTGGCTCTCGATCGCCGATTTTCCAGTCCCGAACCGTGTCTTCAGCCTTGCTACCAATGGCTCTAAACACCGGCGGCAAAGCACTCAGTCTCTTAAGCAGGTCATCTCTGCTGAGCTGTCCACCTGTCAAGGTCGGAAGTGCATCTCCATCGTCCGACACTCCATAGGCTCCGAAGTTCTGCAGTTCGTTACTAAGATTTCCGTTAGCATTTCATCATGACCATCATTTGGAGGCTGGGAGTGCCTGACTTATGACAAGGGTAACGAAGCAGATATGTCTTGCGATTGGCGTCAAAGTAGAACGCAAAACAACCATCGCCGTCATCCATTATCTCTGCGGTGACCGGATCCCTCAGGAGGGTCTCAGTCTTCAATATAAATCGTATAGCGGTGATACCACTTGGGGTAGCAGGAACTCGGTGGCCTAGGATAGCCTCGTGGGCCAGAGAATGTATTCCGTCGGCGGCGATGACGAGGTCGGCGGACATTTGCCTCCCGTTTTGGATCGTGATACTTCCTGCGGGATCCCAAGCAACGACCCTCGACGACAGAAGGACATTGACAGGTTCTCCCGGACCTTCCGAGCTGACGCATTTCGTCTTCAGGGCATCGTGCAGGTCGACTCGGTGAGCGAGGTAAAACAGGCCTGGGAAGTCCTCGGCCCTCCGTGCCCACGGTATCTGATGCCCATCTCCCTTCGCGCCAAACTTGGGCGGCTTGTCGGTTGTGAAATGATACTCGAGTGAGTTCTTGAACGGAGCGGCCTTGACGTCCCTCTCGAGGTCGATGCCGAGTTTCACCAACGTGCGAGTGGCATTGGGAGGAACAGCAACTGCCGCGCCGGCCTCGCGCAGCCACGCAGATGATTCAACCACCGTGACTGTATGGCCTTCCCTTCGCAGGGCCAAGGCTGCTGTCAATCCCGCAATCCCTCCCCCAACGACAATGATGTCCAGGTGCGCGCTAGGAGACATGCTGAAGAATCAAAACCAACAACCCTCTGTCACAAGAACATGAAAAACCGGGAGTCCCGTGAACGAGATTCAAGCAATGCCATACTCGCACAGCAAAGAGTGTCTGCTTATGAAGCCTATTGACAATTGTTGTAAGCATGTGACGCATGTCCTACCCTTCAGGCCAATTGTGGTCAGATCTTTATTTGTCCATCCTGGGAGAAAGTGCTGCGATCTGCTACACAGAATAGAAACCTCACTGCCTGAAACGGCATTTTCTGGGGACAAAAATCTCGAGCACCAACCTGAATTGATCGTTTCGTACTTGTCCTTCTCAAGTTTACGGCATAAAAGTCCTCGATACAGGCAACAGATGTACGTGGAGGCCCATGACAGAGCTGTCCTCTAGAGGTGCTTGTGAGAATGAATCTCACGGATCAATTTGCGATGCTATACGTCCGTTGAAAGTTTTGGGAGGGTTCGTATAGCGAATATTAGATAAGCCCGGACATGCGGCAAACGACCAAAGACAGAGCGGAGACACGCCGATTAACGAACCAATTCACTGAACACGGAGACGCTAAATTGTCATCGACGTCGTTTGGGGTCGTTGGGCATAGACTCAAGCACGCCTCCGTCGACCTGATGCTGCTCAGCCCTTATCAACACCGTCTCAGGTTGGGGGGAGAATGTCCGCGGTCAAGGCCGCTGTCTGCTGAACGAATCCCACCCGGGAATGGCAGCTTGAACGTACATTCTGGGTTCTAATGCTTCGTGAGAACCATCTTGACAAGTGGGCCACGGACGTACTTCGATCGTCGTATTGGGACAGGAGCCGGATACGATCCCGACCGAAGACGAAGTATGCCCTATCAAACGACGGCGAACAAAATGCAGCAGGATGAGCAACGGCATATTGGTTCATGCTACACAAACTAATGCATCCCTTCCGCTTCACGTCATCTCATTCCATACCATGCACTGCTCGCTTTCGGTCAGGAAAAGGCAAAGCAAAGAAAAGAAAGGAAAAGTAAACAAGAAGAAAAGGACGGTATGTCGTTTCCATCACTTCCCTTCCTCGTTATTCATCTCGTTGATGGCGGTCATCAACTCGTGCGCGTCCAAGTAGACTTCGTAGAATTCGGCCTGCAGGTCCTTGCCGTCGCCCGGATCCGCAAACTTGATCATGCTGGCAAAGTCGACGTCGATCCTGCGCCCGTTGCGCAGCTTGTACCACAGCGACCCGTTCACAATCACCTCCTGCTTGCCCGTGTCGGCGCCGCCCGCCAGCACGAAGCACTTGCCCAGCGTGTGCTCGAGGTCCACGACAGGCCCGTTGGTCGGGTGGATCATGGCGTCGCGAAAGGCACGGATGGCGTCGCGGCCCGTCGTCGTCGAGCCAAACACCAGCTGCCCGTCCGGCGCGAAGAGATTGAGATAGTCGTTGTTGGAGTGCGGATCGTCCCACGACCGGAAGAAGGCTGGCAGCTGCTTGTCCAGCGGGGACGGGATGGAGGTCTGGTTGGCAAAGGTGTAGTTGTCTTGCGATCCCATCGTGGCTCAACTCGCTGTTTTTTTTTCTTCTTTCTCTTTCGGCAGATCTGAGATTGAGCTCTGTGAGTATGGCAGCAGTTGACACAAGGTTTCTACCTGTCTACGTATGTGAGGCTCCAGCTATATGATCATTGTAGGGCCGAGGCCTTGACCTGGAAAATGTGGGGTAAAATACGAGCATCGGGATATAATCAACTGCCGATCATCTACATAGTCCGGTGCATCGACGGAACGAAGGGCCAAAGGAGAAGTTGACTGCTTCGTAGGTGCCTTTTCTCGTTTCAAATTTCATTAACTCATAGCTTCATCAACCGCAGGAGCACATCATTGGGCGCTCTATCGATAGAAGGGAATCAACATAGTGTGTGCTTGAAGGTCCGCCAAAAGTTCCATCCCTCATAACTCATACCGTAAATCTATACTTCCTTCCAGGTGTACCCTTTCCTGCCCAAGGCGTCAGGATCGGGGGTTTTCATGGCGTTCTTATCAGCAAATGGGTCATCAGGATCGTCATCGACATCTGTCTCGCTCTCGCTGTCACTTTCAACTTGCTTCGTCCTCCAATTCTTGGAATTTGACGACGGCCGCGGTGGTGGCATTGCAATATGGCCCGGAGCTGGTCGGGGTGGTTTGGGTGGAGCTGAAATGCTGAGTCCCGCCACCATCTTCTCCGCGTCTCTCGCAGCAGATGCCTCGCTCTTGGCCGCCTGTCGACTGAGATGTTGCGCCTCCTCCAGCTCACTGTCCGAGTCGTCATCGACCGACTTGTCGAGAACCTCAAATGCCATTAGAGCATTGACCAGCTCTTCGTTGGCATGAATCAGACCACCCAGGAACTCCTCGGTCTCGACGAACTGGATGTATCGCAAGATTTGACGCCGGAGCTGTTTGCAGGTTTCGAAGCGTTTCATCACCTCGGGATTGTCGGACACTCGTTCGGACTCCCGGTTGACTAACCTCAAGGCATTGTTCAAGCCAGTGGAAGCAACTGAGGATGCCGCGATCGACTGCAAGATATTGGGTTTTTCTTTCTCCAGGTTGAAACCTCCTCTGGCTTGCTTGCTTTTCTTGTCCTTCTTGACCTTTTTGGGCGCGAATGTGGAGGACTCTCCTAGAGCGACAGGAGAAGGTTGTTTGCGTAGCGTCGTGGGGCTGGACGATTCGCCAGACCTTCCGGTGCTATCGGACCTGGTCCTTGCAATCTCCATCTCCTGCTCTCTAGCAACGTCCTCTTCTGTCTCTCGGAGGACTCTGCTTTGTTCGCGCCGTTGCTGAACCGGTTTGTGCGTCCGGGGCAATGTATTGTAGAGCGACTTTGCCCCTTCCAAGCCTGGATTGTCTTTCGAGCTGGCAACCCACTGCCCAAAGAGGTCTTTGCATTTTGTACGGACATCATGGTCTGAGGTAGGGTCAGCCGCAGCTATTCGGAGTCGTTCCAACAAAGGCCCATCGGACAACAACGCTCGTTGTACTCTTGTCCCGCCATTCTGTAGAAGGCCGTCGAGAATGGTGAGAGCGCGGAGTTGCCGGTGGACATTGCCGTATTTCAACTTCTTCCTCAAAGCTCGGGCGACCTCCTGCGAGCCAGTGGCCTGCAGCTTGACGACCTCAAGAAGATCGGGGACTCCGGCAAGATCATCTTCGTCGTAAGTTTCCGAGGTCAACTGTTCCACGTGGACCGAGATGGCGGAGTAGGGTTTCTTCTGTTTGTAATAACGATAACGAGTTATTAGTCGATATCTCCTGGGCGATCGGGCACAACACGAAAAATGTAAGAGGAAAGCAACGAAGCGCTTGCAGCCCTTCTTCTCGGGAAACCGGCGCGTCAGGATCTCTGGGTATGGCTGTTGGGGATAAGCGTCGAAGGTCCTCCTCTTCTTGCGGGCGCACCGATCGCACTCCTCCGACTCTTGACAATGAATCAAGGTTTCCACCTCGTAGGGATCCGTGGTCTGGGGACTCTCAGGTCTGGGAAAGTCGACGAATCCAGCATCGGGAGCGCATGCTGGAGCGTGCAGCAGGAAGATGGACATTGTGGCCTTCATGAGGGAGGAGTGGTATGGCGGGGTAGGTGATGCAGGGATGGAGATGGGCGAGTAGGGTCAAGACATGGCAGAGACGGTGGACAATGAGAGAGGACACAGGAAGAGAGAGGACTCACCGAGGCGGAGAACATGGTTATAGAGGGTCTATGTATGTACGAGCAGGTCAGAGGCGTACAGTACGGGAATGAGACTGGTAAATTGGGGGTTGAGCATTCAGGTGTGAATGGGTTGGAACACGATGGTGGATGGTTGCTGCTTTGGGGCCTAGTGGCCTGGGGAACCAGGAAGGGAAAGGCGCAGTCCGCGGGCAGTCACCTGCAAAAACAGACATGGGGGGGGCTTGCAAGCGTGCTTTACAGGCTAGTAGGCGTGCTTGCGGGCGTGCTTGCGGGCGTGGATGCTTGACTGTCACTGCTAATAAAGTTGGCTATTAGGCGGCGGCACATGCCCCTCCTTGCCCTCCCCACTGCTGCCGCTACTACTGTACCAGTTGCCACCCAAGCCGACAGATTAACCTTCCCACTCTTCGTTGGAATCTCGCCTACCCTGTACATACTTAGCCGCCATTCGCCTGCTGGGGCAAATTGCGCCTCATTTCCAAGGCAGGGAGGGTCGATTCTGGATTCAGTGGGATCATGGGGAGTGAGCCCTCAGCATTCGCATCGCATCGCCCAAAAAAGACCCGGGATTCAATTGGGCCTCAGGCTGGTAAACAGCCAAACAAACAAAATGACTCGTATTTTCTCACATCATTCTGATTCCCATCTGACGCCAACACAGGTAATACCTAGTGTTGACAGCCAGCAAACCCAAAACGGTGGTGACGGCAACACAACCATGGCCAGAGACGTCCCGCTTCTCAGAATCTTCCATCCAGCCGTCGACCCGTCACCTTTTTTCCCATCTCAACATCGGCGTGGATTGACAGGTTTTCGCCGACATGGAACTATTCAAGAGCGGGCATATTGCATAGTATACTGGCCTTTGGCCCATTCGGGTCGCGGTGCCTGGGTCTATCACGGTAAGCGCAGGTCCCAAGTGCCACGAGGCATGCAGAATGGCAAGCGGTGGAGACGCGAAGGATCTGGATCCAGTGAGTGGTCGTCCCGAAAGAGGGAGATGATGCAAAGGTTCAGGCCAGGGCTAGCTGAATCCTTTTGACCACACCCATCGTTCCTCCTGCGTGGTTCGTCGGTTAAGAGAGGCCACACCGCCTGGCTCAATCAGCTTCTTCCTTCCGAGGTGATTGATTTCTTCAAGACACAAAACGCAGCCATCTGTTGGAGCCGACCATAGGTACCCAGTAGACCAAGGTCGAGGTGTGAGGAGGAAAAGCAAATTCAATGCGGACCGAGGAGGCTACGGTATCCGGATGTTTGCTTTTTCCCTCCTCGACGCGCAATATCCGACGGTGGTCAAAGCGCTAGGGCGTCGAACAGGAGAACTCACCCACGAGCACGTTTGATTTGCAAGCACCTCTCGTTCCTTGGTGGGATTGAAGTCTCACGGTTTCACTGGGAGGTTGGGTGGTCACACTGCAAGGGGCTATGTTTGAGCGTCGAACGACGAAATAAGGGACGTGTCGATGCGGATTCTTACGTGCAATGCAAAGGGGTGGTCAGAACAAGAATCATTTCTATTTGCACCAATGTTATACAAACGGGGCTGGTTTAGGTAAGAATGCTGCGACAAAGCACACCAGTCTGATCCTGTCATCCAAGGACATAGATAGATACATACACGTATCATAGCCGCACGAATCCATCTGTTTGGTGTTCCAACTTCTTGCCGATAGACCAAACAAACTGTTGTACTGGGTAGTTCCTGGTGTCTTGTCACTCGGTAACTGTACAGTAACTGTACGAGATATGCCCGTTGAAGCTCTCAAGCCACCAGCGTCAGTTGTGCCTGCATAAAGTACTGGGTACTCCATATGGGACCAGGTACGGAGTACCCAGTACTTCCTAGGCACCGGCTTCGGCTTTGTCCAGCCGATCAGAAAGGCCCCCTTGACCCATGCCAGAAAGGCTTCGACGTGTTAGCTTAAAGCCGCAACTGGCACCGGCGCACTCCCCATCCCCATCTCCGTGTCCATGTGGATGCGTTTTCGGACACAGAGAGACAGACGGACAGACAAACAGACAGAACGCAGACAGAACGCAGACAGAACGCCAACGGTTGTGCCAATTTGATGGAGGAATTGCGTGATCGACCACAACGGCCGGCGCTCTGCAGGAAGATAAGACATGGCGCCCTCCTTTGACAGAAAGCGGCTTGAGTTCGATCCCCTTTTGATTTCGCTCTCAATCAACTCAAGGTCAAACAACCTCATCAGCAACTACGGAGGACCCTGGGGGTGTTGTAGAGAAGACGGGCGAGGAGAGGAAGGAAACACGCCAAGATGGGCCTGCATTGAAACGCGACCTGTTGGTTCTGGGCCGCTGCAGGTTCACACACTTTTGAGGCTGACTGCCCGACTGTCTGACGCCCCTCCAGAGCCCAGAGTCCAGAGTCCAGAGTCTACCTCGTAGAGTCTAGAGGGATTGAGGATTGATTGAGATTTCCTTCCCGACATTGGACTGGCGGTGAGTACAGGGTATGAGCTTCCTCTTGTTCAATCCCATCCACCTCCACCTCCACCGTCGCCCCGCTACTTTTGCCCTCATCGTCGTCTTCTGCTCCATTGCTGTTTTGATTGTCGCTCTCATCCTGGCATCCCCTCACCGTCCAGCGACATCATCTCTGTTGGCTCGTCTGGGTGCGTTGATCTCTCAATTTCCACCGCCTCCCCCCGCTGCCCCCGCCACCCTCTTAAGCTTCATATCGGGCCTTGGCATCAGATCCCAACACAGCATCACCACCAACACAAACACAGCTCCGCACACGACCACCAGCAATATCCACAACAAAAACAACAACAACAACAACAACAACAACAACAACAACAACAACAACAACAACAACAACAACAACAACGCCACAAACACCACACCCCCCTCCCTCCCCACCATGGCATACGAGAAGGAGCTCAAGGTCGCCCAGCTGGCCGTCGCCCGCGCCGCCATCCTCACCAAGGCCGTTTTCCATGAGAAGTCCAAAGGCACTGTGTCCAAGGACGACAAGTCCCCCGTGACCATCGGCGACTTTGGCGCTCAAGCCCTCATCATTGCCGCCATCAAGCACAACTTCCCCGCCGATGAGGTCGTCGGCGAAGAAGAGGCTTCATCTCTCCGCGAACAGAAGGAGCTCTCTTCCAAGATCTGGAATCTGGTCAAGGATGCCCGCCTCACCGACCCCGAGAGCGACGCCCTTCTCGGCGGCCCACTCAAATCTGAAGACGCAATGCTCGACGCCATCGACCAAGGCAACTCGGCCGGCGGCAACAAGGGCCGCATCTGGGCGTTGGACCCCATTGACGGCACAAAGGGTTTCCTCCGCGGCGGACAATACGCCGTGTGCCTTGCCCTCATGGTCGACGGCGTCGTCAAAGTTGGTGTCCTCGGCTGCCCGAATCTCCCGGTCGACGACTCGGCCCCGCTGACAGAAGACATCGGCGCCGCGGCCACTGACGCCGAGGGGAAGGGCGTTCTTTTCTCCGCCGTGGAGGGCGAGGGCGCGACATCGCAACCCTTGACCCGAGGCGCCGTGACAAAAGGACAGCCAATCCGCGTGAGCAAGATCTCCAAGGTGAGCGAGGCGGTTATGTGCGAGTCAGTCGAGCCGGGCCACTCGAGCAAGGGCGACAACGCGCTGATTGCCGAGAAACTGGGCGTCACGGGCCGCCCGGTGCAGATGGACAGCCAGGCCAAGTACGGCAGCGTGGCGCGCGGGGCGGGGGACCTGTACTTGCGCCTGCCCGTGCGCAAGGACTACATCGAGAAGATCTGGGACCACGCCGCGGGCGACCTGATTGTGCGCGAGGCCGGCGGCCTGGTCACCGACGTCAACGGCAAGCGCCTCAACTTCAGCCTCGGCAGGACGCTGCTCGAGAACAAGGGCGTCGTGGCCACGCCGGCCAACGTGCACGCCGAGGTCCTCAAGGCTGTCCAGGAGGTGTTGGCCGCGAAATAAGGGGTCGGAAATCGGACGGACTGGTTGACTGGCGGACTGGCTGGCACGCAGGTAGATGGATAGGAAATAGACAGACAATCAAGGTATGCATGCATTAGAGGAACCAAGAAACGGAATGGAGTGGATTGGACGGTGGGATGGGGACAGTGATTGCACACTTTTGACTACCATACACACACTGCACGCCACCGTATGTCGCAGCAAGCCCATACATGTATCCATACCCGTACCTATATCCACATCCATATCCCGATCCCTCTCCGGGGCATGGATGACCGCCAACGCGGTCAACGCACAGAAAAGAAAAACACAAGGGCAGAATCCGAGCGGATTCCGAACAGACGGAAGGGGACGCGGAGGAGAGGAGAGCGGGGGATGGATGGATGTATAACGAATAGACCGCTGGTCACCAGCCAAGTATAGGGCGTATATTATATATATGCGTATTACTCCGCACCCACTCCGTACATGCATGTGTAGATAGTCGATATAGAGAATTCTTGTCTCGATTCGAATGAGCCTCGAGTCTTGAGTCTTGCGCCACGCCTTCTACATGGTATCATCAACATCCTTCTGTTACTATGGAATATATCCTCCGTGCTTAGAATCCTACAGATATCTATATAGGCATACAATGGAATGTAGTTGAGAACACAGCGGGTTCTTGACAGGTCATTGAATTAAAAGGGATGGGATCCGTCTCTCCAGCCGGTCAGACAGTTGTTTGGTGGTGCTGGTGCGGGTAATGATGCTGGTCGTGCTATGCTGCTGAGGACAAGACCACTTTTCACCTTCCTGTACGCTGTCTCCATTTTGTCTTCTCTCTTCAATTCACTTTACGTCCCTTCTCCTCTCCGTTTTGGCCCTGTCTACTTAATCTTCTTTGCCTTCAACCGGATAGTCTCGTCGTTAACAAAGATGCCCTTGCCTTTGTATGGCTCGGGCTTCCTCCACCGCCGGATTTCCGCCGCGAACTGCTTGATCGCCTGCTTGTCGCAGCCCTCGAGCAGGATCCGCGTCGGCTGCGGGGTCGATGCCTTGACGCCCCGAGGTACACCCATCTCGACCGGGTGCGCGTATCCGAGCTTCAGGTTCACAAACTTTTGGCCCGGGTATTGCGCCGTCTTTGTCTGGGCCGTGTCTTCGATCGTTGCGCGGTAACCGACGCCCACGAGCCTCAGGATGCAGAGATGGCCCTCAGAGACGCCCGAGACGGTATTTTGGACGAGTGCACGCATGGTCCCTAGATCCACGGAAAAAGAAATATGATTGTAAGCACAACTTCTTTTCCCATATAATATATTTCGAGTATCTCTTCCCTCAACAAAGGCTATGGATTGGCAAACTCACCCCACATAGCTCGTTGATGTTTTTCCGCCGCATCCTTGACGTTGATGTTGATCTTCTTCGCAGACTCGTCAAGTTCGGCTTGGAGATAAGGTGGTAAAGGTACGGTCATTTGTCCTGTAACATCCAGAGGCGCGAATCAGTCTCAATGCTCCATGCTCCTCTGTGTCTTCTGTTGCACCCCGGCCCCAAAATCCCTTCTTACCTAGAGGACCCGTAACTTCCAACGCCATGTTCGGCGTGTCTGGATGTCTGCTCCGCACATTCCCTTTGGCCAATTCATAGAATCGTAACGACACTTCGGGGGGAACGGTGATGGGCGCTCGGCCGATCCGTGACTGGTAGCTCGGGGGTTGGGGGGTCTCAGCCAGCGTCGAGGCTTGCCTCGCTCCGAACGGTCGAGATAGCGCTGGGACAAGGAAGAACGGGATCTCGCGTGGACCTGAACTGCTGGCTTCGCGAACCAGGCGGCGGAAGGAGGATTGGAGGTTGCTGCAAGCCATGGTCATGTCTGTAGAGAGTGTCGGTTCGGTATGGGGTGAAGACTTCGGAGTGGAATGAATTGCTAGCTCATCCTCCACGTATTTCGTAGTCTCAGGCTCTTAAGAAGGCCGAGCTGCAGTGCAGCGAATGGTGGCAGATAGCAACTAGGAGGTAGAGCGAGCGTTGGTCCAATGCCTCGATACATGCCTTTTCGTGAACTCCGCAGTCGCTGCATTTGCAGCAAGAAACCTTTGAGCCAATAATATTGCCATGCATTAAGCTCCACCCGTATATTCCACTAGTCCGAATTGGGACACTTCAAGGATGTACCTAATATGTACTTCGTAGTACATGTTGTTGTTGTAATACATGTTGTAGTACCTAGTAGTACATGCTGGATGTACATGGGAGATGGCATCTGTTTGATGCTGGGATAAACAATTCCTGACCGGTACATGCGCGACACCATCTACATACTACACCCTCAACTTCGAGTACTCTCCCGTTTGTTGGTATCTCTGCGTATAACGCGCCAACCCATCCTGCGTTCTCTTCACCAGCTCATACGGATTCGGTCTCCTGGACGGATCAACCCGCAGACAATCCTCTACCAAGCTTGTCAACTCGGACGAGTAGTATCGGCTTCGGTAACCCATCAAGGCGGAATATCCGTTTTTCCGCATTGTGTGTTCTAGTCCCTCCGCTTTTTTGACCATCTCGTCAATGTGCTTGTTGTGCATGTCCGTGGTCATCAACCCGTAGATGTTGGCGCCTATTTGCCAGACGACGTGCTTCATGGAAAATGGGGCATTTCTGTTGCCCAAGATGGGGCGGTCCCAGCTTTCGCCATAGCGGCCGGAGTCCCGTTGTTCCTGCATCCCAGAATTATGAGTTTCCCATTTGTCGGCGTTCTGATGGATACGACGCAGAGAGGAAAAGCAAGGCGAGAGAGCAGAGGATGCGCGAAGTGAACTCACCGGTGGCATCCAAACAATGGTCCCATAATTTTTCCACTTCTTGCTGTTCCTATCATCGTCGAGACTGGTGTACTCGGCCATACCCCAGTCGGCAACTTTCAGCGTTGGGTATGGCATATACTTCGAGCTTCCTGGGGCATCTCCAAGCAGAACTATAATCTCATGAGCTTATTGCAGTTGTCCATTTCTGAGCGCATACCGTTCTCCCCCTTCAAGTCCAGGTGCAGAACGAAATGATCGCCTCGGGGCGAACGGGCACCAATTGAATCCAGCCGAAGAACCTTCATGTGATAACATGCTTGTGCGAAGTCGTTGAATGCTTGCCATACAAAGGCTTCTGGTATTCGCTCACTGCGGTCCATCAATGTATCAGCAAACCCTTTGCTTCTCTGCAACGTCCGTTATTCTGCCCAGGAGGTTGCACTTACTCGCGATCGTCTCGTTCCTTACGCGCCTTGTATGTCTTTATCAGGTCATGCAAGGTCCCGTATCGATAGTATTCGAGATACAATCTCCATTTCGGGCGGTCGCAGTCGAAGAATCTCACTTCACGTAGTGAGGCAACATTTCGACATCCTTGCTTCATCAGCGCTTTCACCAGCGCTGCTTCCGTTGGCACGGTTGGATGGCCGTCCTCATCAACCTCACGATCGTCGAGGTTCGATTGTTTGATAGCAATAACCTGAGCACAGCGTCGGTGAGCATGGCCCCTGAAAAACAAGTTTCCGCCCATCTCCTTACGTCAACGGCCCTACCGTGGTTGTCAAACTTGGTCCATTTTCCGACCATACCAAAAGCCCCTTTCCCGAGTATATCCGTACACTGATCAGTAGAAAACAGGTGTTAGCAGCAGGTCTTGAAGCAGGTGTCGGCAGAATCGTGGCCAAACCATACTTCCCACATATAATCGTCCTCGCGATCGAGCTCAAAGTATGCCCTCGACAGGGCAAATGCCTCTGTTCGTCCATCATACCACCTTATATCTTCCCTCCAGCGCCGTACTCGTCTTATCGTTTTTTCCCTATTGTCCGTCCATTTCGCCCGCTCGTAAGGTGAGTTGGAGGTCTTTGCAACGCGAAGATTGGCTCCCGGGAGGTCTCTGACCCTCATGGTGAGACAACGTTCTTAAAATCAAGGTACAAAACCGTGCCTGGAGTGTTAGCAGCTGGGGGGAAAAAAAAGTTGTCAAAGCAAAGTCAGCAATGTGCAAACGTTGGACGACCAGGATGGAGTCATGTAAGAAGCAGGCACAAAGCAGACATCCACGCAGAGGTTCTCTCGAAGGCAGCCATTGTATAGACTCGAAAAAGGGGACTTTCTTTCAAGTCATACAAACCAAAAAACCGGATCCGGTATCCTTGAAGATGTTTTTCGACGCTTGAACCATCGACAATGTGACAAAGCGAGGCTTCATTGTACAGAAATAGTGCAGGGAGGGCCCCTGAGCGGTAAGCATATCTGTCACAGCGGACGACCATTCTTCTCGGAACTGTAGAGACTTCATAGAAGATGTGAAAGAGCTCCCTTTCACAGAGGTTGAGAGATGAAATAACATGTGTGGAGGAGACCAGAAGAATGGAGATGTACCGAGTTGAAACCTGCACGGGCCACGCTTGGACGCAAACAAACATGCTCTTGGAATCTCCAATGGACTTTCCATCCACCTCGACCACTTCGACGCGTCCCCGTCTTGTTACCAAAGCTGCGAATACTTCATCGTTGAAATGAAACATGTTAGTGCATTCATCATGGAGACATGTAGATGGCCGTGTCATGCTTGAGCTTTCCAACCAGATACCGGTATCTACCGTCTGTGATCGTGCAATTAAATAGATCGAAATCGTCTCTGGAGCAGCGGCCGGACATATTCGAGAAGGAACAAGCGCTTTCGGAGAGTCGGAGACAGGTCTGGAAGAAACAACGAAAACAGTGGTACCAGTCAACTTCATTGGAATTGAGAGACAACAACATCAGATTCAACAACCTTCTGAACCTCATGGAGACAGACAGCCATGCACTTCGTCATCTCGTGCACCGTTCCTCCGCGCCCTGTATTGCCGCATTGGAGCAAAGAATAGATAGGTACCGCAATATTATTAGATTCTGGATCGCCTGGTGAGGCGGGGATTCGACTTGCTTTTCGAAAGGTTAGCCATTCACGCCTGGCTTGTCTTGTGCTCTGCTGATGCTTCAAAGTAAACCATAGTTGCCGCTAAAATGAGAAGCAAAAGTTATAATCAAAGTGAGCGAAATGGTGTCGCTGCGTCATCAGGGCTCTCCCAACCGTGCTGCATTCGTTCCTCTTGAAATCCACAAAGGTTCTTCCATTGTCGTCAAGCAGCTTGGAGTTTCGCGAGAAGGGCGTCAAGTTCCGTCCAATTCGACTGGGTCATTGCAAATTTTCGGTGCTTACGAGACACAATATGCTTTTTTTTTTTTCCAAAATCAGTTTATGGGCTCAAGATGCGTTTCTCAGTCACTTACCTCGTCAAAATCTTCATATTTGTCACGGCAGTTCTCACAGTACCCTGGCTTAGGGTCTCTCCTGATAGCCTTCTTCCTCCTTGACGGATGCACGGCGCGTTCGGCCGCAATGTCATCGGCATGCGAATCGGTTTCTTCTTGAATGCCGCCCAACTTCTCTTGTGCTTTGCTTTTGGCTGCTCTTTGCGGAGCGGGGCCTCGCGCAGTCTTCAAAGCTCCGACAAGGTCATTCATGCGATGAGATGAAGGAATAGAACCAACGGAAAGGCTGCCAGTATGGGTGCGCTCAAGGACCTGGCGCTGCAACTGATGATGCACCTCTTTACTGGTGCCGGCTTTGACTCCAGTGGCCGCCGTGGAAGAAATCATCTGGGACTGGATTGCCGAAGTAATGTTTGATCTTTGGATCCCGGATGCTGCTGGCTCTCGACCTATGTGGAGCTGAGGTGGCTGAACGAATTCGATTTCGTCTCGCTTCGGCATGGGAGGAAATGATGGTTGACGTTCCATGGCAGCGGCGTGAATCTTCAAGTCCTTCTTCTCTTTGTCTAGGTCCACAGAAGCATTGGCACTGTTATTGACCACTTGCAGGGCCTTTCGGGGGCTGACGCGGCGGGGAGAATCGAGTCCGGCGGCGGTAACAGCTACATGAGATCGTGTGCGAGGAATATTTTGTTCGCGTCGTTGCTGTTGTTGACGTTGCTGTTCCTGCTGGAGGGCAAGCCTCTGGGCTCTCTTCTGCTCCTGCTCGATATCCTTCTTCATGGCAGGATCCTCGACGAATGGGCATTTTCCAACGCTGGCAGACCGGAATTGAGGCCATTCACCGTCGGCCCTCTTTGCCACTTTTGGGTACTCCCTGACCAAGGTAGGACGATACTTTTCATCCATGTCATGAACATAGATGAAGGGACCTTTGAATGCGACTAGAGACATAAACGGAAGCTCCCTCTCCGAAGCAACTCCGAGTTTCTCGTTCCTCAAGACCTCCCCCAGATCTTCATGCTGATGCCGGGTGGTATGTGCCGATGCCCTGGTGTGATGGCCATGATTTCCACCGTCATCAAGCACAGAGTTGAGCACTCTTTGTAGTTTGTCAATTGAATAGATCTTCATGCCCATTTCTTTCCCTCTGACAAGAATGTCCATTGGATTGAATCCGTTGCGCGTCACGTTGGGGCCAGCAGATCCGCGAGGGTTCTTCTCGAGCAAAGACGGATTGATTGTTTGAGGGTGGTCTTCGATCGGAGAGGGTTGCGCAGACTCATCTCCACCGGCGGTGTTCTTCCCCAGCTCCGGGGGAATGTGGCGAGCCGTTACTATGTGTGTGACGGCTTTGGAAAAGAACTTTTCTTCTTTCTACACCAAATGTCAGCAGATGCACGGACATGAAACGCTTAGATCTATGGCATACCGCTCCTAGAGCCGTTATGTGTCGGAGGAAGCGTGATTTGACCTCCTCGGAAAACCCATCAAAGTAGAACCTGAAGGCTGGAAACAGTTTTCGATAATGTCTTTGCCATGCTCTGAGTCCCGAGTCCTCTTTAGCATCGACGTTCTTAGTCACACGTAGACTAGCAGTTCGATCTCTGTCTCTGGCAGCCACCAATTTCCGTTGGAAGGCAGTCGAGGCAGACTCCCCATGGCCTCTTTCAAAAACGCGACCTTCCGGCAAGGGCGGTTGTGATGGTTTTTGAGGGGTAACTGGGTTGAAGACCTCCCGGCCGGCCCTATCGACGGCCAACCGTTTGTGAGGAGGTTCATTTTCCTGCTGGGACACGCTGGCTAGGCTTCTAGGGCGTTTAGAGCTGCTGTTGGTGAGCGGGCGGTGAGGAGAGTTGGCGGCATTGGAAATGCTGGCTAGCGGAACTCGACGAGAGGAAGTCGCCATTTTGGAGAGAGGATCGTGGGGCGATGGCGGTACGAATACAGCGGCGGCCATTCATAAGGATAGAGAAGGTGGTCTCTGCTGGCTGGAGGGTGGAGGGTGGAGGTTGGATGTTGGCAGAGCTGGTTGAAGGATGGCAGGGAGGGGTATCTGGTGTGCGTGTGGTATTAGACACCACGCGACAGACGCGCCCGGTGTTTGTCGACTCCAACTCCAACGATGGGGACTAACAGGTGCACATAATAGTGGCTCGATAAAGGATACGTGCAGCAGGACCAGCACAAGCGACGATGACGAGGCCGACGACAGAAGTGAGTGGGAGTAGCAGAGAAGCAGAGAGACAGTGGACGAGAAAGAGAGAGAGAGAGAGCGTGTGAGTGTGTGTGTCGAGTGTTGACATTGGACGGTTCTGGAGAGCAATGGGTAGCAGAGAATTGGAGCTGGTCTTGCTTGGGTCTGGGAGCTGGTCTTGGTGTCTTGGTGGGTCCCAATGGATCCCCAAGCTCGCTGGTTGCTGGTTGCTCGTCTCTATGCCCGGCAACAACCGACCCTCACCACTACTCGGAACTCCGGTTAATAACAACACAACAATCAACCTGCATTGTACCGGGTACTTGTTGAATTATATATTGGTAGTCCTGTCCATTGGTATCCCTATCCCGTATATGGCGTGATGCCAGGGAGCATATCGAGTCTTGTAGCATTACATATGGGCTAGTCATACAATTGCGCCCCCGACTACCCCCCCCCCCCCCGGTAGGTGGCCGGTATCCTAACCCTAACCATTCCAACTGTTAGGGTTGTCGATATGAAGTCGACATGTCCTGGTCCTAGATTCCCGTCATACCGTGGCCTGCTTGAGAATCGTCGCGGTTGATGTCGCTGTCCGCTGGTATATCTTCAACAGGCCGAGACTGCTTCTTATTATGCTCTATGACACACCTGGTGAAAACTCCTCCTCGTTCCCGGCTGTAGCCAATCTAGCCTGGTGCCGAGACATCCTCGATCTGCCAGAACTGGTGCTCTCGTCGTGGCAAGCTAGGGCCTCTTGGACGCATTGAGGTCTTTAAAACCCGGTCGAGTCGAAACAAGTCCGGTTGAACTCGACCTTGTCAAGTTCGAAATGAAGGTTTGTTTGTGGCTGCCCGTCGGTCTCGCGGTTTAGCTGATGATATGTCTTGCCCCAATCTTGCCTAATACACCCGCCTCTTTCGGTTTCGGACTTCGATCTCTTCCCTTTTTCCTGCTCAAGAACCCTAGCATACTGCCGCTCGTCTTCTCAAGCTTGCCACCGTCGCCGAGTATGTCTTGGTGGTGCGGAGCCGTCTGATCGGCCAGACTCGTCCAACTTCCCGACTCGTCCAATACCATCTGGACCCCGCCCCCTTTGCTAGTCTGCCGCGTGGCGGGTATCGGTCGCTGCGGCGGAATCGGTCTGCTGAATGATTTCGAGGACGAGGCAGGTCGACCATGAGGCCCCGACGGCACTGATTGCGGCATTGCTGCTTTCAATTCGTCCAATGGTGGAAAGTTTTCTTCGGGCCGTGGAGGGGTCGCGACCGCGGTGGGCGAGAGTGGTGGTGATCCGTCCGGCGATGTGGGAGCAGAATGTGATTCTGGTTGCGCCATGTCTAATTCAACATGTTCTTCCGGCACGGTGCCAGCAACTGCTGCCGCAGCACTCCTGGAGAATAATTAGCGTTGGATCAAACCGGGGGGGTTTTATTGGCCTTAAAGAGCCCGTCCTTACACATCATAACTTGCCAGCGTGTAGTCGAAAGGCTCAAACATGGTCTCTATCATGCGATGAAGCTCGTCTTCCCGAATTTCCCGGCTCGTCGCATCGTTGCGCAGCTCTGCCCGCGGCTTCTGTTTCCTCGCTCGAGCCTCCAAGGGGGCCTCTTCCAGCAGTAATTCTTCCAGGTCATAGGTGGCGTCGAAGTTGGTCTTCTCGCTAGAGGGAATAAACACGGGAGGGATTTGCTTTCGTTCTAATGCCTCGAAGTTGATGCAAGTGAAGAAAGGATGCGAGGTGAAAGTGTCGAAGCCAGTGGCACCGATCCGTTTTCGTCGGTCTTTCTCGATCAAGTTTGTCATGGCATGGAGGCATGGCATTGATACAGGGGGTTTCGTGACAAAATATCGCGGGTTAGCCGCACAGATGGCGTCGACCAGTTCTTCGTGAGTCCGTCCTTCAAATGGCCTCTTCCCGTAAACACATTCGTACATGGTCACCCCCAAAGACCACCAATCCACTTCACTATAATATCCCGAACCCCTGAACACTTCGGGAGCTAGATAGGCCAAGGTCCCCGACTTGCTCGTTAGAGGCTTCCCAGGCTTGAAGTCGGAGGCGACGTTGAAATCTGCCAAATGAACATGACCGTCGGAATCCAGAAGCACGTTATCCGGTTTGAGGTCTCGATGCACGATGCCTTGGCCGTGAATGTAGCGGAGGGCACAAGCCAGCTCAGACATCCAGAAGCGAATAGTATCCTCGGTGAACGACTTCCGTTGGATGTGGAAACGAAGATCGCCACCGTTCATCAGGTCGACCACAAGATACAAATACTCGATATCTTGGAAACTGTAGCGCAGGTTGCACAAGAATGGGTGGTTCAGATGCTCCAGCATCCGCCGCTCTCTTATGATATTGCGAACGCTTTCGGAGCGAACCACTGCGATACAGTCAGAGATCATGCTGGATGTTCGTTGGGTTGATTCATGGCTAAGAACGGACCTTCATCCTTGCGGATGTATTTCAGAGCAAATGTCAAGCCCGAGTCTTTGCGCTCTACAATGCGAACCTTGCCGAAGGCTCCTTTGCCCACGACCCTCAGCAGACGAAAATGGTTGAGATTGACTGGCGGAACAGTGAGCACATGGACCGTTTTCTCCAGACTTACGTCAAGGGCATGAAAAACCCTCACCTTCATCGGTCAAGACCACGGGTTTGCCCTGGGAATTCCCCATTGACCAGGCGACGCAAAAAGACAACAGAACAAAAAGTCCTCCACTAAGACAGACCTGACAGGGCAGGAGGTAACATAGAGGTGCAACACAGACCGTATAGTTAATTGCAGGTGACGGAAGGGAGTGGCCACTTAGTGTGTTCGTTGGTAAGTATGTGGTGACGGATAGACGCTGGGGATAGCGGTGAAGACTTGCGATGGAGTTGAGCGCCTGATGATCAGGCTTTTGAACCAATTCTGAAGTTTATCCAAGCCACATGACATTCAAGAAGCATATACCAGAGCCTGCCTAGCCAGACAACCGAGGTTGGAAGACCAGGAAGATGGGAACGCCGGCAGGAGGATGCTTGAAAATGTCGCAGAAGCGCCGGGCCCGCGTCCAGACCTAGAATCAATCGATGTATCGGTGCAAGAGGAGCGCTCAGAAAATATTGCCGCGAGATGGATGTTTCGATTCGGGGGTGGAGGAATAGTCCAAGGTGGTACTGGGTAAAAGGCGCGGGATCCAGCACGACTGGGAAAAAGAATTGGCAAGGCGACAAAACCTGACGGGGAAAAGAGAGTTTTGAAATGAGGTTGTCGAGATGCTGAAGAACCAGAGCAGAAAGGCCGGGGAAGCCTGGAGCGGGCCAGAAAGAGGAGGAGATAGTACTCGGTACTAAGTATCTGTGCCAACGGCGAATTCGACTTGAGGATCTTTGAGGACGTGAAGACGGCGGTCAGGGTCCTAATACCAGAAAGTGCAATAGCCGAAGCATCCAGTGTCCCTTCTAACGTCGTTTAGTCTGGTAAGGCGGAGGCCAACCTTTTGACAGGGGACCGGGGGCGAGGTGGTAGTCGCTGCTACTCCAGTTCCAGAAGTTAGGCTGTCAATCGGATCTGCAAAGGGAAATGTGAGAAAGGGGGGGGTTGTCTGTGCGGTGAATGACAATGAATTAATCGACTCCGGTATAATGTGGAGGTGGTGACCGGAGGTTCCAGCACGACTGAGCCTTTATGGGAGGTGGAAGGAGGGGGGAATGACCGGGGTGGAGATAGAGAGGGAGTGAGAGAAGGGTAAAAGAAGCAATGAAGAATACGAGGAGAATGAGCAGTTGTGATGGGGTGGATTTGGATTTTTCTCGAAGGCGGCCAAGACGAAGGCAACGGGGAGATGAGGAGGCGATGAGGAGGCAATGAGGAGGCCATTTTGCTCATGACCATGTCCATCTGCGTCCCCATCAGCATGAGAAATCGTCCGTGTCAGAACGCACATGGCAAACCAAGGCAAGACAAGACCAGACAAGACGAATTGGAACATTGCAAAATGGGGTGAAATCTCCTTTGCGGCGGGTCTCCTGTTCTCTCTCGTTCCGTTCTCTTTTCATGCTCTGGCTCTCCCACCGGGTGGCGTCAAACTAACGTCGTCGACATTTTCCTTTTCTTTTACGTACCACGTACGAGGCAACAGACTGACTGACTGATTGACGGATTCATCGACGGACTGACCGAGTCATAGATGCACGCAGAGACACACCTTCCCCTCATACAAACCTACTTACTCGGTACAGGCCTCACGGCTCGAGTCAAACTCAATCATGATTCATTCCTCCGGCCATACTTAGTTCATATCGTCCTACTTACTACGGTAAATAGCCCCAGCACTGGCTCAATCACCCTCCTCCATCCCCATCGCCCATCGCCCATCGCCCGTCGCCCATCGCCCATCGCCCATCGCCCGTCGCCCATCGCCCATCGCCCATCAAAACGCCGTCCCATCCTCTAACCACGCACTTGAGCCCTAACGAGTTAGCGGCACCTGTTGCAGGCTGCGACCACGGCTGACCACGTTTCATCATCCGGGGCCTTACCCCTTTCTCTGGGCCTAGTGGCCATTTCTTGATTATACCTATCTAAGGACCTCCCTAACCATCAATCGCCAAGCTGCCATCTCGTCGCCGGTGACTGGCCTGGCTGCTTAAACCGATCGCAGATTGTCTCCTTGCATCAGCTGTCAGAAAAGACATCTACATATCTGCCTTCCCTTCCATTGGCGCCCGGCATCTGGCACCCCCCCCCCAAAACTCCTTTCCCGCGCTCTCTGCCGTATCCGAGAGAAACCGAGGAATTTGGGTTTTTCCAGAAACAAAAGAAGAAGAGCCACGAGGGCGACATGCAAGAGGTCGTGGCGGGCCCCCTTCTGACTGGCGCACCCCTTGTGCCGGACTGCTCCCACTGGCGGCCTGGTCTCAAAAGGTGGAAAAGGTGGCTGCCACGTTGCTGCTGCAGCTGACCCTGGTTCTGAAACAACTGCTTGCGTCTGCATTGGCTCGGACGAGGCAAACTTTTCCCTAGTACCCATGTCAGCTCTTACCACCGACACTACCGCCACTTCCAATCTAGGGCCCCTTGGGAGCTCCACGAGAAAGCACCAGCAACTCGTTTTGCCATTCTTTGGCCTCGCCGAGTTTGGATCCCGGCCTGTGCGTTCTGGACGCCGTACTGTAGGACTCCCAAGGACTCCGTACTACGTCCTCCATCCAGTAAAAGTACCACGCGTTTACCAGTCTGCCTGTTGAGCCTTGACCCAGTCGGGCCAACTACGTAATATATTTACTGGTATGTACAAGTACAAGGCCTGAGTCTGGAAATTGGTCCTCCATAGTCCGGCGCCAAGTTGTTCCTTCCGATGACGAAAGCAGTGCCACTCCTACACACACTTGGCCTTCCCACTCATCCTCATCTTCCCCCAACATCTTCAGCCTTGATTTCCATCCTTTTACCGAGTACGAGGTACAGCCAAATGTTTCTCATCCGACTGACTTAGTACGTGGACAAATTGCTAGCCTTAGAGAAGCATCTCTTGGCTAGCCAACCTGCCGGCTAAGCACGCAAGCGGAGCAAGTTCTATTGCAGCAGCATCGAAACAGCATCTCTCGTGTTCTTCCGGACGTCCGGTACTGCGTTCTCCGCTCAGGTTTCGTCAAAAGAGCATTTCACTTACGCGTTCTCCATGCTTGCTGACCAAAATAAACACTGGTCCATAGCCCATACTGGGTAGGCAATCCAAGCCCACAAACCAGGCAAAGAACAGCACGTTCCAAAAAGCTTCTCCTGAAATCTCAGCCTCGCAAACCACAGCGTCAAGCCATTCTCTCAGATGACACCTCGCGTCCGCCGCGTCTGTGTCGCGCACTGAGTCGAAGGACGTAAACGACGTGGTCCAACGATTGTGTCCATTCGCAATCTGGGAGGTCTGCTCGAATCGGTTCCCCCCTTCTAGATAAATTCCTATGCCTATTGTGTAGCGCGCTTGGGCCTACAGGCTTGCGGCACAGAGAGAATAACAGGATAACAGGTACTCTGTGCTCCTGTACAACCTCCCTGAGTGGAAGAGCTTACTGTCTTGGACCCTATTTAACGAGTGCTTCCTGATCATCATCATCATCATTACACTCTGGCCTCAAAACATCGAATCTCGCAACGCCCTTGGAAAAAAAAAAAAAAAAACCCATCCAATATCTAGGTAGCACACCGCGTTAATCAGCATCCCTCCATGAGGTCTATGTCATGAATCTTGACTCCCCGTGTTCAAGACAATTGGGAGGGTGAATCCCAACGCCCTCACCACCTCCGCCCATAGACCTCATGCTCCTTCCACGATTTCTTCTTTCCGTCGCTGATGCGCATTTTCTCGCGTCGATCGCTTGTGCTCCCCCCAATTCCACTGCTATATCCGCCCGTAGCAAGTGGCGCATTGGATACCGGCGGGGTATCCCGACTTCCTTCCAATAACCCCCTTGACCTTCCTCTGCCCATGCCAACTTCCTCCACGTCGACGGGATGTTCGGACTCCGCCTCCCGACCAAACAGCCTCAACATATCCTGCATGCTCAACTTCATTGCGCCTTTGCCCTGGCCCTCGATGGTCGCCTTCGCAAGCTCGCGCTTCTTCTCCTGCAAATCTAATATCCGTCCCTCCACCGTTCCCTTGATGGTGATTTTGAAGACTTTGACATCTTGGGTCTGATTCAGTCGATGCACACGATCAATTGCCTGTTCTTCGACGAAAGGATTCCAGAATGGCTCTAGAATCACCACCCTCGATGCGGCAGTCAAATTCAACCCTAAGCTTCCTGCGCGGAGAGAACAAAGGAGGACGCGTGTGGAAGGGTCTGTGCGGAGGGCATGGAGGGACGCTTCCCGCGCGTCGTTGCGCATTTTGCCGTCGTAGCGGGCGAAGTGGATGCGGTGGGAGCGGAGAAATGGCTCGATTAGATCGAGCATGGACGTGAAGAAGGAGAAGACTATGTATTTGTGAGTGTGGGAGTCCTCGCGGAGAATGGAGAGGAGGTGGCGGATTTTCGTGGATTGGAGGAGCGTGGGCTGTGAAGAGCTAGAGTCGTCGGACGAGGAGTAGTCGTCGTCTTCGTCTTCTTCGTCATCAGCAGAGGTGGAGGCGTCTTCGTCGTCATCTTCGTGTTTCTCGTCGTCGCCGTCCTCCTCCTCGTCACTGTCCTCCACAACACGCCTCGCTTGTTTGCGTTGGATTTTGACTGTCTTCTGCTCTTGCATCCGTCTCTTGTCCTTCTTCGTCTTCTTGATCTCTTTCACATGATCCATTTCCTTATCTAAATCCTCCTGACATTCGACACATCGAATCGCACCTTTGGAACTCTCTCTTGCAGTCAACTCAATCTGACACATATCGCATCTCTTGGTTTCCATACTAAGGCCACCAAGCATGTTTGCAATACTATCCATGTCATCTTCCGCATTAGCTTTCCTGCGACTTGGTGTCTGAAGACCACTTGAGGCATCGGTCTCTGCATTCAGGTCGCTTCCCGTAAGCTTTGGGTGATTGCACGCTTGTCGAAGTCGCATGAGGAGGACCAATGCCGAAGCGTAACTCATCTTGTTCCCGGCCATCATCATCTCGAGACTTCGATCTGTTCTTGACTCCAGGCGTTCATAGAACTCTCGCTCTTGGGCTGTAAAGTCGGCTTCGACGTTTTCCACGGTTCGTCCCACGATCTTGAACCCGGGGCCTTTCCCTCCTTCAGTGGCCTCTCTTTTACCACCTTGGTTGGAGTGTTCTTGTTTGAGTATATCCTTCGTTCTTCGCTTCATAAAGCTCTTCAGGATGAGTCTCAATCTCTTAACTGCGAGACCCCCCTTTCCATTATTCATGGGTTTGGTGATATTCTCGCGCCATTCAGTCAGGTCACAATAGGGCTTGATACGGAGAAAGTGAATGAGGCTTTGGAGCTCGTCAAGGCCGTTCTGCATCGGCGTTCCAGTCAAACACCAGCGGTATGCAGCATCAAGAGCACAAGCAGCCTTGGAAGCCTTGGCGTTGCGGTTCTTGATCGAATGGGCCTCATCCAGAATGATCCTATACCAGTGAACGCCGAAGCATCCTACTTTCAGGGATTCTGAACATCCACCATGTTCTGATGACAGCGTTTGGTAGGTTGTGATGACGATGTCGTACTTCTTCAGGTCCTTGTATCTTTTGGTTCTTTGAGGCCCGTGATGGACACAAATTGTGAGAGCATGGTCTTCGTCGATGCGATCCTTGAGTTCGCCTTCCCACTGTCTAATTAATGCCAATGGGGCTACCACAAGTGTGCCTTTTGTGACACCTTCAGGCAACTTTCGCTTGCTCTTCTCCAGCTCCTCAGCGCTTGGCTTTGGGTTACTCAGGACGAGAGCGATCGATTGTATTGTCTTTCCTAAACCCATATCGTCGGCAAGGATACCACCGTATGTCTTATTCTTGCCGATTTCTTTGCTGACCATCCAGTCGACACCTTCAATTTGATGTGGTAAGAGCTTGACCTTCAACCCAGGAACGGCACTATCATCATCATCATCATCTTCTTCTTCTTCTTCCTCTTCTCGAGCAGATTCGCTTCTGTCTTCACTCTTGACTGACATGTCTTTGATCTTGTCTGCTAAATCCTCAACCTTCTGGTCGAGCTGCTTCTTTCTCTGTCTCGTCCTTGGCTTGTCCTCTTCGTCTTCAAATGCACCTTCAAGTAAAGCCTTGATGCTCTCATTGGCCTGGGCAGAGTTCATGTATGTGTATGGGTCAGCTGTTTCGTATCTCTGCTCTCGGAAGATGGAGTCGTTTGAAGGGTACGACGGACGAGTCGGCATGGAGCTCTCCTGAGTGAGGTCCACCGTTTTTGGTCGTACATAAGGGTTTGGAGGCTGTTGTGATGAAAAGGTAGGAGGAACGAAAGGTGTCGGCTTCCAAGTAGAGAAGTTCGCGGGCTTGGGGATCTCATAGAAATCGTCTTCTTGATAAGGCGGTCGAGAGGAGGTGGGTCCAGAAGGCTGTCCGCCGCTTGATCCATTGTCTTTGAGTGTTTGTAGAGGATTCGCGATTGCATGAGGTTTGTGTAGCTCTGGTCTTTGGGAAGGTCTCTTCGATGACACAAAAAGGTTGGAATATTTGTCTTGTGGTTGACTTCCGCTGACTTGGCGAGGAGCTGATGTGTTAGCACTCGTGCCTGGTCGCATGAGCGGCTGTGTTCTTGCATATGGCTGCGACGATGCGCCTGGCATTGACGGCCTCCCAAATTGAGGCTGCTCTGGTAAGGCACTTTGGAGATTTGTATATAGAGGCTGCGGAGCGGGAAATCCCTCGGCGCTAAGTCCCTTCTCCTTGTTATGAGGATCTGGGGAAGGTTGCGAGTTGCCCATAGCTGGCGCAAGCGGGTTGCGAGCAGGTTGCTGTTCACGCACCATTTCGACGCTGTTGGGTAGAGGGAACGTGAATTTGAAGAATTGCGGGGTTGCTCTCACTGCAGATTCAGGTGTGACATGGGGCTGACTCCCTCCGAAGACGAGTTTTGGAATATATAGTCGCGATCCAAGTCTTGGAATAGCGGCTTGAGTTTGGTCTGTGCGCTCTAGTTGTGAGGCCGCAGGCAGTAGTAGGCCGGTGTTGTCCAGGCAACCAGAGGGGCTGTTTTTGAGGGGGACTGGGGTCTTCAAGAGATCTACCCTGCCTTCTGGCCAGGGTCCGCGATGCCCGGTACTCAAGTGCTCACTCGTGCCCTGTCCAGTGTTTGCTGGCGGGTTGGAGGGTGATGCTGCACTGGATTAGTTGATAAAAGCTGAGGCCGTGCAGATTATCTTCTCGCTTCCTGCAAGCCATTTCGTCAGCTATCAGAGAACCCATTGTTTGTTGGCGTAGAGGGCTTACTAAACACGTAGCCTGCAGTTACAGAAAGACGTCTTGTCTAGGTAAGTATCACAAGTGAGTTCAGGTCATGCACAGGGGCGGGATCTTAGATGTTTGTGCAGTTGACATCATTAGCGAGGCTGGCGGAGTTGGTTTCTAGGGTAACTTTCTCTGCCAAGCGCAGCCTTGCTGCAATTCACAGCCTTGTCACATCTTGCCAGCAGGCAACCGCATCATAAACCGGATACTCGAGGTTCGATAGACTACGGGGTACTAGTACCTCATTTCGTCTCACCTGAACGGGAGTCATGGACAGATCCACATTCGGGGCACAGATCCTACGTGGTTACAAAGCTTGCTCAAAAGAAATTCAGGTCTCAATACAATCAAGTCCTTCAGTCAGGGCCGCAGAACCTCAAATCATTAAAGATACACAAAGACACCCATTGAATTTAGGAAAAGAGAATGGACAAGTCATCCAGCAGCCGCCCTGATGACCCCCTCCCAGAACCTTTTGAGCCCCAGGACATGCGCTCTCGTCGGCTGAGCACAAGCACCATGAGTCGCAGCTCGTCTTTCTTCGTCCATCTTTGCAAGCTCTACCTCTCTGCCCCATCTCGCTTGAGCCCTCCTCTTCTCTAGCATGACTGGATCAAGACGACGTACTCGGCTGCTCTCCATGTCCACTGCGACCTTCCTGGCGGCGAACCTCCTCACCAGGCTCTTTACCGTGATCTTTTCCGTAGCCTCCATCTCGTCTGCTTTCCTCTTCTGTGCTTGTATGGCGCGCCCTTCAACCCACGCGCGAAGCCCGTCCTTCAAGCTCTCTCTAATCACTTTCCGCCTCGTAGCCACGATGGCAGGCGAGACGCTGTGGCGCACGCACTCTTCAGGCATGATATTGAGAGACACCAGACTGCTCATGCTCGGCCGTCGCTCTAGCTTGCGACCCAATCCATCCTTCAGTTTGTTCCTTTGTACGGCCTGTTGTGACTGTATCAGGACCGGCGAGACCGGCGAGGAATAGTTGGTGCACGTAGATGGGAGGATCGCCCTTTGTACCAAATCATACGGACTTGGCCTGTGTTCGAGGTTATGACTCAGCCGGATGCGTATCAAACTCTTGCTGATTTGGCGCGAGAGAACATTGGTCTTGCTTAGCCATATCCATGAATTAGGAGGACTAATGGCGGACCTGGACGGCCGTCGGGCCAACAGGATGGATAGCGTATGGGAAGCATGGTGCAGTCGCTGGAGATGAAGGAGAGGGTCGCAAGCGATCTCACGCAGCACATGGCATGTGCGACTCACTTGGAGCAGATCGGGAATTTCCAGGAAGAAGAGGATGCGGAGGAGGACTTCTGGTGGTAATGAGTCGAGAGATAGCGACATGGTCGGAACGGTATTACAATCAACTGGGGGATTGTGCTTGAAACGACAGGGTTAGGTCCCGTTCTTTATATCGAGGAATGCGATGAGGTGCAAGGGCGCTCCAAGCTTGGGGTTTCAGGATCGAGTCGTTGGTATACCTGGGACAAGTGTGTAACATGTAACAGCGTGATGCGACGAGGGACTAGCTCGGAGGAGCAGGTCGCGTGGCTGGAAAACCACGTCACTTGGCCTTGGAAGTGACCAGTCGATGACGCAGGTTGCGCAGGGGCCGTAGCGCGGTTGTGCCACAATTTAGTCTGACGGCTGATTGCTGATTTTGGGCAAAACCACTCGGCGCGTGGTACTATGGACCATGGAGTACGAGGTGCTGTGGAACAAGAGGGTTGCCTGTCAGTAGGCAAGTATCTATTTGAAGCGTCGAGGGGAGACGTGCAGTAATTTTCACGGATTATCTGATGCTAGACCGGAGAGCACAGCTTGGGGCTTCAGAGACACTGGACTCCAGACCCCGCGTATCTTCATGATCCGATTGCAGACGACACGGCATGATATGGCCTGGTACAGCACGGACCCCGTAGGTCTGGCAAAATCCCAACTTCACAACTAGTAGGTGGGTGTCAAGAAAGACAGCGCAAGCATCTCGAAATAAAAGCAACCCCCAATCCAGTATGTCGCTGCCGTCCTTCGAGCCTCCTGTGGCGCCCAATATACTCCAAGTGGCCATAGAACTCCAGGTCCCCAGGACTCCAAATTCATACATCCTCCATTGCACCAGCAGGCTCATCCTCCCCATCACTGTCGAAATCTTCCACCTCGCTCAACTCTCCGTCCGTCTCGTGCTCGTCTTCGTCATGATCGTCGTGGATGTTCGTAGCATACTGAGCAATGTACTCTTCATGACCAATTAATATTTTCATGTTTTGATCTCATCTTGCAGGTCTGGAGCCTCACCTTTAACCCTAGCATCGTAGCTTCGAGGCTCCCTCATCAACAGTGCAGCTGCTTCTCCGTTCAAGGGATCGGTAGGGTTGGGGTATCGCAGGAGCTGAGGCAAGAAGACTTCAAAGATATTGATCATATCAAACATGGGTGACCATGTCTGGTTGATGACGTCCAAGCATACCGATCCCGACCTAGAAAGCCAGATCAGTACCAGTTGCGTCCAAGCATCCAGCATCAACTTTGACTAACCCTTCGTCGATGTTTGGGTGGAAGATCTTGTTGACAAAGCCGATGGAAGGTGATTTGTAAGGATATTGATCCGGCAGTTCGACGTGAACTTTCCATTTGCCCTCAGCAAAGGGTGCTGTAGATGTAGCCCATGCCGTCAGTCACCCCGGATCTTGCGGTAAACCGACCACTTGAGTCGTTGACGGGAAATTCTTGCACTTACTTTCCGAAGGCCCTTTGAAGATGACGTAGAATTCCTGCATATTGTCGTTGACCAGTGTCACCTCATAGTCGCTCATCATCAGCTTCATGACATCCGTCTCTATCCTCCGCTTAGGGCTGCTCATCGTGCCTCGCCAATTAAAAGATCTCGATGGAACGTAGATTATGTTCACAAGAAGGATATTAAGCGCTTTTGAAGGTGCGTTCAGAATTGCGTGAGGGCGGTGGATCGATTCTGTGTCTTGGTTTCCAGGAGAAAAGTGTCTATTAGATCTGGTGTGGCAAGATGCACAAACGAGATCGGAGCAGAGAGTGATCACGGGAGGATGGCCGGATGTTCTTTGCGCGGTGTGGACTCGGCTTTTTCTTTGTCCTCGTGAGGGGTAGGGGCTTTGCAGGAGGGTTGAGTTCAGGCAAACAGGTAGTGAAGGACTCGTGTGGGCGCGACGAAAGGGATGACGGCGGGATCGCAGTGAAAGCAGCGGACCTAGAGAGAGTGAAGAGAAGGAAGTAGGGTGTGAAGTGTAGATAGGACTTGAAGTCTACGGTGGTTCGGTGACGGAGGGGACTATTCGCTGTGGTTGGAGACTGTTCGATGGCAAGGGCAATGGTGGGGGGACCGGGACCCTTGACTGATCTGGCCGGGCGTAACTGGTTTGCCGCCTCGCCGCTTAGTCCTAAGCATCTACTGTACTTGTAGGCCTTCACCATACGCTGGTTGAAGCGTGGACTAAGCCCTGAGGTAGTCATCGCACACACTACGCCAGGCCCGCACGCATTTCCACTACTCACTCCAACACCGACGATGGGGAAGTGAGCTCATCAATAAATTGTTGGGTAAGTACCTGCCCGAGTTCTGTTCATGTTCGGCATCAAGACACGCATCTGTGTGTTGGCATGGCCGACCTGCTATTGGCACTCGGGCATAGTTGTACTGGGGGGGGTGCATGACAGCCTTGCAGTCACTGTCCGCCAGGCTGAGGATCTCGCGCTGGGGTTGGATGAACGGATAATTCAAGTGCTGATTGATGAGAAAATGCTCACGCTTCCGAGGCAACCATGGGCGTCACCCGGATGTGCCCTCGTTCGGCCGAGTAACGCCAGAGGGCCAGAATCCCCCAACCGGTGCCCAGAATCGTCCCCCAGAATGCCTGCGCGCCCTAGACTCAATGGGTGCTAGGGCCCCGAGGCCGCCGCTTGCAGCCCACAACAGCGCCTATTGGCCTCACAATGCCCCCTGCTTGGTGCCTTCTGCTCGGCCCATTGTTGTCAACTCCGAGGCTCAACCTCACTCTCAGACCTTTCTCAGATTTACGCATAAAGAATTCATCACGACGACAGTAATAAAACATCTTCTTTCACCGCCACCGCGTTCTGTTCTGCGAAATGACTCAGATCAAGCCGAACTTGTTTTTCCTTGTCCTTCTTCCTCCCTCCTGCATACCTGTCTCAGAACTTGGGTGAACCAAAATGGCCTCAATTGCCCGCATCTACCGAGTCTCGTCTCTCACACGACCACTCCTCCGAGACACTTGTCGAATAGCTGTCCCACAAAACCACCGACAGTGGCAACGAGTCCGCTGGAGCTCGCATGCCCCGTCATCCCCGGCTATGCTGGCTCGAGGCCAGAAGCCGGTCACGATCCAATCCCTCCAGAAGATGTATGCTGAGGACCAGCCCATCACCATGTTGACGGCACACAATTTCCCCTCGGCTCTGATGGCGCAAGAAGCTGGAATGGATATGATCTTGGTGGGCGACTCTCTTGCAATGGTGTCCCTCGGCATGCAAGACACTTCCGAGGTCACCCTCGACGAAATGATCGTGTCCGCACGCGCTGTCAGTCGAGCAGTAACTCGGTCCTTCACCGTCGGCGATCTTCCCATGGGTTCATACGAGCTCAGCCCTGAACAAGCACTAGCCAGCGCGATTCGGATGGTCAAAGAAGGGCGTATGCAGAGTGTCAAACTTGAAGGAGGAGCAGAGATGGCGCCTGCAATCAAGAAGATCACGACTGCCGGAATTCCATTGTGTGCACACATCGGCCTTACCCCGCAACGCCAGCATGCTCTTGGAGGATTCCGCGTCCAAGGTAATACACTCGACAAAGCCATGTCGCTCCTCAAAGATGCCAAAGCTGTGGAAGAAGCAGGAGCGTTCATGGTCGTCTTGGAATGTGTTCCCCCCGATATCGCCGAAGAAGTCACCAAGGTCCTAAGAATACCAACCATCGGCATCGGTGCAGGGAACAAGACAAGTGGCCAGGTTCTCGTGCAAATCGATATGCTTGGCGTCCGTCCGCCCGATAGCTTCATGCCCAAGTTCGTCAAGAAATATGGGTCGATATGGGAAGCTGGATTGGATGCCATTAAGCAGTACAAGGATGAGGTCAGCGACCGAAGCTATCCGGGTCCTTCGCACGTGTACAAAGGTGATGCAAAGGTTACAGCGGCGTTCAAGGCGGCCATTCAATCTGATGAGACGCAAAAGGCTTGAATTCGCCGGCATTGTTTCGATCTTGCCATCGTGTGTTTCCGGCGTTGTCGGGTCCCTTCTCGAGCAAGCGCATGTCTTTCATCCAAAACAGAGCCAGGACTGGGCTAGGTCATCCAAAAGCCGGCGTTGTAGAATAGCTGACGATCAATTGGTCGTCAACCTTGAAACACTAGTTTACCGAATCGAAGGCATTGGTTAGCATGATCTCCTCTAGCTCTCCCGTTCAGCAACCCCAATTCACTGTGCCATAGAATGTAGCGCGCAATCGCTGCCCTTAGCAGTATAGCAAAGACGGGTAGGTCGCAATGAGAGCGCTGTGCCGAGGCGAATGACAGACAACTCAAAGTTGGGCGCAAGGAGACAGAAAACGTACCCGGTACAAGTTCCCAACACCTTCATCTAACCCTGGCGCAAAAACACTATTCACATAACAAAACAGTCCATCGCCCTCTTTGACACCTACTTTTTTCCTTAGGAAATTCAACACCACACTGAATTTCGAGGAGGCACTAATCTTGAAGACCCGTTGTTTGAGGATCGGGGCCGAGCCGATGGGTTGGAAGCGGACAGAGACTGTGCGCAACACACGGCGGTCAGAGGAAGAGACGGAAGCGATGGAAAGAGATAGGACAGGATAGAATTGGAGAGGGTCCTGTGCGAATTACCTTTTCGATCATCAATCTCCTCGGCCTCCTTGAGTGCCTGGCTCGCGTCCTTGGGCAGGTTGGTCAACATGACGGAAGCGGTCATGCTCATGGGGAGATCTCCTCCAGGGCCAGAGTCATCTTCACCATTGCTGCCATTGCCGCTGTCATTGTCTGTTGCCTTTGTATTTGGATCGGTGTGGGCGCCATGCTGCTTGCCAGGATCCTGAAGAACTACCCTCAAAGGTTGCGAAGAGGATGACATGGTGGCCCAGCGAAACGATTTTCAGTCAAGTGTTTCGAACGAACGGAGTTAAGACATCAATGGATGAGGATTTGTGATCTGTTTGCTGCCTAGTCTCTTTGGTGGGTATCTACGTAGGAGGTGGTGATGGTCAACTACTGCCTACCTGCGGATGAGGTTCATTCCTTGGTGCTTGCACGTGGCCATATCGTGGGGGATGTTGAGGCCTGGCGAGGCTGGCGAGGCTGTCCAATAATAATTCACAAAAAGCCAGCCATGTGAAAAGCCTAACTAGCCCCAACTGACCCTTTATTCTTCACTTTGGTGACTCCAGTCTTTCAAGTCTTTCGGGTCTTTCATGTCACTCATTATATCAATCTGTCTGTCTCAACGTACACTCCCCAAGCTTCTATCTGTGGCTCAGACTTTGGTGAATTGATGCAATCATCGTCTCGCGGCTTTGACATCGCTCACCCAGTATCCAACTTTTACAGCTGCCCTCGAGCAAGCCAGAACCCCGAACAATGATCAGCTCAAAGCCATGATAGCAGATGTCAAAGTTGTTGATGGCCTCAGGTGTGAATGGCCCATTCAGGCTTTGACGGGTTAACACCTCAACAGCCCGTCGGAGTCGCTTCAGCTCGCATTCGCAGCGACAGCCTATGATCACTGGGAATATGTACCGGTTTCGTCGAGCTCCATGCTCTGTGCGCCGTCTTCACCCTCAACCAGGCGATCGGGGAGCTTGCCGAGTTCGCGTATCTTGAGCAACCATTTCTTCATCAACACTCTCTCCACTTCGTGAGTGCCCTCACGGTACCCAAGCCGCTCCATCATTTCTTCCTCCATCGCCTCTCTCATCAAGCCCCGGAACGCCAGCACTTGCTCTCGAGCTCCTCTGCCAGATGTGCTTTGGACCGGATTCTCGCCGGGGTGATTGTTTCTCCATTTAAAGAGTGCTTGACGCTCCACTGCGTTCTCTCGGACCTCCTGTGTTTGAGCGGCCTCGTCCCCAGGAGAAGTTGTGAGACCAACCGCTCGCCGAAGAAGATAAGGACTCCACCCTAGGCGATCTCCCTGTTGCAGCAAGTGTTCAACCATCTCATCAACTCTCTTTGTTCTCTCTTGGCCTGTCGCAAGCTCAGCGATGAAGTGCTGCACCAACTTGTCAACGCCAGGCACAAACGAGCTGTTCCTGAAATTGCTGGGTTTCCTGATATTGACACTCAGCAGGCGCGCAATTACCGAACTCGATACTCCGTGGAGGGCGAGCCATAATATTATTTCACACTGCTCTTCACTAAACACTTCATGAGCCGTTTGAGTAATAGAAGAACTGGGCCCTGACGCCAACTTCGCAATCAGCCTTGCTTGCGCAATTGCCTCGATCTTTTTCCACACAGGCACGAGCTGACTTGCTGGTTTCTGTGCTGGCTGGGAACCGCGTTGGCCTGGCCTTCCTTCCGGGGTCTTGCGTGTAGGAAAGACCTCTTCTGCGTTGGGGGTAATGTCGAACAGTCCACTGGGGAAACGCCTACGTCGTTTCGGTGCTGGATGAACCATTCCGTTTGCTCGCATTCTATTTGACACATGACCAATGGTCCTTGATACCGACTGGCATACAGAGTCAGGTTCATCCGGCGGATCCTGCACCCTAAACGATTCTTTCCAGCGCTTGCGTGTTGGCCGTGAACTTTCACCCGCAATCCATTGTTCTACCGTCGGATAAGATCCCCCTTGGTGGTTGTGATTTTGTCGTGAAGCTCTCTCTAGGTGAGATATCGGAAGGTCGAAAATTTGATGGATCCCTGTCGCTGATTCAGCTTGGGGCACGCCAAACAGTCCGCACACCGGCTCACCTGGAAGCTGTCTATCTTCTTGGTGAAAATAAGTACCAATTGGAGGAAGTTTGGGTCCTCGTTGCTGAACAACGCCATATCCGTAAATGGCATTCCCGAATTGACGACTTCCTTGCAGAATGGCAGGCTGAAGAGCCGGTCTCGCTGCTGAACCTCGCCCACTGCCCCAAGAGTTGACTTCAGTCCCAAAGGCTGGTGCCTCGGCCAGATGATATGGCAATTGAGAGTATAGCGCAGCTGGATTGTTTGGAGGCATATCGAAAGGGCCATCAGTGACTAACCGGGGTGGCTCTCGGACCAATTGTGGTGTATCTCTGACCCTTTGTTGAGTCCCGGGCTGAGGATCTCGGTGGAAAGGAAGTTGCATATCTTCAGCCCATCCAGAGCGACTGCCGTCATTACGGTTCTGTGGATGGGCAAAATCGACGTCGTTGGCGAACTCCCCTGGCTGACATCCTGCACCATCATCGATGAACTGGTACTGGGGAGTCATACCGGGGTCAAAGGGGTGTTGACGGTTCTTCCTCATGTTGTCATGAGCCCGCCTGGGCGGTGGAGAAGCTGTTGACGTTTCGCCGCAAGTGGGCGTTCGGTGTTGACCACGTCGTCGTGGTGTTGTGATATGTGTTCTGGCGGGGTTGTGGTCGCGATGATGTTACTCGGGCCATGCAAACAGATCCCGAAACGGCAGCCTGGTGTTATACGCAATCACCTGCAAGTGAAGACCATGGGTGAAGACGAGTAAGAGGCAGCTCATATGTCGAGTAACTTCAACCATGGTGGAGTGAAGTAATTTGATTCCACGAACTATATATGTTGCACAGGACAATGTGAGGTGAGTGAATGATTCCATTCTGTTGGAAGAGAAAGTGAGGCGTGTCGAAAGGCGGATAAAAAGGAAACAAAAGTAGATGTTGGATTGTGTTGAACCAAGAACTTGCGGTTATTGACTGACGTTTCAGTTATCGCGATCTGGTATATTTTCATTCAGCCGTGAAAGTGCTACGAGTTCGAAACAACTCGCTGGTGGGTTTATTACAATACCTCCTCACTCGATTCGCGCCGGATCGTATGTGCATCCTACTCAAAGGAAGAGAGATGTCCTGCTTATTGTTTGGGAATTCTATCATATGTACGGATGGCAGAGCGGTGGGCTTACAAACAGAAACGGTCACGACTCTCCTCAAAGCTAGGGAAGAAAGAAAAAGGATGAAGCTAGGGAACAGGTAAGACGTGGTGCCTATGTTAATTCATGCCTTGCCGTTGTCTGCAAAGCATCTCAGCAATCCACAATGCTCTCATTATGCCAACCTTGCGGCACAAGGACAATCTATCCAAAACTCCATTTCGATGCTTTCATATTCACAGAATCGCCCATCATCAATAACTCTCAGGCAGGTCGCTAAAATCGGGAACGGCGGAATCACATTTGAAGGAGGGAGAGTACGCTTTATCAGGCAATATTCCAGCCTCCAGGCCCAACATCCAGCTCCATTGCACAGCGCTCTCGGTCTTCCAAGTCCAGTAGAACCAACCCCAGGCTTGCTCAAAGCTGTGCATCTGGGCTTCGGCATACATCTGCAGAAACTGCTTGTAGGCAGCGCTGTACTGGCTCGGGTCAGCGTTGGCTTCCGCACAAGAACAAGGCGGCTCGGCACAGGTCGGTGTCAGAACTGATGTCCCTGGGTCGCCGGTGTCGAGCGTACCAGCCCACCTGGAGCCGACGCCGACGTTGTTCAGATTTGGTGTGCAGTCTGTGTCCGCCTGGGACCACTCGCCATCCAGAGTGGGACCCCATCCGGTTTGAGGGTTGTTGGCTGCAACCATTAGTCCAGTCCAACCTGAACAGGCGAGGTTGATTTTGTCTTGGTGCTTCAACTTGAGTTGTCCCGTGTTGAAGATTTGGTATTGGTGGGTGTCCATTACTAGGTTATCATCGACACCGTGGAACATGTTGTCCCAGCTATTCAAACTGAGAAAGCCGTCTCCGAAGACGATGCGTTGCTTAACGCCATTTCCTCGGATGATCGCGATGGCTTTTTGGTTCCAGTCAAGCACAGACTGAGGAGGGATTACTAGCATCTTTGGTTCATTGACCAAGCCGTAAATGGTCACCACGTTCTTGTACCGATCTTGTGCGAAGAATTGGGACAGTTGGTTGTGGATATCCAACGATCTTTGCGCATTGGTGGCGCCATCAGGGCCAAGTATCCAGCCGATATCACCCTGGTGACCACTGTGAGCCCATCCATTCTGACTCCCAGGGACAGAATGCAAGTCGAGGTTCACTCTCAGTCCGTTCTCTCGACAATACTCGATTGCTCGAAGCAAGTATCGCCAGGCAATCTTTGGTACGTATGGATCGCCATCGTATGTTGTGACGGACCAATATGGATAAGGTATTCTTACATGGTCCAAGCCTGCATTTTTGATGTCGACGAAACTTTGCTTTGTGATGAACGTTGCGTAGTGCGTCTCGATAACGCGCTGCGCAGACGGCCCCAGCTTCTGCGTCAGTGTCCACTCGTCGACCACCTTGGCCGAAGCAGGATAATTGAATATTGAAGGGGTGATGAATGGTTCTAGCGAAAGCCAGCCACCTATGTTCACGCCTCTGATGGGCATCTTTCCATACTCCCACTGTTCGTTGAGCGCGGGGACGTTGTCGTTGGCTTTGGTGGAATCATCCCAGCTTGAATAGAGGCCCATGACCGAGAGGCCACCAACTGTCTCGGCAGTGTATGTACAATTGAAATCGGCCGTGTCCATCCAGGTGGAAATGTCGGTGTAGGTGCCCTTTGCACTTGCCGGGATCGAACTGGCGGCGCAGTCATTGCTTATACTTGACGAGCCTCCGCTTGTAGTCGCCGAAGACGAAGACGATCCTCCACTGGATTTCTTGCTGTTGTTACTCACCACCACTGCAACAGGGATGAAAATCGCCAGCAATACCACGACGAGGATTACAAGCCACCACAGTCTCTTCTTGCGCCTTCCGTCGTCCGTGTCTGATCGTCTGTGAGCCTGGTATTCTTTCCCGTACCCGCCGCCGCGTCCATGCGCGCGTCTGTGCTTCTCGCCCACTCTCCCTTCTTCCAGTATAGCACCACTAACATTCCTGTTTTTGTGCTTCCTCTTTCGTTGCTCTGCTGCCTTAAGGTTTTTGTATTGCTTCTGTTTCTTCTTGTTGCGTCTGCGCTCTTCGTACTTTTCTTCAAAATCTGCCCGGTCGTTGTACGCATTCAGTTTCGCTAATGCATCGCTGCTCAACAGCTGACTTCCGCTGTTGGTAGATGTCCCAGAGCTGTATTTTGCGCGGTCTCTCTGTTGTTGTTTCTCTCTCCTTGGACTGTCTTTCACCCCGCTCGAACTTCGGTACCGATCACTCGGTCGGCGCGGCCGTTTTTCTGGGGATGGAGAAGGCACAGGTGAGGCTTTGGCTTTTTCCTTCGGCGCTCTTTTCGGTGTGCGCGGCTCATCGTATTCTCCTTCCTCGTCGCTTTGTGAGAGACGGATTGCAGGGGCTGGGGCAGGGCGCGAGTTTGGAGGACGATTGAATGCAGGACGTGTGTCGGCCCTCGCCGCAGACTCACGACGGGGCTTCGGCATGCAACTGGCGGTGTGTTTTCAGAAGGCTCATATCAGATTTTCAGCCAGACATGCTGTTCATCGTTATGCGACAGGGCCAGAAGGTTTAGAACCACTTGTCAGCGCTGTACTGCTGGCTGTTACGCGTCATCAAGCGTGCATGGAAGACTGGAAGCGCTGTTTATGGACAGTTGGCAGGGCAACAAGGCAACAGGGCAACTTCCCAGCCTTGTCACGGGCTCACAGCTTTCTCCCCACCTTTCGTCCCCTTCGACGCCCACCACATCACAGACAGGCGGCTGTGTCGAATATTGCCACGCCATGATGTCTTCTTGAACCATTTTCCAGCGAATCCCTCATCTCCGACTGCTTACGCTATACTTCATATCCGGTCAAGCTGGATTTGGTTGGACCGAGAGAGGCCAACCCCAGCCAACGACCAACTCTTGCAAGGGCCGTACCAGCGGGCTAGTCGATGCTTGGGTAAGTCAATACGAGATCACTTCCGGATGTGGAAGGTCTACTTCCCCAATGAGTTATTGGTCGAGTTTGTTGCAATCTCTGAGGCCTGGATTTCCTGTCCTCTTTAACACCAGACTTTCTGGCAGTCAACTGAATCTATTCCATTTGAAGAGACCGTCTTGATCCATTTTACTCGATCAGGGGGGACATGTTGATTCGGTCAAAAGAAAGGGTCTCCATCCGTTAATCCCCAGCCTGTATCGGTCCTCGACATGTCTTCTTCAGGCTTGTTATTTGGGTGGCTGCAAGGTCTTTAACAAGTGAGCCATCTTGTATATGCGACCTGCCTAAGGCCAGCGGTCAGGATGACTTACGGCGTCTTTAATACTATTACAGATGGTGGTGACAAGGCGAAAGAAATATCTCGAGGCTCCCAGTTGCCAATGGATATTCATTTCATCAATGTCGACAGGCCTGGCCGTATCCCCAACTGGCAACTGAGTCAAATCACAGCCCACGCGATGCGTAGGAACCATGAACGGCGTCGTTGTATAGAATCTGAGACGACAAGAGTACAACCCCTTCCGAAAGTGGACCGAATTAGGGGTGATAAAACCCATGTTCCTGAACAGCAGAGATCGGGGAAATCGAGACCTACCTCCAACAAAGATCTAAATTCTCGAAGCCAGACGCTCCTGAAGCATTCGACTGCGGCCAATGCGAGTGCAAACGCATCGCCTGCCGGCGGAGACAAGGGGGCCTGGCCAATCTTGCTTTCCTCCCCATCACCCTGCCTAAATAAACATGGATCTTCTCCAGAGACGCTCTCAGCCGATGCCCCGGCGGACCCATGCGACTGCCCAGAATGTCGAGCCGAGTCATTAGCCCTTGCAGCTTGCTCTCCCGACACCGTTTTCGGTGGCCTGCGAACCGACCCATTCCTACGATATCCTATTGCATCTCAGGACTATTTCCCTGCTGTAATCGACCATTGTAGGGAGATTATCGCACCGAGCCCTGCATTTTTCGAGCTTTTCATGACGCACGATGTCCTATTTGAGGCCATCATCACTTGGGTACTCTGTACCTACTTGTTGCACACACCCGAACTGAAGAAGGCTATGCTGTATCACTATGGCGGCTCTCTGTCAAAAATCAGGGAACGGCTCCTCTTGCCGGGTTCTACTCGAAGGGCTGTGATGGCAGCTATTTCCAACCTGGCCGCCGTTTGCGTACGTAATGTTCTCCTCCATGATTTGATGCAGTGTGCTGAGCTAAGTCAAGGCTTACTTTGAAGATGAAGTATCTTTCGCCATGCATCGCAACGCACTACGTTATCTGGGCCAGTTCAAAGACAATGAAGATTTGCGCAAACACGATATTACTGCTTCTACCAAACGTCCTTCTAGTTTGTAAGTTTGTCTCAATGCTCGCGGACCCCAATCGACGTCGTTACAGAGATCTAACTTTGGGGTAACTCAGTCACGATGCATTGTCATACGCGCGACCAAGGACGAAGGGAACAATTTCCAGAAAAGATGCCCTCCCCGAGAACAGTTCGTCAACTTCAAAGGAGCTGGTATACCCAACCCTCCCTTTCTCCGCCGAACTGTCCGCGCGCCTCACCAGAGTTTGTGAAGGTTTCAGAGAGCTAGCGTTGCGCAGGATTCTTTCGACTCCAGTCATTGAACGGCTAGCCATGGAAAGAGGCCAAATTGTTCGCCTCGCGTCGAGAGCAACACGAGACCGCGAACAGTCCCAGGCTCTCCGACAAAAGTTGACACCGATGGAGCGCCTGATCTGGTTGGGCTTCTCTGTGTTCCATCTATACACTGCCACATACCAATTGGATCGCGAAGAAATGGCAGAAACATTCCTCGAGTGCTCGCGAAAGATGGTCCATGGCTCTCCAATAGAAAACGATGGTCTTTTATGGGGTGGGTGCGTGGTCACAGCCACCAAAGAAATTGAAGGTTGTTCGCTCGTCCAGGGCGAAGCCGTGACTAGAACCCTCCTATCGAGGTTCAAGATGAGCATCGAGCAAATGAACGATGTGGCACAGAAATTTCTTTGGAACGAGTCGATGAGCTCTTGTCTAACAGCGGCTCTGCGTCACCGCTTTATCGTTGCGCCAAAGATCGAAGAGACGGCGGAGTGGCGTACATGGCTTTAACAAACGTGTACCGATCTCGTCAGGTGGATACGAAATCTTCAACTCATCGATGACTACCTATGTGCAGCACCATTTCACTAGGCGGATTTGCGGCAACAACCCCGTCGCACTATTCTCCTGTTGACCTCATTCAGGTGATCAATTTCTGTCTCAACGGCCCGACACTGAAATATCCTTGGGGGCATCATTCGGGCTCTTTCACAGCGGCGAGAGCAGACTCCCGATTGCGATTGTTAGTCTCGGACACATAGGAGTCGAGATATGGTGGAAGATCCTTGACCTTGTTGGTGTCACTGGGGATTGGGGTGTCGAAAGCCTCATACACCGGCACCACTCCCGTCCAGGTTTTTTCAGTGATGTCGGATCTATTCTCGTCTTTCGCCTCATCATGAGGACCTCCTTGCCGGATCTTTCCGCTGCCAGTTTCAACCTTGACTCTCAGAATGGTGGTGGAAGTCATCTCCACGTTGTCAGGGGGGACTCTGGTGTTTTCCCAGCGCCCATCGACAACTTTGTTGGTGATCAAGCGCATGGCGTACAGTTTCTCCTCTTCCATTTCCACTGGCCGAGCGTATCCTTGCAAGACGGCAGATCGATAGTTATAACTATGGGAATTTGGGGTCAGGGACAAGACCAGGCCATCGACTTTGGTGGCAGCGACGCAGATGGGCAGGCCATTTGGAGATTCTCGAGCCAGGCGCATTATCCTCGAGCTGACGTAGCCATGAAGGTAACAGTCCAGCGGCTCATCAATGCTGGCTGAGGGATAGTCAAATGAACCCATGACCCCAATCATGGGCAAGATTGCTGGAAAGGGTTGCTCGGGGCTAGGAGCGAACGAGACATGAAGAACTGAGCTGGTGTTGATGATGGAGTGAATGACCCCCAGGTCATATGTGCCTATAAGATAGATGTCGGTCTCAAAACAGCTATTGCGGAAGGGCGTGCCATGTTACCTCTGTTGTTATATCGCTTCACAGTATTCTGGGGTTTCTTTGGATACTCGAGATGGCGCACCATGGTTGCTCGTGGCTAGCTAGGACTTTCTTTCTTTTTCAAGGCCGACGGCGATTTCACGACGTTCTGAAGGTCGGATGATGGATCAGCGTTTGCGCATCTCAGGCTGTATATCAATGGCTAGGTGAGTCATGGCCGTGCTGGCCCGTGCCAGATCGAGAAGCACTTGTTCTTGTATATCAAATCCAAAGGGCGTCAGTGGACGAGCCCCAAATAGGAAAGTGCACCCGAGCCGGCATCTTGCTGGTTGGAGAAGAGCGTCAAATGTGTCAAACGGGTCAAAGTGATGGATTGTAACATGTCTCTCCAGTTGAACACCTCGATCCTTCACCCATTGTGTCATCTCACTGCAGGCATTGCTTCAGAGCATGTCGATGCGGAGGACATTATGGCAGACGCTCATCCGTGCCAATAATGTCCTCGGCCATTCGCGAGGTCTTGGGGTGACAAGACGCCAGAGGCCCCATCTGCGCCAGTATAACACCGTCACCGTCAATGCTGCCGATCTGTCTTTCGGACAGCCCGTCCATGAGACTCACCCACATCTCCTTCGGCCGGGGGAGCTGACCCCAGGCATAACGGCGCAGGAATATGCCGATCGCCGCACGAGACTCGCAGCCAAATTGCCAGACAAAGCCATCGCAATTATTGCCGCAGCCGATCTCCAGTTCCGGTCTGGCAGCGTCTTCTACGAGTTCCACCAAGATCCCGACTTTCTCTACTTGACCGGTTTCAATGAGCCCGAAGCTCTCGCTGTCATTGGGAAAGATGCCACCGGCACAGACCATACCTTCCACCTGTTCGTACGGGAAAAGGATCCCAAGGCAGAGATTTGGGACGGCGCAAGATCAGGCACACAAGCGGCCAAGGACGTCTTCAACGCAGACGAAACGGGTGACATCTCCAAGCTGAAAAAGATCCTTCCAGACTTGGTGGGTGAAGCTTCTCAGGTCTACACAGACATCATGAGTCCCGATCTCAATCGATCGGCTCTCCAGCGGTTCCTCTTTGGGGCGTCCCGTAAGACCACCGACTTCGCCGAGCTGATTGAGTCAAGGAAAGTCCACCGGCTTCGACCGATCATGAACGACCTACGAGCCTACAAAAGCGCTGCCGAGATTGAGCTTATGCGAAAGGCCGGAAGAGCATCGGGACGAGCCCACACGGAAGCCATGAGAAAAGCATGGACGCGCGAGAAGCAGCTTGACTCGTACCTCCGGTATCGCTTCATCGCGAACGGATGCGACACGAGCGCGTTTGAACCTGTCGTTGCCGGTGGGAAGAATGCGTTGAGCATCCACTATGTTCGCAACGATGATGTGCTGCGGGATGACGAGTTGGTCCTAGTGGACGGTGGTGGGAAGTATGGTGGCTACATCGCCGACATCACGCGGACTTGGCCCGTGGGGGGTAAATTCAGCGATGCACAGAGAGATCTGTACCAAGCAGTGCTCACGGTGCAAAGGTCGCTGATCTCTCTTTGCCGAGCCAGCGCCAACATGTCGCTGGACAAACTGCACAATATAGCGGAAGAATACCTCTCCAGCGAGCTCCGGCAGATCGGCTTTGACGTCTCCTCCAAGGCCATTGAGAGTCTGTTCCCGCACCACTTGAGCCACTATATCGGGATGGACGTGCATGACACGGTGGGATACACAAGGAAAGTGGTACTGCAAGAGGGACACTGTATTACTATTGAGCCAGGGATTTATGTGCCCGACGACGGGCGGTGGCCGAAGCACTTCCGGAACATGGGGGTGCGGATCGAAGACAGCGTCAGTGTGCAGGAAGACAGTGCGTTTGTGCTGACGACCGAAGCTGTGAAGGAGATTGTAGATATTGAGGCCTTGAGGGGCTAGTGGGCGTGTATACAAAACAAATATGCTGGAACATCTCCGCTTGTTGCTCCGTGCTGTATGGATAGAAATTTCCAGCAAACAGACATGCTCAGAGTCGTAGAGACTGCCGTCTTGACGAGACGAGCATGATCAAATCCCTGATCTGTATATCTCCTCGTCCATTATTTTCGCCCGTCGTGTGAGATATTAATCGACGCTCGATACTGAGATTGGACCCTCATGACCCTGTTGACCCTCGAATCCATCAATCGCCACAGACGCACATCGCCGCCTCCCACCATTTTAATTCTTTTGACACCCGAGCCCCCTTGGGTCTTCCTTGCAGAGCACAGAGCACAGAGCACAGAGCACAGAGCACAGAGCACAGAGTCATACAAAGGGTATTTGAGGGTAGCATTGGCGGGTGTCGCTCGGATTGAATCGAAACGAATCAGTGCCAGCAACTTCATCACTCTTCCATCTCGTCGTCATCACCCTCAACCACCACCATCGGAGACAATGACGCTCACGAGGGATGAAAGCGGCACGCCACACCAACACCACCCCACCGAGACGAGCCCTCTCCTCAGCAGCGAGCAGAATGGCGCCGCCGTCGACCCGGAGAGCGCCCAGCCGGCTCCAGAACCAGGCGCCGGCGAGATCGCACTGGCCGAAGAGACCAGCACCAAGAAACTCGTCGCTATCATGGCCGCCACGTGGATTGGCGTCTTTTTTGCTGCCTTAGGTCCGTCTCTACGCTTTTGATCTGTTCACGGCCCCAAGCGGACGTTCCCCGTTACTGCTGCTGACCAACATGCTAAACGACAACAAACAGACACGACCATCGTTGCGACCCTGACAGCCCCGATCTCGTCCAGTTTCGACTCGCTGTCCCTCCTTTCGTGGCTGGCGACGGGCTACCTGATTGCCAACTCGGCGTGCCAGCCGCTCTCGGGCAAACTGACCGACATCTTCTCGCGGCGATGGGGGCTCATCTTCTCCAACGTCTTCTTCGGCGCGGGCACGCTGGTCTGCGGCCTGGCACCCAGCGCGGGAGCCATCATCGCCGGCCGCATCATCGCCGGCGTTGGCGGCGGCGGCCTGACTTGCATCGCGACCTACATTACCAGCGACCTCGTGCCGCTGCGGCGACGCGGTCTGTGGCAGGGCTACGGCAACCTCGTGTACGGGCTGGGGATGGGGCTGGGCGGCGTGTTTGGCGGCGTGCTGTCGGACAAGTTGTCCTGGCGCTGGGCGTTCCTACTACAGGTGCCCTTTATCGCCGTGTCGACCGTCATGGTCTTCTTCCTGATCGACATCCCCGTGAACCCGAGCACGAAACCGCCCCTGTCGCGCATCGACTTCCTCGGCTCGGGATTTCTCGTCTCCAGCCTCATCCTCCTGCTCCTGGGCCTCAACACAGGCGGCAACCAGCTGCCCTGGGACCACCCGCTGATCATCACCAGCCTGCTGCTGTCCCTCGCCACTTTGGGAGTCTTCATGTACCTGGAGTCGCAGCCGCGCTGGGTGCCCGAGCCCGTGCTGCCCGTGGCGCTCATCGTGCGGACCCGTACTGTCCTCTCGGCGTGTCTAGCCAATTGGTTCGGCACCATGTCCGCCTTCCTGGCCATCTACTACGTTCCCCTGTACCTCCAGATCCGAGGCCTGTCGGCCACGGCGGCCGGGCTGCGCGTCGTGCCCTTGGCGGCGGCCACGTCGATCGGCAGCCTGGCGTCGGGGTACGTGATGCGCGCGACGGGGCGGTACTACGTGCAGATGGTGGTTGTGATGGCGACCTTCATCCTGGGCGCGGCGCTGATCTGCAGTTTCCAGCTGTCCACGCCGCAGTGGATGACGTTCGCGTTCCCGACACCCCTGGGCTTCGCCTACGGCGGCATGCTGACCATCACGCTGGTCGGCATGATCAGCTCCGTCGACCACGAGCACCAGGCCGTCATCACGGCGGCCTCGTACGCATTCCGCTCCACGGGTTCCACCATCGGCATCACCATCGCCGGCGCCGTCTTCCAGAACATCCTGACCGATGAGCTTAGGGAGAAGTTCGGCGATCTGCCCGGCAGCGAGGGCGTCATTAGGAGGATCCGCGACAGTCTGGAGGGAATCAACCACCTGCCCCCCGGATGGGACAGGGGTATCGTCCTGGACGTATACATGGACGCCTTGAGGGGCGCCTTCGTCTCCGGCCTGGGACTAGCCGTGCTGGCTGCCGTCGCTGGCTTGGGCATGAAGGAGCACATCTTGCACAAGAACCTCGCGAGGAAGTGAGTGAGTGAGTGAATGAGAGGCGAGAGCGGGAGAGATACCATCAGAGGGAGGCCTCAAGCACCTATGTACGCGGCACCACACCATACCATAGCAAACCATGCAAAAGGTGCGAGGGGAGAATCTATCCATATGGGTTCCGATGTAAGGCTTCTGCATCCATCCATCCATCCATCCATTTATCTATCTATCTATCTATCTATCTATCAATACATCTATCGATGTATCTATCAGTCAGTCGAGGAAGCCCAAAAGCATACCGGCGTCAACCAAGCAAAATACGACCTCGACCCTCGACCACGAACTCGGGGCGTAGCCGCGTCGGTGTGGATCAAAATCGTGTATAAATGAAAGATAGAAAATTGGGGCGGGCAGGGTCAGGTCTTTTGCCCGGAGAATCGAAGACGCGTCCTTGTGTTTCTGTTTCTGTTTCTGTTTCTGTTTCTGTCTCTGTCTGTTTTGTGTTTTGTGTTTCGTCTTTGCCCTAATTATGTGCCTGCGTGCCCATGCCTGTAAGAGCTCTATATCCGGCCAGGTCACGGGCAAGAGCTCCTGGGCGTGCAGGGCCATTTGCTTTTAAGAACGCGTCCTGGTGTTTGTGTTTATTTTTGTCTGTATGGTCTTTGCCTATGTACCTATCTGCGTACAACCCATGAGACGCTCCAGATGCTCCAGACGCACCCACCGTCGATGTGGCCCGGTTGTCCTTTTGATCCGAGCAGTCTGGCCTGGCCTGGCCTGGTCTGACATGGAGCTTCTACTCGTGACCATGGCTGGCTGGCTGGCTGGCTGGATGGACGGACGGGAGGATGGCCCTGGACTCAGTCCTGCGATGGGCAGCTTCTTGACCTGCATGTATGTCATTGTTCTTCTCCAACAGCACGCGGCCAAAACAACTTCGGCAGCTGACCCGGGCCCGTTGCAAGTGTTATGTTTGCACATGGTGGCGTATGATGATGACGAAGGTATTTTTCATCCGTCATCACAGAGGCTCAACTAGACGGCAGTAGCTCAACTGAAGTCGGAGGAATGCCGCAATGGCCATGTTCTGGCATTCTTAACAAGCGGGTGATGAATCTCCTGTTGAGCCACACCTTGTACCACATATAGGTACATGCAGGTACGCAGTGAGGAGGTTTGGGGCATGTCAGATGCTGCAGACACAGGTATGTGGTCCAGAGGAACCCGAACACAACGGGCGATGGGGAGTCTTTCGGGAGCATGGGGCATCAAGACGCAAAGTAATACTGCAGACCTGCCTCACGTCAGGTTCCTCGATGTAGAGGACTCGTTTAATGAATGGAAAGTGGGTTCAACCACTACATTGCAAAACAGAGATGAATGCCTCGGTGTCGTATGATGTATCTGGCTGCTGGATTCGCCTAGAGGTTAGACATATCAAAACTTCTAGCAAACAAACAAATCGATATTGAAGGCCAGTCACTGCCATATTTGTGTGTGAAGGCTAAGCAGCCAACATGCTGAAGAGGCAGCTACAGTGCAAACCTGTGTCTCTCCCCAGCAGAATGCCCTCTCCCTGGGGGGGGGGGGGTCATTTCGCCGCAGAGCCGCAGAGCGGCAAAGCGCTGTTTGCAACAGAGCCCGTGATTGCTCAGTCCTAGAGAGGATCGATCGGCTAGAAAGGCCAGTTTGTCGAGCTGGAAGAGGGGGTAGTTCGGGCCGTAGATGTTCGCTCATCTGATGTGGCAAGCTTCGGTAGGTTTGAGACAAAAGTGACCCTAGGTTGGTGAGGGTTCGCCTCGTGCATAAGAATATACTGGAGCGGACGGGATGAACCTTGGCTTTGCGTTAGCTCTGCGTCCAAACTCCCCCTGCGGAGAGTTGTAACCCTGAGATGAAGTGAGGCGGGACCTTTGATAGCCAGTAACAGCCATCAGTCCACCTCCTGGCTGCTCAGGAGAAGGTCTCCAGTCTCCAGCCAATGCAGTAATAACCGAGAACTTTGCAGGATCCTCAGCTCGGCAAGCGATGTTGGACGGAAACATTTCTAGCAGAGATTGCCATTTATCCGCTGTGAGCCCGATTGTCGGGGGAGAGGAGAGGGACCCGAAACGATTGCTCTATGAAGACATGCTTGAATTGTCGCAAAAGAGGAACGAGTAGACGAGCGCGTTCTGCTGGATCATGATCAGGCTGAGGTAAGTGGTGTCCGCCGGGTGTTGAGCTTAGAAGGAGCGAACAGACCCGTGAACCACGGGATCCGGATCCCTGTTGAAGTGGGCGGATGAGAATCCACCTCCTCGAGGCCGGTAGCAGCACTCAGATCGACATGGGGTCCAGCATGCTAGGTTGGACAACGACCAGCACCAAGCCCGAAGTGGCGAATGGCATGGATAGTTCTGTAACCGCACGGCCAAACGGCCACGTAGAGCTCCATCCATGCATGGTCCCTTCATGAATGCGCTGAGGTGTTCAGAGCTAGGGTGGCCGGACCGGCTGGCAGGACGGGGATTGCTACGGGCCTCCAGACTCTTGTTTGCTCCAGAGCGCATTGCATTACCCCAGGGCGTCTGCAGGAAGTGTAAATGACAATTTTTTGACAGCGGCTTCCACCAATATCGTCGAGCCAGCTCAACATCATGCACGAGGTTCTCTGCGTTAGGTTGATGCTGGCGAGAATGTAGAGGAGATAAGCCCGATGCCACTATGTCGCTCGATGACGAGGGAACTTGTTGGTCTCTGCTGGCAGACCGATATCCTGGTTAATCATGATGCTGAAGAAGAAATGATGATGTAGCAGACTGATCGGCAAATCAGCAGCCAGGGCTCGCAGCAGAGTTGTTTGCTCTAGGCAAAGTCAACGGATGCCGGGGAAAGAATCCTCTTCCCCCTGGTCCCCCTTGCCAGCAGAAGGCTGGCAACCCTCTCGTTCGTGAGTGCTCGTGTCAACCGCCCATTAGCCATGTTCTCTCGAGCTATCGATCTTACACTCCGCAAACGGGTGGGAAAACGGGTGGAAACTCGGGTGGGTCCAGCCCCTTGCAAACTCAGGCGCAAAGAAATCCGCTCGCGAGCTGGGCCAACGACATTGCGACTCCATGCACACACTTGAGGACGCCACGCTGGAGACAGGCCGTCCTGGAACGCATTGATGGCCAGAGGAAAGCTCTTGGGTCCGAGCACCTGACGAGAGACGATATGGCATGTCCTTCCGTCGTGGAATGTTACGCTTGCGGCTATGATGTTGCCGACGGGCCGGAAAAACACTCCAAAACATCCGGCCTGGCCACAAGCAGGTTGACTGGGTTTATAAGACGGAAAGCATAGCCCTCTGGCCGTGATCCGCAAAGCTGTCAAGGCCCTTGCAGTGCGGGCCGTGGAAACTGTGACCCGCCATCATCGTAACTGCTGGGGCGTAACACGGCTCCATACCGAAAAGTGAGAGTGTTCTTGGTTCCTTCCAGATTCATCCACCTGTTGGCTTCTTAGCTTGGGCGGGTCCAGAGTCCACGACTCAAAATCTGCCACGCCGCATCACGTTGAAGAGAAGCATAGAAAATGAAACAAAGTTTGGCTTACCATGCAGTGGCAGACGTTGTGTTCAAGGCCGAGAAGCAGATGATCTGTCAGAGATGAGGGGGAGGACCAGCTCACATCCACTGAGGGTCTCGTGCATGGCGCAAAATGCATTCTCTCGCGTCACGGTTGGTTCGCCACTACCATTTCGACAGCGGGGAGAGCAGTGACAACCGGCATCCTCTGACCTCAAGTGACCTGAAGATTCAACTCGAAGCGAATTGAATTAGTCTCTGGTCAAAGCCACCGACATGTCTCACATAGCAAGGATCGGCGGGGGGAGACTCGCTCGAAAGCTATAAAGAGGGTTGGAAGAAGACTGATCTGTCGAAAAGAATCCCAACCCAAGGTCTTAAGCTTTGGCAACAAAAAGTGAATCGTGTTTCAAAACCAAATCTTCCACGCACACAGCGAGGCCTGGCCTCCAATACATCCGCCCACAACCACAAGTGAGTAAACAGTGACCTCCCAGAACGCCCCGCTGATATTGGGAATCAACAACAGACCTCTGACGACGACGGCCTCGGGTCCAGGATTCTGGCACCATAGCAAAGCTTCAGCCCAGTTGAGCAGCGGCAGCTCACAGGTAAGGCTTATCAGCAAAGATCGAGAAAGTAGATATAGCTCGACTGACCCGTCTGACTTCATGCAGATCCCCGAAGACTCCATTGGCTCTCATTCCTTGGGTTCCAAACTGAACAGTCAAGCAAAATGTGTTACTATGCCAGGACCGATTTCCGGTGTGGAGATTGGAGATGGGGAAACATGAAACAACGTTGTCCTCGCCAACCTCGAATCGGGGAGACCTGTGGCGCTAAACTGGTCGACACTGACAATCTGTCCAGAGCTAATGAAGATTGTAAACATTGCCAGGAGAAAGCCGTCAAAGAAAGGCGACTCCAGAAAGAGAGGGACAATCTCAGGCGATGGCAGCTTGAGGGCGACAGATTCTCAGCCAGTATCGCCAAGGCAGAAGACGAGATCGGTCGTCTCGAGAGGCAAATCGCGGAACTGGAAGCCAGACGCACATCTGTGGTGTTCAGCGCAAGAAGCGATTGGACTAACAGAGCCCCGTTAAGGTATGTACGAACTCTCTCGAACATGACCCCCCTCCGGGCGGCTAAGTGAATGATCAACCCTTCGGCTGAACAACTAGCCACTTCTCCTGGTGGTTTAAGAGCTCACACTGATCGAGGCAACAAAGAACCAGCTGAGCAGGAAGATATCCGTCAACCCAGCTCGACCAAAAGTCGATTTCTTGACAGGGAATGCTGTGGGTGATGACTCAAAAGTCGGGGGAATTGCTGGGTTCGGGGGAGTCCATATGGAAATGACGGCAGGGGATCATATCAGTCTTTCTTTCAGAGGATGGCCAGGTTGTTGGCGACTTAGGAAGGTTGCGAAAGTGCCAGGGACCATATCTCGAGCTGGACGGGCGCAACGGTTGATGCGGGAACCAGAATGACAAGATGTAGGCAGAAGCAGTCTCGATGAGCGCTATCATGAATAATGACCTCCGTTTCTCTTTCATCCTGGCAAGCATTGCCGTCATGCAGGAGGGGTGGCAGTGTCTCTTTGTAGGCGCCGTGGTTGCATATGTGTGGGGTTTGAGCTGGGCATCGTTTGGGACGAGAATCACTCTCAACTTTGTCTTTCTGCCTGGGAGGTGTTTGAGAACCCTTCTGTGCTCTTCATCATTATTCCTGCCTGCAGTCAGGCCTTGCAAGACCACACAGAGAAAGACCTTCACCAGCGTCGCTGAAGATTGGCGTCGTCGAACATTGAGCAGTGGATGAGTGTGGTGTGGGTGGCCCCTGACGACACAACCTTGAACACCCTAGTGAGGTCAGCCTACTCGCGAGACACCATACCAACTATGGTTAGTGTGTTTTTTAGACCCGGCGGCTGGATCATCATTGTTCCACTGCCGAGGTTGAGCGGCGAGCGCGGCTACCCCAATATGTTGCTTCCCCGCACCTCCATCAGAGAACGGCGAGGCTGCGGGTTGGGGCATACCAAAATCAATATCGCCGAGGCAAATCGTGGAGCCGCCGAAGCCCAAATGTCGGCAAGGAGAAAAGAGAACGGATGATATAGCTTACCTCTTCGATTCTGTTCACTCAGGGCACACATTCTTCCCACACAGACAGTCTGGTCCGCCCTCCTCGTCGACCCCGGGCGATATCTCAGGCTACAGACAGGCAAGATTCAACCACCAGAAATCTTCGTTTGGCATTTTCTCGCACAAGATGGCGCCTACATTCCCCAATCTAACCATTGACTCACCGCCCTCGGCTCCGGGCGTCCACATCATTACCATGAACAAGCCGCCTGAGAACCGGCTGAACCAGGCGTACGCGCAAACCATCATCTCAGCGCTGCGGTACATCGAGAGGGATCTGATGAAGCCCGACTCGCCCGGAGCGGTCATCATCTCGTCCTTCTCGGACAAGTTCTGGTGCACGGGTCTCGAGCTGGACGAATCCGACACCAACATCTTCGCCAACGCCGACGGCTTCTACCCTCTGCTAGCCACCTTGGTGGATTATCCCTACCCGACCGTCGCGCTGATCACGGGACACACCTTTGGTGGCGCGTGTCCGTTCATGCTGTCCTGCGACTACCGGATCATGAACAGCAAGCGCGGCTTCATCAGCATGCCCCCGGTGAACTTGGGCCTGCATTTCGACGGCATCGGGGCTCTGCCTCGGCTCAAGCTTGTGCCGAAGATCGCGAGGAAAATGCTGCTCGAGGCCCACAAGTGGACCGGCGAAGCGGCGCTGAAGGACGGCATTGTGGACGAGATCTGTGAGCCGGATAAGATGAGGGAGAGGGCGGTCGAGTTTGCAAAGACCATCGCGCCCAGAGCGACCATGGGCGTCTATGGCTTGTTGAGGGCGGAACTCTGGGGCGAGGCGCTGGACAAGTTCAAGGCGATCAGCTATGTGCATAGGAAGAGGGTCGGCACAGCCGCAAAGGCTAAGATCTAGATTGGAGAATTGTATACGAAAGCACGATCTTTTTCCCTCATCATCTGCCCCTTTTGCCAACTCTTTTTGGTCTACAATTTTGGCTTGACGACATTAAATTGCTCATGCCCCGTCGTGCCTAACGCAAGGGCCTCCAACCGTCTCCTGGCATTCTCTTCGCCTTCGCCCATCACAATCTCCTCGGTCCTCCAATCCGGATTGAAGGTCAGTTGATTCAGCGGATTCTCCTTGTGCGCCTTGTGGAAGAGTCTATTGTATACATCACCGTCATAACTTCCCAACGCACTCTCGAGCAGGTAATCTGGAATGGACCAAGCGTCCACGAGCCTAACGGCGTGAGGCCGCACTTGCGCCATCAGATCTTGAATCGCCGGTGCCACATTTTGCAGTCTCTCAATAGACAAGGCTTTGGAGAGGAGAAACTCTGAGGCAGATACATCAAGCGTGAAGAGTGCGAAGAGGCGGAACAAAACCTTCAACACATCCAAGGTCGCGGCATCAAGCGGAGGGCTTGGAGTGCTTTCAAACACGGCGTTGTAGAAGTTCGACACAAGGAGACTCTCGGAGTGGGCTCGACTGAGTTTGTGCAGACTGATCATCATGCTTGTCCATGGCTTCTTCTGAAGGACTCTTGCGTGATAGGCTTGGTAAGAGAGGTACGAAGCCCTGTGCTTGAATGCCTTGACCAGCTCCAGTGGGTTTCCCAGGATATCAAAATCGTGTGATCTTGATTTGTTGGCGACAAAGTCTTGGAACTGGACGTCCACGGAATCGGTCGGTTTCAATCGAGGATTCTTCGCCACCTCGGTCATCCTCTTGATCAGATAGGCCGCAGTCTGTTGTGTGATCATCCAGTTGTCTCCCTCTACGGTGGGCTTGGACAGATATTCATTGTTGAGCGCGATCATCCCGCTCCCACCCCCAAATCCGTGGCCTCCCATTGCGCGACGACAGGTCTCGATACCATCGGCTGCGAGAGTAGTGCACAGCGATTTCAAGCCGGAAGAAGCCGCGTGCATCTCTGCCAGACGGGAGAAGTCACCGCCTTTCTCGATCTGTTCTCGAGTGCCGTAGTAGAGCTTGTACATCGCTTCACCCGTGTAGTGAAGAGCAAAGGTAGTGGCTAGAAGTGGGAGGATGCGGATTTGTACCGTGGGATAATTGAGCACGGCTTGTTCAGGGGCGTTTGGATCCTTTGAATCTCGATCTGGAAACTGTTGACGGATAGACAGATAACGGACCGCGACCGTGACAGCCCGAGCCAGAATGAGTCTCGCATGCATGATGATCTGAGCACGCACAAAAGTTAAAGATCCGTAGACAAGGGCGGCGTTTTGAGGCTTGATATAGGTCCCGTTATTTGGGTCGACCCCGGAATACTTGGACAGCAGGGCCGAGTGAGGGACTCTGAATTGGTCGAAGAGCATATAGCCGTTATCCATAGCAGGGTAACCGTACTTAGGGCCAATATCACCGATCACAATGCCGTCCAGTGGCTTGTTGGTCTTCATATCTCTGATCTGAACGATGAACTGATGAGGACCATATGATTTGTACTTTCCAGTCGGGGGGTCTGGTAGCAACAGCTGGGCAACGACAATAGCATGGCTTGCCGTCCGCCCCAAAGCACCATTCCACCATTTGCTAGCTGTGATGGTAGGGCTGTGGATGATAAACTCCTTGGTCTTGGGGTCCCATTTGGCTTGACATTCGATTCCTCTGACATTGCTGCCGTGTCCGAGTTCAGTCTGTCCATAACAGCCGATGACCTCCCAATTTTCGACTTTTGGCAGCCAGTAGGCTCTCTGTTCGTCATTGCACTGCTCTCGAATGGAAGTGATAAACATGGTTACATGAAGAGCGTAGGGGCCCATCTCGTCCATCAGATAGTCGGCCATGAGATAGTCGTCACGGTCCCAGCCGTGCTTGAGGGACAATCTCCTCAGCGTCTTTGCTCGTGCTAGGCCAAGATGATAGCGGTCCGGACGGGCCATGTTGAGCTGATTTTTCTTGCAGAAGACCGGGATGGGTTCCAGTATCGAGAGGATCTTCTTCTGTCGGTTGAGGAAGTCATTCCGCGAAAGCAAGTGGTTTGCCAATTGGTCGGTATTCACGTTGGACCCGGCTCTCTCCTGAGCCAGAATACTTGGGCCCTGGGGTTCGGCAGGTCTAAGCGTGTCTGTGAAATCAGGCATGGCTGCAATATGGCGTTGGATGAGTGAAATTGGTGGTGGACGGGGAGGGGAGTCTCTACAACCTTTGCAGGATAGTCCTTCAGAAGGAACCCGGGTCAAAGGGTGTGAAGGAGAGAGAAAAGAAAGGGAGTCCTCTAGAAATACTCAGTATCTACGATCATCAACCTCGTCAGCATGTCCGTCGGTGCTTGTGAGAGGCAGCTCAGTCAACTGCTCCCCTCATCACAGGCCAAACTGCCGAGGCTGGCAGCGGCTTTTGTCTTGTTTCAAAAACGCCGTGATTGGGAGATTCGGTGTTTTCCCTTGGAGTTGTTGCGCTGCATGGTGAGAAGGCCAATCTTGCACCGACTTTAAAAGCCGGGGGGAAGACGAGCAGTTGGTGACCCAAGATGATGCCGGTGGTGTGACAACAAGAAACAACAGCCTTGGAAGAGATGAAGCAACCGCCTTTCGACAGAACCGACTTTGTCCCCAGTCACTCGGCCGACCACATTCTTCCCGCCGACCCCCTTTTCACCCGCCTGCTCACCCTTGCACATCGCCCCAATCCCAGGCCGGCGATACGCGATGTCAATGCAGGGATTGAAAGGACAGCCGCCCAGCTCCTGAGCGACGTGCTGGTCCTGCGTCGAGTGTTGAGAGACTCCCTGACACACGAAACCGTCCAAGACCTGCAGAATGGGCGAGAAGTCTATGTCAGTATTTTGGCGCCAGGGGGTTACGAGTTTGTGGTGGGTGTGCTGGCCATCCTTGCCTCCGGGGCTGCTGCCTCTCCCTTTAGCACCGCTCAGCCCGTGAAAGAAGGCTGCTACTACGTCAACAAGGCGAGGTCGGTTGCTGTCGTTACGGCCACGCCGGCTCTCAGGCTAGGTGAGGATGTTGCGAGGGAAATCCGCAAAACGACAAATCCAGACTTTGCCTGTGTGCCCATCAATGTGATCGAACGCGAGGCACCCTTCGCCCTCAACGATATCAAGATCTCCTCCGACCGGTACCAAGATCCCAATGCTCCAGGCGTGGTCATCTTTACCTCAGGCACGACGGGCCCACCGAAAGGAGCTGTGCTTCGTCGGGCTGCCATGGTCGATGGGTCGATGTGCTTTGCACAGCAGATTGGTCTGCAAGAGACTGATGTCCTTCTTCATCTCCTTCCTGTCCATCACGCGACTGGAATTTGGGTGTCATTCTTCCCTTTCATCCAGACGGGCGCTTGCATCGAGTTCAAATCCGGCAGCTTCGATCCAGAATGGACCTGGAATCGGTGGCGGAAAGGTGGTCTGACGCACTTCACGGGTGTGCCAACCATCTACATGCGGATGATGCGATACTACCTTGAACATGCTACGAAGCTTCCCCCAAATGAGGCAGCGACTTACAAAGCCGCTGCCGCAGCCTTCAAAGTCTGTCTCTGCGGTACCTCTGCCTTGCCCAAGCCGATCAATGATTTCTGGACAAGTCTCATGAATGGTAGACGGATCGTACAGCGGTACGGATCCACCGAACTGGGCGTCGTCTTCAATATGCCCGCAGATCCCAGCGAAGACATCCCGGACGGCTCAGTAGGAGAACTGACCTATGGTGTGGACGTGAAGCTCTCGGAGGGAGACGAAGGCGAAGTCCTCGCCAAGTCCTTCACCATGTTCTCCAAATATCTACATGACCCAGAAGCTACCGCAAATGCGCATGATGCTGACGGCTACTTCAAATCCGGGGACGTGGCTCGACGGGAAGGAAAGTACTACTTTATCGTCGGCCGCGCGTCTGTCGACATTATCAAATCTGGTGGGTACAAGATCTCGGCGTTGGACATTGAGCGAGAGCTGTTAGCCCTACCGTATATCGGAGAGGCTATGGTGGTAGGTGTTCCCGACATGGAATTCGGACAGCGAGTTGGTGCGGTTGTATCCTTGCGCAACGACGAAGTCGCCCAGAACTTTTACAAGAAGAACAATAGAGATCCAGAGAAGCTGAGCTTGGATGACCTGCGTGCTGACGTACGGAGTCGTCTCGCCGGATATAAAATGCCGACTCTGCTAAGAGTGATTGAGGGGGAATTACCCAAGAGCGGCACAGGGAAGGTGGTCAAGAAGACTCTTGGGCCGCAGTACTTCCCTGCGAACTACATCGAAGATAAGGATGTGCAGGTTTGGTCGAGGAAGCCCACTGCAAGAGACTCAAGGCTTTGATCTTCAGTTGAATCATACTCTAGAAATTAGATTTGATTGCATTAGACTAGGAGAGGGAAATCCAGGGCGAAGGACTTTCGAACTCGAAATCCCTGAAAGAAGCTAGTTCTAGATTACAAAAGGGACTTGTTCCGCTCAACTCTATCACAGGACCTCTGCTCTTGCCTTCTCATTTCCTCTCCTGTAAAGCAACTCACACGAAGCCGGAGCTTGCTATCCTCACCATTCAGTGATCGATTGTGAGGACAGGGCAGTTCTCTAAACTAGCCTAAAAATTCATCTGTGCTGGTTCATGACTTCCAGTGAATCCGTCCCCAGCGTTGACCGGAAGTTTGAGTCGAAGTGAGCGTGGCAGTGATTGTCATGGTTGCGGACGAAGTAAATGTCGTGGTCGCAGTCACCGTTTCGGTGGTGGTTGTGTAGTGCGTCCGCGTGCCCGTCGATGTCGTAATCGTCCTGGTTGTTCTCGTTATGGTGCTTGTCTCTGTTACTGTTCCTGTAACAGTCACGACGGGACCAGTGACGCTTGCAGGGCCTCTGGAAACTGTGATGGTCACGGTGGTAGCCGAAGCAGGGCAGCTGCTGCTCGTTGTGGTGGCAGCAGTTGTTGTTGTTGCGACGATGGAGCTCGTCGTAGAGTTGGAGGACGAGCTCGTGGTCGCAGTAGGAGCTGCAAAAGTGGAGTTGGAATTAGATGTCCAAGTGGTGGACCCAATTGTCACGGAAGAGTTAGATCGAGATGTTGTAGTTGAAATAGGAGATGCAGAGTTGCTCGTCGTAACAGTTGCATTTGAAGAAGCAGTCGTGCTGCTGGTGCTGCTAACCCGGGTATAGGTTGCATTTCCTGAGGTGGAGGTAGTGGCGGAGCTGGTCACCGACGGACCGGCGGTAGCAGAGTTTCGGTGCGAGGTAGCGGACCATCTGGAATGGCTGCTGCCCCAGCTGTGGTTGCGAGAGGAAGAGAAGCGGCCCCTACGCGAGGACGACGCAACAGAAGTTGTGTCAGGAGCGCCCGTAATTGTGCTTCCAGAGGTTATAGTAATGGAGCCAGAGCTGGCGGAGGAGCTTGAAATATCAGTCGAGATAGGGCCAGCCGGGGATGTGGACGAAGTAACCCAAGATGATGAGGAACCGGTCGTGACGGGTCCAACAAAGCTGATGGAGGTCGAAGCCGAAATTGTGGTAGAACTCTCAGTCGCAGATGTAGTAGAATTCTCCATCTTGCCACAATTTAGATCACGATAGAGCTGGAGAGCGACAGAATCCCTGTTATAAAGGGGGTTGTCGAGGTTCTTGAGCAGTCTGCAGTTATTGGTTGTGGCTGTAGTATTGAAGACCACACCCGCGCATCGACCTTCTTTGCTCTCGTTGGCAGTATCACAGCGAAGTGCGCACAACTCTGGGCTATCTTTAGTTATCCAGTTCCCTCGGAAGCTGCTCTCAGCATACGTGCGATCACAGACAAAGCCGTACCTCGCACAGCTATCTTCTGGGCTCAGGAAGCTCAAGTCTGCATATGGGCATGTACTGGGAGAAGAAGCCGCAGATTTTGTACTGGTTGAGATTGACATCATGGTGGAGGAGGTGGCAGTGGTCGCAGGGCTCTCCTGGTCAATCCAGCTTGTAAATGAGCCAGAAAAGGTGACCGAGTTTTGCGTAGTAGAAGTGGACATGCCGGAGACAGTTGTTGGTGTTGCAGATTGTTGCATCGAAGACGTGGCTGAGCTAGTTGTCATGGAACCAGCCGTCGAAAGGGTTGTGCTAATGACATGAACCGAGGAAGAGGCGGCGGATATTGAAGAAGTCGAGCTGGAGTCGGAGCTGACACTGGCCGAGCTGGTCCAATCCAACCAAATGCTTGCTCCAGGGTAGGGCTCAGTAGGCCAGGTTGCCGCGGTGTCGACAGTCGAGGAAGGATCCTGAGCAGAAGTAACAGAAAGCATTGTGGTCATGCCCAACCACAAGGCTAGAGAGACCAGAGAAGAACGCATGTTGGCCGGAAGGATTGCAGGCCCGGTTTCAAATGAGTGACAAATGTGAAAACGAGTGACTGGAGGAAAAGAACGAATGGACTGGCTTGATGGACGAAAAAACCTTGTGACCAACGACCGAAGCAAATATATAACTTCAGGCAGCATTGTAACAACATTGCAAATACCTCCCCCAAATAATGATTCAGATTAATTTTGGCTCAGGGAACCACGCAGCAATGTCTCGCAGATCCTTCGACAGAATGATGCGGCTAGAATGGCCAAAAGGGGTGTTTGCATCTGTACTGATCTGTGACAGCCTCGCAAGGAGTATGAAATGCCTATCTTGGCAAGCCAATGTCCGACGCAAGGGTGCTCATCGTCCGGAATAATATCAACAATGGCATTCTTAAGATAGGAAACAATGGATTCCAATAGCAAAACATCGGCAAGGGCATGTTTCACCCGGAAACATCAATTCGATAGCAGACCTCGAAGCTCAGAGCATTGCCCTGCCGGTGCGTTGATGAAGAAATTCTTTCTCCTCGTGGCGGCATCAATAGAGTAAGGCACACGAGCTGCTAGCCAGGATATGATCTGAGCTTCTTGACCCAGCGCTGGTGGATCAGGAGCATGAAGCGCAACGCAAATAGCACCATCAGAAGCCGGAAAGCAGATGTCTTGCATTCACAGTCGTAGATTAACAATAGCCGAGCAAGAGCAGGGGGATTTCTGGAATTTCTGACATCAGAGTGGGTGGACACAGACGCAAAGACACAACTATATAGCGAAATTATCAATAGAACCATTCAGATAGTGAATAAGATGGAATATGGGTAGAGGCAATGAGCAGCGTGAAAATGTCGATAGAGAAGAGGAGAGGGAGCGGACGGAAAAAACTGTAGCCGGAACGGAAAAACCTTTAATGACGTGGCTAATTTCCAACGGCTCGGAGCGCTGCTGGTGCAATTGAGGTTCCCTTGGTTCGACCCGCGTCGCTCACTGTCACCCTTTTTGCTGCAACCTGACTTCAATACGTCTTCTGGGCTTCTTGGGTGAAAGCACCGGCAGGCCAAAATGATCACGCCCCTTCAGTTATAGCCTGTCCTCTTTTGCACCTCTTTCTCATGTCAAACGATCTCCCGCCAGTATGGGAGTCTGCCTCTCCTGTCTAGGTGTCCGTCGTCACAGCCACCATGAGGTAAGTACCGAACAGCCCCTTCGTTTCTTCTGTTTTCGGTTGGCCACTGGCTAACAACTGGTGTCGGCAGTCCGATCGTGCCCGTCTTCTCTACGATGACTACCCAGCCGGCCACAGCTACGGGACATGGGGCGCATCGAGCGTGCCTCCCCAGAACCTGATGAGCCCAGAGGAAGTTCAGCGCGAACAAGAAGCCCTAGACGGGATCGCCCAGTGGGCGAGCGACCAGATCGTCGAAATCTTCCCCCACAGCCACCGCTCCCTCATTATGTCTGCCTCACAGCTCAACGGGCTCAGCCACACCAGCACAGGCGATCAGAACACCACAGCTCCCTCATCTACTCAACATCAAGACATTCTCTTGTCCCTAATCCCGGGAGACAAATCAAAGCGCTCGATACGGATATACCCTGCATCGCGACCGACTTCAAAGAGCGGCCTGTCCCTCCGGAGTAAGAGTTCGGTAGGGACAGGGATGAACAGCAGTATTGGAAAACACGGAGGGGATTCTGTCTTGGTTACACTGGACGTTAAGTTGCCTTAAAGGCCGCTGGGGAGAATCTACGGCACGAGGATAGAAGGGTGACTATCTAAGCCAATTTTAACCTGTTATCGGCCGTCCTCGCCGACAAAATATGGGATCGTTCACCGGCGTCTTTCTACCTGCATGAGCTGTATAGCTCCGCGATATCAGGTACACAGGGGAGACCAGAACAGGAATGTGACTTCGATGTACGGACGGGCCCTTCTCTGCGAGGACAGGGAGGCGTGCAATAGGAGGCGAGCCGGAGTCTGTTCGTGCAGCCGGTGACAGCAGCTCTCTATCACCAAGCGGGTCGACGGGTGCGGATCAAATTGAGGCGGACGGATTGAGAGCTAGTCATGTTCGATTCTCCCGACGCGGCAAAAAAGCCTGGAGCTCGTGCTGAAGGCCTCCTCAATACTTGGATGTGCTCTGCCGAAGGAAGGATAGAGGATAATGAGGGGATGAGCATAATATTGAGCAAGATGGTTGGCCATGGGCGTCCTTATATTTCTGCTTGAGAGATGGAGCTGTCATGACCAGGGAAGAATTTTCTTACCGTAGAGGAGTGGCTCTAGTGTATATCTACGACTGATTTCAATTGGACACGAGGCTGTGGATAGAAACCAGGTGAAAGCATCAACGTATGGAAAACGCCAATTGTGATTTCCTATGCTACTGGCCCCAAAAAGGAGGGCGACTATCTGAAGGACTGGGGGGTATCTCTGAACTCGGATCATGCTGCTTCGCTGTCTGCTTGCTACAAAGCAGGTGCGGTTTGGGGTATCTTAATTGTTCAATGTTGTGTGAAAAGCAATATTCTCCGACCATCCTTCCCGGCCCGTTAGCCCAACTGTGGTCATCTGGCGTGTCTGATTAGGGAATGAGATGTTGAAGAACGAAGGGTATCGTCGTTTCGCGCAAGGTTCCGCATTGGCGTCAAAAAAGGGGGTATAATGGTTGATTAGACGCTCGTTGACAGACTGAAGAAGGACAGTGCTAAAATTATGAAAGGGACTCCGGGCTATTGGCGTTGAGTGGTAGTGGTCGGTTGAAGCACGAGAGCTGAAGACTTGATAAGAGATTGGTCGCGCGCTTCCTGGCCACCGACATGACATCGTGTGATTCCGAGCTTCTTAATCATCTGGTCAAGTATCCTCTCTGCCTTGAGGAGACGCACCCTACTTCGCAGCAGGAGTGCTCGCCGGAGCAGGGTCGGCTGGCTTATCGGCAGCCGCTGGCGCATCAGTTGGGGCAGTACCTGTGAGAATGAGTGAGTGACTGAGCGCCAGTGGTTTGTGCGATAACCCCAAAATGTACTCACCAGCAGGAGGAGCAGTGGCATCGCTGGTCGAAGGTGCAGCGGCGGTGTCCGTGGCCGTCGGCTTAGTAGCGGCAGCAGGAGTGCCATTGGTATCTGTCTTAGTTTCCTTGTCCTTCTTGCGCCTGAAGAGAGCCTTGATCTTGTCCATTGCGTCGAGGGCTGTGATTAAGCAACTTGTATTAGAAAGGGGTGTTGATCTTGAATTGGGTATTAAAAAAAAAAGGTAGTCTGGGCCACCGGAGGGATCGGGTGTTGAAGAAAGGAGATTCAGAAGAGACACGTACGAATTCCAGGCATATGGACTGAGAAAGATTCGGGTCTGGGGAGGAAGGGGGTTTAAATAGATGCGAGGCAGTTGGGTTAGGTAGGCACGATGCTTTCTGTTCGGTTCGATAGGAACGGGCGGGATGGGGGTGGATGATAAAGTCTTCCGAGGTGATAACTAGCAAGAGAGGAGGGAAGAGCGATGCAGTGAGTGGACGGTTGGGCGTGACGCAAGAGCGATGGCTTGGAGAGAAAGATGGCTCAAGACGGCAAGATGGGAGGATGGGAGGATGGGAGAGGGTGTTGGGACCTTGTCTCGTGATGGCGCAACAGGGAGAAGATGAGGTGAGGGTGGAGGACGGTCTTCGAGTCGGAGGTGCCAAACCGTTCTGAGGAGCTTGGCTGGGATAAGTGATCAGGTCTTATTCTTCACCTAGCGGCTGGCATGCATTTCAGGCATTTCCCGGAAGCGCACGAGTAGTTGGATGCTTGTTTTCGGTCCTGGGTTGTAGAGGACGGAGCAAGTCGCCACTGAGCAATGAGAAGGTTGTAACAAGTCGAACGCACCTGCGGAATCAGCTGTGCCTGTGCCTCACCCGGCACCATGCACCACGCACCACGCAACAAGGCAGGCCAACTTCCTACTTGTTAGTCTTCTTGGTCCTCTGATCTTCTGATCTCCCGCGCTTCAATGGTCACTACTGTCCGCTTTTGAACAAGATAAGCATGTGTGACAATGCCGATAATATTTCGCGCGCTTGTTTTGGGCGAGGTGACTGCCAAAGATCCGTCGTTCCAAGCTTTGCAGGTTGCCTAAGGGCAAATGAAGTAGGCACAGCAGGGCTCTTGTTGGCATTTCACCTACCTAGCTTGAGACGGCGTCAAATTGCTTGGACACTCGGTACGTCCTTGGCCGCTGTTGTCCCACACTGGTGAGTTTTGGCATTTCTCGTGCAAGTCTCGCTTGTTCGACGTCTGCCAGAGCTGCACGCTCAGGAAGTCATATAGAAGTGATCTTGGCCCCCGAACAGTCAAGAGAAATGAGAATAACATCTTGGATTCAACCGATCCTTCTCCCCACCGCCCCTGGGCGACACTGGGCGACACTGGGGACAAAAAGGCGCGGCGGGCGGCGGCCGGGCTGCTTATTCGCCATACACCCACAGCTCCCACAGCTATTACCACAGCCAGCTCAGCAACCCAGCTTCCCCAGACTACGATGACGTCCTAGTGGCAGCCACCGCAGCGCAGCCTGGTCTTCTTTCAACTTCTTGCCTCGCACTGACCTCGTCGATATCCGTCAAAGCAGCATGGCCTCCGTCCTACTATTGTCTCTGAGACGGCGGCACGGTTCAATCGAAACCCCAATGCCACCGCCATCACCACCGCACCCGTCCATCCTCGAAACCCTTCCTGCCAAACAACTCCAACAAAGCGCGGCAATTCCGCCGTCTGGTGCCGTTGGAGAAGTTGGATGACAACAAATAATAGCCCTCCCCGCACACGGGCAAGGTCGCGAGCTCGGTACCGATGGCTAACAGCCAGCGGGGTACTCGAGTCTGATGGCTTTGATCAATGGAAAAGTTCTTCTGTTCGCAGATTGCTTGACTGATACTCGACTATCTAGGAGCAGCTGCTCTCTTTAAAGAGGGACCAAACAGATCGGAAGAGAGAAAACCAATCGTTTGGACAAAATGCGTCTCGACTACGTACCTAACCCCCCGACCAACCTCGCGCCAGAGGATCAAGAGGTCCTAGAGCGGGTCAAGGCACGTCGGGGTGCCATGGGCCTTATCGCGCTGGATTTGACACTGTTGCATGCTCCCAAGATCGCAGATGGTTTGTTGCACACGCTCACGGGCCTACTAGCTTGTCCAACGCTAACGGATGTCCGCTCCTAGGTTGGAACGCCCTGCTCGGCGCCGTGCGGACGAAGAACTCTCTCCCAGACGATATCCGCGAGATTGCCATTTGCCGTCCTGCCTTGATTAACCGCGCCTGGTATGAATGGCATGCTCATGCTCCTATCCTTTTGAAATCTGCGGGCTTTACGGAAGAAAAACTAGCCGTCGTGCAACAGCTGCATCCAACATCCAAGGGAGCGCTCGACGATCGCCAGTGGGCTGTTCTGCGATATGCCGATGCCATGACGCGAGACGTGTCTGTCCCTCAGAGCGTGTTGGACGAAGTCAAGGCGGCCGGTTTTAGCAATCAGGAAATCGTTGAGATTACGGTCACGGTTGCGAGTTACAACATGGTCAGCCGGTTTTTGGTCGCATTGGATATTGGAGAGGCCAACGACAAGGCTCCGGCATTCGCTAAATAGTACTGAAAGGCTGGTCAAAATTCCTGGTGACATGGAGAGGACGAGTTAGTCTTCCCTTCATCTAGCCCAGGCGACATATTCTATATAAAACATCATATAAGAGAGGATTTGGCACTTCTTAAGAGAGCCCTCGAGTCAAAATTCGAGTCCCCTCCCAGCTCTGAGTGCTAGCATACCAAAGAGGCCTAAAGATCAATGGTACCTGTCTCCTCTCGTTTAGTGGCCGGTCCGTATCGTATGTCCTCTTCAGTACACGGCGGCAGCCTTGGTGTTGTCCATGTCCGTTTGCTGGAACCGCAACTGACACCAGTCCCCACACGAGATCGGTTCGTACTTGGGCGGATTGTCGTCGTCCACGCAGCTGGGCAGCACGCCGCACTTCTCGTTGAAGTTGAACCCGAAGAAGAATGGCATTGAGTACCTGTTGTGTTTCGTCAGAGAGTGGTCCACGTCTGAGGTTTGGCAACGCATGCAAGGCATGCTAAAACAAAGGCGCACAAAGCAGGGTTCCAGCAAAGACCAACCTGTCGACCGTGGAACGGTTGTAGACCCTGTGCACCGTCGACCTCATCCGGTCATTGGTCAGACGCATCAGATAGTCGCCTATGTTGACGACGAAGGTCCCTTCGAGTGGCGTCGCCTTGATCCACTGTCCTTCCTTGTTAAGCACCTGCAGCCCGCCGTTCATGTCTTGCCAAAGCAGCGTGAAGCATTGCAGGTCCGTGTGCGATCCCAGCCCGATATCTTGACTCTTTGCGGCATCTTCTGGTGACATTGCGGGATAGTAGTTGAACACGCCGTCGCTTCCGGGGTACGTCGTCACGGCGTCGAAGTAAGTCTCGGGGAGGTCGAGGCAGAGAGCGAATACGCCGACGAGCCTGCGGGCAAGCTTGAGACATTCCTGCCAGTAGGCGATACAGCCTTTTTTGAAGCCCGCTAAGTGCTCTGTGCCTTCCCAGACATAGTTCTCGCCACGAATATACGGCCGGACTTCCGCGGGCACGGCGTCAGGGTCCTTCGGATCGGGGTCGTATTGTGGCTCGTATCGCCACGAGAAAGACTCGCGGTAGTCCACTGTGCCCGCACGATAACGTGTCAAACAAGACCTACAAGTAGGCAAACGCCAACAACACAAGGAGCCAAGCTCAGGAGAGGCGTAGGGGACCATATACTGACATCCTTCCGAGGGACTCGCCATTGCGGTATTCTTGGCCGAATAGCCATTGTACCATTTCCCTTTGGCCTTTGAAACCAGCATCTTCTTGTCCTCAGGCTGCGCAAAGAAGGCCCTTGAGGCGTCTAGAGCAGCTTGGATGACGGCTTCAGGGATGCCATGGTTTCGAATGTAGAAGAACCCCGTATTCTCGGCCGCATGCCTGATGGTTCGGGCGAGCGCCTGTCGAGCCTCCAAATCGTCGTCGTATATCGGACTGAGATCGATCAACGGGATCTCGTCCGATCGAGCATCCCGCGGCGGGTTGGTCGATACATTGCGATATACCGGCCCGTAAGCCGTGCGAAGTTCAAGCTTCACGAAACCTGCCTGCTTGGCTTGAGGAGTTGTCGACATGATCGTATCCAGATAGGGCGTTTCCTGAACGATTTAGCGGTGCCTGGCGGGTGGTAAAGGTCGCTGTCTGATATACCCCGATGTGAACGGTACGAAGATTGATGCCTTGTGTCAGGCAGCACCTTTCAGCTGGTCTATAGCCCCCTGTTACAATTCATACCTACCAGGACACGTCGGCGGGCGGCGACCTCCGAGATGTGTGACATTTATTGACTTGAAGAGCACGCGGAGTGAGCAATTGCCTTGTCTGCTGGAGGAATACTCCGTTCACGGCAAGGCGAGGCGCGTCAGCTTGATAACGTTCGGCATTGGATGTACTTTGTTCCGTCAGCGCAAAGAGAGACACAAATGTGGAAAAGGCAGTTGGAGAGGTCCATCTTCTGTAATAGTGTCTCTGTCTTCTTTGAGACAATTCGTCTTCATTTCAGTGTTCCTATCTTCTGAAACAGTTCTCGTCGTGCTCAATGCACGTCGATGTCTCTACATATCCTGAGACACGTTGACCCTCACTTTCAGGGCATCAGTTCAGCTCACTATGGTACATCTATGTGTACATGACCCATGTTCACCATCCAATTCGTTATGCACAATGTCGAAGGCATCGAAGGCGTCAAAGACGTCGCTCATTCTCTCGCAAAGTAAAAAAGAGCATGCAACCATCCTTTCTCCATCAGACGCGTGAATGTAGGGACAAAGAGATCAGTCTCATCCGTGGCTTCGTCGGCCGCAGAGGGATGCGTCTGGACGTAGTCGATCATAGCCAGAAGAGCATCTGCCCAGTGTGTCATTCTGCCACCAAAGAACCACTCAAAGCCATAGTGCTGGTGCATCACATCCGACTTCTTTTGGAGCTCCTTGCGGAATTCCTCAAGGCGCTCACGCGCAAACTTGACAGCTGGCTTGCTGGTGATGTCGGTCACGAACTCGCAGAGGGTGATCGTCGCCACAGACCAGGTGTGGAGGTCAAGTGGATTGTATCGTGGCGCATTCGCGGTCGCATTCGCCTCTTCGATGAGGACCATGGACAATTTATCGACACAGTCGAGGATAGGCGACGGGAGGGCAGGCTCGTGATCTTGATACGGACTCACGAGGAGCTCCCTGAACCAGTTCAATTGCTTGTAGATCACAGAATCTTCGGGGTTTCCGTTGAGTTGCTCCACGTTCAAGTCGAAGGCGCTCTCCGAAAGGGCTTTTAGGGCCATTCGCGCTCCTGCACTGTTCGGCTTACGTGGCACGAGGATGTCAGCGAGAAGTTCAAGCTGATTCGAGCTGATTGCGATGTACGCTGCCTCAATAGGAAGCGCCTTGACACTGTAGTCTTGAACACGGAGGTCTTTTGCTGATGGCATGGCGGATGGATGGGTACCCTCACCCAAGGTGTGGTACTTGAACATGAAACGGACGCAGTTCATGGCCATGTTGAGAACTTTGGTGAAGCCAGCCAGGTCAGAGATGACGGTAGTCGAACCATGGGCAATATCGCGTTGCACCTGGTTCAGGACAAATCGACAGAGGTTAACGTTAAACTGACGTCCCCGAGACGAGGCTCCACCGTCTTCGATTTTCTTGACATCATACTCGCAGGTCAACATCACCAGGACAAGAGTCCAGAGCAGTGTCAGATTGTGGTCCACCAAATGATCCGCCGCCTGGCAAACCTGATCAAAGAGATAGACTGCCAACTTGTCGTAGTTTTCAAAGAGGGATGACTTGAGAGTCGAGGTTGGGCGGCTAATGGCTGGGTCAACGTCGTTGTTCAAGGAGGAAGAATCGTGAGCACCGTTGAGAGTGACTCCGGCTCTCAGGTCTGGCAATAAGTCGACAGCCACAGTGAAGGCTTGTTGCATCTCGAAGTTGGCGTTGGCGACAACTGCATCCACCATCATGCGTTCGGGAAGCAAAGGAAAGAGTGGATGATACTGCTCATAGTACTTGGCAAGAGACGCTTCGTCCATCTTGAATGGCTCCATGTCTTCGTTGGGACCCTGGATGCGCGGACGTTTTGCGGGGCGAGAAACGCGGATTTGACTCCAGAAAGTCTTGGTAGGGTCGCGATATTGAATCCGCGAGTTGGCCTCTTCTTCAGCAAGCAAAGCCGCAGGGGAAAGAGTTTCGTTCGGAGCGATTGCGAGGCTTCCGCTGGCACGCGGTCGAAGACTAGAAGCGATCGAATTGATGCCCCAGCCGCCAGTGCTTGGAATGCGATCTCGCTGAAATTCGGCTCTGGCAAATGGGTTGACGGTCGTGGGAGCGGAGAAAGAAGAGGCGCGGTTAAAACCAGGACCACTTGGCTCATCTGGCGAAAAAGTCTCGGCGAACCCTACGGGACCCGCGTCCAGTGACTGCCTCTGCTTTTGTTCTAACCCATGAACTCGCTCTGCCAGCGCGCTGATATATCTGTGTCACGTGTTAGTCTTCGTTCGGCGACGACAACATCAAACAAGTTCCATCAAGGAAACAACTGACCCTTTGCTTGGACCACGCTTCATGGGCTTGCGCTCAAATTCACAATTCACGCCAGCCTTCTGGCAATTCGTGCATGTCTTTGGAGTGCCATCCACCTCAGTGGGGGCATCGCATTTGACCTGAAGGTAGGTTAGCACCAAAAGAAATATTGCTTGGCTCTTTGCCGTGAGGTTTGTGACAGCACCTTCTTCCTGCGGCACTCGTCGCATGCACGGGAGGCCTTTGAGCGTTTTCTTTTGTCACCAGTCTGAGCTTCTTGGGGTGTCTCTGAAGATATATCAACACTTGCACGTGTCCCAGCTGAGGCAAAGGTAGGCTGATTTGGCGTCTGTGGAGGAGCCATTGCTGGATCAGGAGCAGAAGAGGCTGCCGCGCCATTTGGGCCCATGGGCAAGTTGTTCATGGCTCCATGGTTTATCTTGTCTACAGAAGTTACCCCCTCTTCTATCGGTCGCGCATAGGGAGGCATGGAGTAGTTGGGCGAGATGTTGGTCAGCTCGGTGTCGATCGGGTAGTAAGGCGAAGCGAAGTGCGAGGGAGCAGACCCCGCGAAACTGCTCGTCGGATCATTCGAGGGTTGATCGCGGCCACCAGCTGCTCCTGCCATTTTCGTGTCCAGCGAGATGGGGGAAGAAAGAGATGATGCCGTCGCTCCGGAAGATGAAAGAGGATGAGAGTAAGTCGCGACCGAAGTGCGGCAACTGATGCTTTGGTTGATCCGATTTCGCGCTTGTGCCGAATTGGGGACTAGCGTGGTTTATCTTGTGCGGGAGCCTCGAGGCAGCAAGCCTTGTGCCTGCCTCGTGCTGCTGCCCGCTTGGCGATGGTTGCGAGGTTGCTATCCGAAGAGCCGATAAAGCCCGAACAATGGGCAAAATCTGGGGAGAGCTTGGGCAGTATCTGTCCGATGCCGACCCACGCAATCTCGCTCCACCGCCTCAAGGAACGGATGCACTTTTGGCCGACGTGCACGCCATCGCGCTCACAGCTCCCAAATACCCAGTACAATGCAAACATTGAACGGCGGACTTTGTAGCGGCGGATGCTGTTGCGAGGGATGTGGATTGCCGCAATATCGTCCTGAATTCACGGACCTATCTATATACCCCATACGGAGTGCAAACAGACGAAAAATGCAAGGCATTCAATCCGACAGGTTCATGGTCATTGACAAACTGCCTGATGAGAAGCTGGGAATCTGTGACAACCAAGGGTGATTCTTTGCTTGTCAGAGAGTCACGTCGAAGCTAGCTTTATTTCACCGCTCGAAGCCCAAGCGTCGTTGTGATGGTTACAAAAGGGGGGCCTTTTCCCGTCGACAAACGCAAGCGACACGAGTACAAAGTGAACGGACGTGACGAGGTTCACGTCGGGGCCAGCATCTAAGAGAAGTGCGCGGTGAGCAAGACATGGGAGAAAGGCAACTGCCATGTAAAGTGATGACCGACCGTGCTTTTTTGGCTATGGTCAGAAACTCTCAACGATCATGCCCGATGGAATCATGAGGGGCTGGAAGGCACAGCATATGATAAACTCCAGTTGACGAAGCTGCATAGAAGAGAAAAAGCTGCGGGGCACAAGAAGGAGGAAGAGGATGACCTCAGTTTGTCAAATCATCTATGCCATGTCGATCTACACTAGTTTGAATCATTGTGTGGTTCAGTGTGTGCTCCCACAATATCTAAAATTATCAGTGGGCTTTCTCAGTCATTGATTTAGGAACGCCTGTATCTTGTGGGGGACGTGGAGAGGGAATATCATCCACCATGGCATAAAGCATCAGGCTGAGGGCCTTTTGGTATTGAAGCCACACTTGGTAATAGAAAAGCAGGACCCAGGCTGAACCGAAAAAGGGGCAACCAAAAGAAACAACGCAAGCTGACCCCTGGAGAGAAGTCTACAGGACAGGCTCCTCCTGCTTCTTTGCTCTCGCCCAAAACATTCCGGTACTACCCAAGAACAAGAGGAGAGTCATGGGTGCTGAGTACGTGTCTTAGTTAAGTCGGCCACCCCTCGCTCTGCCACTCGCATTGCTCTCCCGATTTCCCGAGCCCTGGTATGAGCGAATTATTACCTCAGAGCACATGCGTGCAAAAAGGGAAGGAGACCCGTTCGCGCCCCCATTCAAGAATGAAGTCCAATGGAAAATCGCCGAACGAATGGGGAGAGGGGCGGACCTGGGAGCTGGGTGCTCCTAAGTACTTACTTACCTAGACTCTACCTACTTAGGTAAAGTCCAGGTCAGTACTTAAGTGGTAGAGGAGGAAATCCACCGTGGTCCCATAGGCCACGGCAGCCGCACCCTTCCTTTTTCAGCCACTTTCCCATCCAGGCCGGGCTCTTGTATGCGGGTGGGATGCGATGCTCCTGCCGGAAGATGGTCTTCTGCATGGTCTTTCCTTTTGCCTTTCGAGTCCCCAGCCTGTTATCTCTGTCAGCTGCTGAATATGCATAACGTAACTAGCCACACGGGTGGCAGCCAAGGCCCCGACGTCCTGCAGGCCCAGGCCCTGCCCGCGGGCTTGAGATCCTCCCCTCCAAAAGTTAGTGCTCGCTTCTTTTTGCCTTTCGAAAGCCAATTGTTATGCTGAGATCGCAACTGTCACTCGTCGGAACCATGGACAGCTCTCCGCAGCAGAGGATTGATCGTCATGACTTGGACTTGATGAGGTCAGAAGTCGGTGTTGGCGCCAGATGGGCATGTTTGTGGCGTCCAGGTGGAGGGCCATTTTCAAGTTTTTTTCAGGCCTGTGCAGTCGGGTGCCGCGCCGACGCCAGGGCCCATCCCCGCCCAGTGCGTGCGGTCGATGTCCTACCATAGGAGCCTCGGGCAAGCAACACGAGTACGGGAGCTTGAAGCACGTCTTGTTGGCTAACTTGGCTGTCGACCTTCCTCGCCTTCCTCCTGTCCAATCTGAGCCCCTGGATCCCCTCGGCATCCCGCACGTTTTTTGCATTGCGCAACAAAATGCGTGTGGAAGCGATTGGATGCCACGCAAGCCCTTCCTGGACCTCTCCAGCATCCCTGCTTGTGGCACTGTGCTTCTCCTCCCTCTCGAGTCTCAATCTGCGCTATGCCGGCGGTGACTACCCATCAACTGGGGGCGGGGGGAGTTCGTGTGCTGGACTAGGAACTCGTCGCTTATTCTTTCTGCCCTTGCTGCTGTCCTCCCTTTACGGAGGATCTTCTACTGCGACTACTCTTTTCGAGTCTATTTCGTCTCCTCGCCGGCCTGCTCCGTGAGGGAGTAATTTCTCCTTTTTCCCTGTCGCGTCCGGTTGGCTCGGCGCTGGGCGGAGTCTGCGGTAATTTCACGGCTGACAGGATCAATACCTATGTCTCAGTCATGCTCGCTTGGGGGGGATGTGTCTGGGCGCGCGTCTTTTCCTGGCTTCTCGCTCGGGAGATGGCTCGCTGGGTATGGGGAGCAGGGGGGGGGTTCCCAAAGCTAGACGATCCCCTCCCGCTCCCCTCCCCCCCCTCTTCCCACAATACAAACGCCCTAGAAATTCTAGTTTCAGACTTCTTCCTGTGAAATGTTATCATCAGCGAATGTCAATGTTGAACCTTTTCCAGCGCCCGCCCATGACTCCGCAGCGGGGGCAGCCGCGGCGCATCGGTGCGAGACCTGGTTGGACCGTCACCACAGGACTGCTGATGATCTGTCCAACGCAGTCGCTGCAGACGCCACAGATACACTCGGTGCAGGCGAAGGCATTTTTCAGTAGCCACGGCCGACTGCAGGATGCGCAGTAGATCTCCAATACATCCGATTTGCTGCCAAATGAGGACGATTGGGAGTGCTGGTAAGGGTGTGAATGGTGCTGTAAGGGGCTAGTGTTATCGTTGGACGACGCCGACGTAGGCAGGCCGGACCCTGAGATGTGGAAATTCTGACCGGATCCCGCGCTCTCTAGGGACTCGACCGAAGGGAAGGGCTCGGAATCATTGGGTCCTAAGATGTCTGGTGGCGGTGGAGTCAGGGTACGCTGCAGCGGAGAGGCATTGTATTGCCCAGGTTGGTGGTGCAGGTGATGACCAAAGGGACGGAAGCCCGGGGGTAGCGATGAACGCTTGTTGACCTCCCCACTGGTCGACATGCTGTCCGCGGCGGACAATCTACGAGCGGTCGTGGTGGTGGTGGTGGTGGTGGTGGTGGTGTTGGTGGTGCCCGTGCCAGCAGCGGTGGCGGCAACAGTGGTAGAGGGCGGAAAGTTTGGCGACTGCGGCATCTGTAGGTGAACGCCAAGGGCATGTTAGCAAGGTTGATTATCGATAGTCTAACGCGAAAAAGAAAAAAGAAAAAAGAGGAGGTTGGTGTACACATTAGAGTAATTAACTGAGGGTGCATAAACTTTTCAGTGACAGAACCCCCCTGGCTCTGGCTCTTCTCAGTCGCCTGGCCCGACCGCCACAGGAAAAATGGTTTCATCACCCGCATGTGGCCTGACCGAGAAAAATAAAAAACCAATGGCTGTGTTTTTTATTCTTCCGCTCGCTCCAGAGAGTCCGTACCCCCGGGCATTTCGTCATCTCCTTGCATTGAATCGGTCCGTGATTGAAGTCATGGTCCTCAAAACCATCAATCGTGATTTTTTCGGAGCCACCAACTGTTCAAAAACAATCGACTGACACAACGCTGGGAGGTTCCTCTTGCCCGGGAGCCGTCATTCTGTTGCTCGCATATGTCCTTTTTGTGCCTTTCGTGCGGGTATAGCAAGACATGACCGTCGTTCGATTCGTTTTTGTTGTTTTTGGCAATAGTAGTGACAGTAAAATAGTACAAGACAATATTCCCTTTCTGGGGGGCCTTCCTCCGGGGGGCTCCTCTACAGTATCTCGATCTCTTGGCAGCAACATGTAAACAGAGGACAATCGAAAAATGTCGTCTGACTTACGGGAGTGAGATCACGATCATCATCAGCCTCAGTAGCACTCGTGGCAGCCTCGATCAGATCTTCCCATCTCTTGCCTTGAACCCAGGCCGCGGTGGGCGGTTCTGCAGACATTGCTTTTCGGCCTTCGACGCTCAGCCTCCGGGAGAAATCCTTGGCCGAAAATTCCCTAGATTTTCCGCGTTCGTGCTTGCCCTTGCGCGCATTTTGCCCCATCGACGGCTTTCGGGGTCGTGGCAGTTTCTCCCCGCGTCGTTGAATGGGTGGTAAGGATGAGTACCGGCTGCCCGGTGACTGCAAAAGAGAGGGTAATAGTTCGCGCGGGCGAGCCGGCTGAAATGTATCTTCGTGGAACTGTGCACGTAATGATGGCAGCTCGAGACCTGAGGTCTCGCGTTTGTAGTCTGACTCTGGGAAAACATCCTGGTGTGCGAATAAGCACAGTTCTGGCTGTGGCCTGTAGTCTCGTTCCCGTTGATACTTACAAAATCGGAGTCCCACTGGTGAAGTTGGGTCAGGGCAACAGCAGCATTGGCTGCAGCAGGAGGTTGCGCAGTCAAAGTCCCTGATCGGGTTTGTCCTAACAAGGCGACATTTTCACTAGCACCCGCTGTTTCTTTTTCTCAGTATGAATAGGGAAGGAAATCATTAAGCCAACATACAAGGGCCTCTTTGGGTAGGAAGGGCGGCAGTCTGTTGGACATGTGGGCGTTGTGAGGGAGGAGTACTGATCATTAACTGGAAACTCTCCTCTGTAGCAGGCAATTTGGGGATATAATGATCGGGGTGGGCGCGTCGAATGTGTTCTTGCATCGACCGGTAGCGTTTTTCCTATAAATGTCGGGGTCAGCGGTTTGGCGACGCGCAGAATGGGGTTAGGACAAGCGCACCCCAATGCATCTCTTTCTGCACTGCGAGCCATCTTGGTTTGTGAGCGGACACACAACCTCATTTTCTGCATCCGTCGACACGAGAAAAGAGCTGGTAAGGGCAGGTTTGGGCGGCATGGCCTTTCAGCGCTGACCCTAACCTGACCGCAGGAGCGAGTTTTAGGAGAGAAGGACGAAGGTCGGCGGCATTGATCGGACAGCCCACAACAAGCCTTGGCTGTTTTTGAGCTTGAAGGGGACCGACGTAATGATGGGTCCTCCTTCACATGATTTGCTGTTCGGAAAGAACAGGGTCGAGGGTGTGCACAACGCAACAGAGTCAACTGCTGGCCTTTCGAAAGGGTGTGCGACGAGGTAGGAGATGGGAGGAGAGAAGGAGTGGGAGTCGCTATGGCCAGAAGAGGGTATTTTGGATTGTTGAGTGTTGGTGGGATGGATCGAAGAAAGAAAAAGGAGCTGTCGAGCTTGGACTGAGGGGTGAGAGTAGGTGGCTCAGTGGGAAGAGCTTGCCCTGGTTGGTATGGGTTCACCAGGCTCTTTAATTGGCAGTGGCAGCTTCCCTCTTTCTCCGGACGTTCCCCTCTTGCCCTCTCAGCCCTCTCTAAGCTCAGCAAGCTACAGCTGTTCCAGGCGCCAAAGCCCGCCGACCTTTGGCATCAAGAAATCGCGTCTGACGCCTAATAGGTAGCGGCTTCAGCCTGTCTCGCCTGAAAGGAAGCTCCCTATCGTTGTCAGACACGGCTGCTACTCTTGTCCGGGCTTCCCACGTCCTTACTGGCACAACCAGGAACGAACAACCACCTTCCAATCAACCGTCCCCTCCCTCACACCACCCACACTAATCCCGGCCAGCACAGCTTTTGATCGATGACAATCCATTGCGTTCACTCCTCTCCCCTACTGGCTCCCTCTGCTTGGTACCTAGTCAGGTACTTCTACCCAATCACGACCTTGGCAATAGCTCAGGGTTCCTTCTCCTCACCTCATCCAAGGTAGCTCCCTCAGTGGCACCTATGGCGCCTTTCATCACCTGTTTGGGAGCTTGGGATCGATGATCGATGCTGATTGCGGAGCAACAGAGAGCTTCAGCCGTCCACTGGCATGTGCATTACCGCCAATTATGACAGCCTTAAACAAGGTCTGCGTTCACTCGCTACAAGCTTGCTTTGTGACACCCGAGACAGCTTGAGCCCGGGCCACTCAAGCTGCCTGCCAGCTGTCAGCCGGAAGTCCCTTTGCATCATGCAGAGGAGCTGTCTGCGCCGTCAACTCACGAAGCTATCATGCAGCATGCTGTCACACCTGGAGCTCTTGTTCGCCTGATCTGGAAGTCATGCTGACGCATCACTATGTTGTATCGGAAAGAGCTGGGCTCGGACTTTCAGTTCTAGCAGGAAATATCTTGAATGATAAGGTTCTATCAATGACGGCCATGCACGTTCAATTCTAGAAACACGCAAACGCTACATATGGGACCCGTTAACGCTCCCTGCATAACAAACTTGAGCGAGCCGCTTGCTCTTCGGAACAGCAGCGGGCTGTTGGCCTGGACCAGAGAGCCAGTCCTTCAAGGTAATTGGCTTGACCAGGCTTTGACCAGTCGGTACCGGTATTTCTTGGAGGAGCCAATGAACCTACCGCCTGAAGAGAGTTCAAAGTCATTCTCTTCTGCATGGTTCCGCATTGTGCCCAACACTCACCGAGATGCTATCAGGATAGCATCAGACCAAAGCAACTATGGAGCTATACAAAATCTGGAGGAAATCAAAGACCTCATCACCATCTCAGCCCCAGAAAACTGACCCGCGCATCTTCTTGCAGTCCGAACGACCTAAAACCCTTTGACATATCTGTGGGCATCGGTAACTTCCATGACCTCGAATCGCATCCCTAATTCGACATTTCCTTCATTTCTTGGGCAACAGAGCATTCCGAAACAAGGTTTATACTTGATGCCTTCATCAACCCTGCGGTAACTGACCAACAGATCCCAGGGCTGGTGGGCATCCTTCTCCGCAGTGTCGGGATCGACGTTGGGTACTGTGCACCGAGCACACCTTGCAACCACATCGACATCAATTGCATGCAAGTTGCCGCCCGTGAGTGTAGTCCAGTATGAAGAGTCTCCGTTAATGCGCACTGTCTTCCACGAATCTTCAGACCATGGTTCTCCTCCTTTGATTATGATATTTGGTCGGAAGCGTTCGATGGTGATTTCGCTCTCGCCTTTCTCCTTTAATCTCGAGTTCAGTTCGGCAAGCGACGACTCGGAGGCAATCTGAATGGGCAGTACGTCTGGGAAATTGACGCTTTCGGTACGTCCTAGTCGTTTAGGGGAGCCGTTGCCGGCGCATATCCTTGGCTCGGGACCCTTCATCACCAGACGAACCTCTTCACCAAAAAACTCTTTGAAAAGTGCCAGCATCGTGGGATCTGTGTAAGCATAGGCGTCGGTGATATACTCCCAAATGTCGACTGAGACTTCTCTGGTGTTTTCACTGAGCCACTCCTGCCTTGGATGAACAGGCACCTTGACTTGCTTGTTGGTGTCATGGCCTATGGTTATGGCAAGGCTGTCGGAAGCGTAATCAATGGCGGTGTTGATCAATGTCATTTGCGGTTTTGAGCGAATGGTGATGAATTTATTACTACTGTCAATGAACTAGACCCATCCAGTATGCATCGTCAGCCATCAAGCGATTCACCGGTCTGGTGAAAGGGTGAGATTCTGGCCAAAATACACAAACTTACCATCCACCGTCTGTCCAGCTCCAGTCCCTGTCTCGTCAGCCTTGCCGACTTCAGAGATATGCCTCGGCATGACTTGATAGGATAGATGCGCAGATCTGTGATCTCGGAGACTGTGTAAGTCATTTTGAGATGGTGTTTGATCGATCCTGTTTTCCTTTGATCTAGGGGTTTCCGAAAAGACTCGGGTTCTTTATTCGTCACCTTAAAAGTTGGGTGAGAATGTCAATGGAGATTGCAAGGAAGAAAAGGGTGCGGAAATGGGCGCGGCCTGTCTGATATATCCGTCAGATGATGGTGACTTCTATTTCCCTTCGAGTGTAACTATTGGTCTGGTCGAAATGACGATAGGTGATCAAGAGGAGCGGCAAGCGAGAGCAACCGGGCAATGTGAAAATGAAGCGTCTTTTGAACGTCTTTTGCAGCGTAAACACTCGCTGAACGCTGCGGATTCTGGGTTTCCTCTTGCCCGACTTTGGATTTTCTTGCAGCCGACAGCGATACGCACGTCACCCCTCTTGTAGCGGCGACAGGTTGTGTCCCAAGATGGCAATACCTGCCATGGGGCCATGCCTCTTCTGGCTATTCTGAGCGAACACCGGACTGTCCCTTCTCCACCTTCTCCGTGGACTTTAAACTCACCGCTGTACTTCGCAGGGCGTCCCAGTCCCGGCGGTTCGCATTTCGGAAAACTGCATGAATTGATCAACTTTTAGTCGTTGCCAGCGAGCTTCATCATTTGCTCTCCCACTATCTCAACAGCGTGGCTGTACATAGAAATGTCTAAACAAAAGGTCTCGGCAGGCTGATGTCTAAGAGGGCAATCCATACCTGCCGAATATGGCCATTGTCAACGAATCGTGTCCAGTTTGGGGGATTGGCAGTCACCCGAGAGCTGGTTTGCATGCGCACAGATTTCTGTTCGGATGCTTCTCTCGGACTGATATAAGCAACTCAGGCCTTGCACGTCTCAAATTAATGGTCACGATTGATGTTACTGTGCAAAACAAATCGCGCTCACCACGATTTTAATGGTGACCAGGGCTTCATCTGTGCGCAATTCCCGAAATTGATTTCATCGGTATGTGTCTTGGAAACTAAGCTAACGGATAAGAGGCTGAAGCTTTTATCCGTCAGTATAGCCATGGAGCAAGCCTGGCCAAGCAACAACGGATCGATCGCCCTGAAGATTTCTGCGCAAAGTGTCTTGTGTACGTGCATATATTTTTGTTTGTGCAAGCCGGGGATTCAGGATAACCGAACGCGAAGCCTTTCATATACCTTTAGCAAAGATAATTCCAGATGATTCTAGCTCCCTCGTGGGGTCCAAAACAACAAGGCGATGGCTCCTCCTGATCTACCCGTCTATTCGACAGCCTTCCATGCTTGCGACTATTGGATCCGTTTCATCCGCACTCAAATTCTAAGAGCGGGCCCAACATGGCCGATTACGCAAAACTCCCAGCCGGTGCAACACTCGATATCAAGCCGTTCGAGGCTCGCGTTGACGATGAAAAGTTGCAACATTTCAAGAATTTGCTGGAGCTTTCGCCAATTGCTCCTGCGGTGTTTGAGAACACCAATGCTGGCCGAAAGTATGGCATGAAGAGGGTTTGGCTTGAAAACGCTAAGAAGGTGTGGCTCAATGAATTCGATTGGCGGAAACACGAAGATCGAATCAACTCTTTTCCAAACTTCAAGGCTTCGGTCAAGGATACAGAGGGCAACATGATCCAAATGCAATTTCTAGCTCTGTTTTCTGAGAAGGTCGATGCCATTCCAATTGCTTTCTTTCACGGCTGGCCAGGCTCCATCTGTGAATTCCTGGATATGCTGGACATATTGAAAGAACGATATTCTCCGGAGGACTTGCCATACCACGTCATCGTCCCTTCGCCTCCGGGCTATGCCTTTTCGTCTGGTCCTCCGGTCGAGACGGATTACGAATCGACATCGCTGCTGGAGCAATCAATAACCTGATGGTCGGTCTAGGATTCGGCTCGGGATACTTGGCCCAGGGCGGCGACCTTGGCAGTTTCATGAGTCGGTTGCTTGTGATGAACTACGATGCGTGCAAAGGCATGCACGTGAATATGATGGGTATGCCGCCACTGGAGAGCTCAGACGCAATTCCAAGAGACGACGAGGAGAAGAGAGCATTACAAAGGGCCACCGAATTCATTGATACGGCATATGCATTTGCACTCGAGCAAGGCACAAGACCGGCCACGATCGGCCTGACCCTGAGTGCTAGTCCACTGGCACTGCTTAGTTGGTGAGATATAAGATACAAAAAGTATATCCTTCCTTGTAAGCTTGCTAACAATCAAGCAGGATTGGAGAGAAAATTCTCGAATGGACGGACGAAGATCCTCCGCTTGACAAGATTCTCGAAGGCGTAACATTGTATTGGTTGACGGATACTGTACCACGATGTTTCTACCATAATCGCGCGGTAAGTCAGATCAATCCTTTCTATCGTGGTAGACGAATGACTAACGGTACAACTTGCAGCTGGCTAACGCAGATGACAAGCCAAAGATTGCAAGGATTAGTGTGGTACGTGCTGGCCAAAATTTTTGATATATCGCAGACGAACTGATGATTGACCGTGTTTCAGATCACGAAACGGACAGCGCTGAACCTTCCACATGTCGAGAAACCTTGCGGCTACTCGATGTTTGCTCATGAGATCATCCCAATTCCCAAGAGATGGGCGGCCCTGACTTGTAACCTTGTGTCATTCAATCAGCCCGAGAGGGTTGGTCATTTCGCGGTAAGTGAAATCGCTTGAGCCATATATTAGCCTTTTCTGACGCTGTATAGGCTATGGAGAAACCAAATGAGCTGCTCACAGACGTCGGGGAGTATATCAAGAAAGCCTGGAAAGCCATTTAGGTGCTGACAAGAATTCACCGTTGTCTAATTAGGCGGGGGGTGTGAAATGTATGCTGCCCTTGACTTTTGAGGAGGTTTCAATGGGCAACTGATGGACAGGTTCCATCTCCTGCTTTCGCCTCAGAGGTTCTGCGGTCACCCCAGATCTTCCTCTTACCTGCGAGGCTATGTGCTCGATGTAGTCTCAACGGTTTTAGCCTCGGGTGGCTTAGTACAAGGTCGGTTAGTAATAACAATTCCCTTATTATTTGTATAGGGCACCATTTCTAGTTCCATCAAAGTCGCATAGGTAGGAAGTCAAATATCGGATGGGGAGAGGACCGGGTTAGCGTTCTTAGCCTCGAGGGAAATCCGCCTGATGGCCTGGTATGGGGTTATTTCAGCATAGGTAGGCGGCCCGCAAATTCCCCAAACGGCACGGGTTCTCCAGATGCGGAAGCCTCCCCATTGATACAACTTCTCGCTATAAAATACACCTGGGATTTAGTCGACAAGAGCAAACGAAGCAGTCTTGAGTTTAGAACCAGAGAACAGCGAAGAGGCTTTGACCGTGATCTTCTCATACTAAGACATCCATTGATCCTACCCCTTCTGCGCAGTTACCAGGGCTTCTATAGGAGCGAACACGAGGAGCCGTACGCGCAGCACAACTACACAAAGCAGCACCAATCATCATGTCCGAACCGACGACGATCAAAGTGTCCTTGTCACAGTTGGCCAAAATGATCGATCACTCTCTTTTACACCCGACCATGACGGATCAGGAAATCCAGGCCGGGTTGGAAATTGCAAAGAAATACCAGACGGCTACGGCTTGCGTCAAGCCATACGCGATCGCCCAAGCAAAGAAAGCCCTCGAGGGGTCAGGCGTTGCGGTCTGTCCTGTCATTGGCTTCCCTGCGGGCAATAGCACTATTGAAGTGAAGGTCTTTGAAGCACAGAAAGCCGCCGAAGCAGGTGGCGCAGAGATCGATATGGTGGTCAATATCGGCAAAGTCCTCTCCGGTGACTGGGACTACATAACCACCGAAATCGCAGCAGTCAATTCGGCAGTGCGGAATCGAGGGGCGATATTGAAAGTCATCTTCGAGAACGATTTTCTAGAAGATAGGCACATCATCAAACTGTGTGAGATTTGTTCTGCATGTGATGTTGCCTTCGTCAAGACATCAACTGGTTATGGGTTCGTCAAGCAACCCAATGGCATGTACACGTACAAGGGCGCCACAGTGCCTCATTTGAAGCTCATGAGACAGAACTCTGAACCCAAAGTCCAGGTCAAAGCAGCGGGTGGAGTGCGGACGTTGGATGATTTGCTCTATGTCATGTCCATAGGTGTTACGAGGATAGGAGCCACCGCCACCGTTGCGATTCTGGAAGAGGCGAAAAGGAGAGGGATAGGTGACCAGCCAGTTGAGGTGGAAGTCAAGCCCATGGCGGGAGCAACCACCGATGGAGCGGCTTACTAGAGCTGATGATAGAGTAGGTCACTACTGGACTGGACAACAAGGGTGACATAGGCAGTCCACAGCAGATCTATAGCATAACCAAGCTGAACTACTACGTGTACAGGCACACTCAGAGTGCCGCCGAGATGCTCGAGGGCTGCACTTGGCTGCATTCATGGCTGCCTCCAACCTTCTTATGCTTCCCCGTACCAGATTACCACGGCGAATCACCGAGCCGCATTTTGCGGGGAAACGCAAATCGCGGTGGATTTGGAGATCACATCGACAAAATTTCAAAAGGTGCGCCCTGATCAGTGTGAAGCTTCGTCTCTCGTTTTCATGTTCTACAAGTCGCCAATATGGAGACTGGCATTTCGAAGACCCCCGCGCCAGGTGCGCCCGGGACTCCCTCAACCTCGAACATTAACTCCGAGTCGAGGTCCCCAACTAACTCAAAAGGTGGAGCAGCGCAAGTTCGTGAACAAAAACACCGTGATCAAGATGCAAGACGTTCGAACCAGAATGCTGCTGCTGGGAGAGAAACCAGACGTGGTCGAGGGGGTCATCAGGGCAAGAAGAGAAATATGGGGAGGACGGAGTGGGCGTAAGTCTGTCCCTTCCCCTCAAATGTTCCCACAGAAGAGGTCTCTCTAGGCCCTGCTATGGACTTCATCGGATGCCACCTCACACTACATCTGGACCGTCAAGACTGACTTGCTAAGTAAGAACAAAGTAGACAAAAGGCAGCGGAACGAGGATGAACAAGCCGCCAAACGACAACGGGTCGACCAAGGCAAGGACGAACTGCCCATTTACGCTACAAAATTCAGCGATGAAGTGCTTGCAGCTGAGGAGAGGAGACCGAAAAAGAAGGTTGCCGTGCTTCTTGGCTATGCTGGGACCGGTTACAAGGGCATGCAGCTGTAAGAGTCCCCGAGCCGCCGTTACTCTCGCCGTGGAGAGACTGACCTCCATGGAATGGAATCCAGAACGCATGATCAGAAAACAATTGAAGGAGACCTCTTCCAAGCCTTTGTGGCGGCAGGCGCAATCTCCAAAGCCAATGCTGATGACCCAAAGAAATCTTCTTTTGTGCGATGCGCCCGCACTGACAAGGGCGTCCATGCTGCCGGCAATGTCATATCCCTGAAATTGATCATTGAAGATGAAGATATTGTGCAGAAGATCAACGACAACTTGACTCCCCAGATTCGGGTTTGGGGCTATGAGCGGACGAACAACAGTTTCAGTGCCTATCAGATGGTCGACTCGCGGATATATGAGTATCTGATCCCGACACACAGTTTTCTCCCGCCGCACCCTAGCAGCTTTCTTGGAAGGAACAGCGAGAAGTGGGCGGAGAAAAAGGACGATCTGGAATGGTACAGAAAGAGGCAAGAAGAAGTGTTGGGATACTGGGAAAAGGTAGACGAGGAGATGATCAAACCGATCCTGGCAGAATATGACCAAGAGATCCGTGCTATACTGGAGAAGGCGCTGTGGCCGAAAGCGCAAGTTCCGAAGAATAGAGAGGACGGAGATATGCAACCGTCGAGTTCTACCGCTGTAGAAAAGGAAGTCGAACACCAGACTTCAGAACCAGGGCCTCCACAAGAGGTAGAAATCAAAGATGGAGATTCACAGGACCAGGATCTTGCAAATAACAATGGAAAACCCATCTCCACGGGAGGAGACTCAACAGAGCAGCCCAAACCATCCCGATCCCGCGTCCTCGACGAAGCTATGAAACGCATCCGGCAAGCCTACATTGCTGCCAAACGAGCCTATCGCATCCCCACTGAGCGTCTCGACCGGATCCAAGAGGCTCTCAACCTATTTGTGGGCACTCGCAACTACCACAACTACACCATCGAGAAGACCTTCAAGGACCCCAGCGCAAAACGAGTAATCAAATCCTTCCTTGTCAACAGGAAACCGATCATTATCAATGGGACAGAGTGGTTGAGCATGAAAGTTCACGGGCAGAGTTTCATGATGCATCAGATCCGCAAGATGGTCGGCATGGTCGCCCTCGTGGTGCGTTGCGGATGTGACCCCAAACGATTGATTGACAGCATGGGCCCTGAAAGACTCTCCATCCCCAAAGCTCCTAGTTTGGGTCTCTTGCTCGAACGCCCGGTGTTTGAATCGTACAACAAGCGCGCCAAAGACGCACTCGGCAAAGAAATCATCGACTTTGACAAATACAAGGACGCGATGGACAAGTTCAAGCAAGAGCAGATCTACGAGCGCATGTACCGGGACGAGGGGAAGGAGAATGTCTTTGGTAACTTCTTCAACCACGTCGACAACTTCCCCACCGAGACGTTCCTGTTCGTCACGTCCGGCGGCATCGAGGCGACCAAGACGAAGGCGCCGGTTGAGGGCGTTGGAGCGGTAGAGGAAGGGGGCAAGAAGATTGAGAATGCTCTGTTATTGGACAACGACGTGGACATTGGTGTTGTGGACGAGGATAGCGATGCAGACGACGCTGTCAGGGATAACCACGGAGACGAAGGCTGACCGACTGTCGTCGTCGGTTGTTGAGCGCGCTCGATAGATCGTCTGATACATAGACTTGAAAGCCAAAAAACAACAACGATTTTTCACGCCAGGTGGCCCGGCTCAAGGTACAGTGAGGGCCTGTCTATTCTACGAGCTTGAATTGCATTATACTACCTGTTTGTGACATTTGCGTTGCCCCACGCGTATCAATGGGATTCTGGAGGAGGAGCGAAAAGGGGTCGAGCCTTGTGCTTGGTTGGTGGTTTTGATGGTGAGTGAGCTCAAGCGTGTAGTACTCGCACCATTAGTCGCTGAGCATGAGGTAGCGCTTCCATACCAGGACGAGCAAGCCTGTTATGGCATGACGCCGAGAGATTGGTGTCTCCTTTGGTCTTCCTGCTGTTAATGCAGCCGGCAAGGTCTCTTCCTTGTTTCCTTGGTCACCTCTCTCGTACCTTATTCAAGGCCAGAGTCGTTCTGAAAGTCTGTTCCGGCCCTGACAAAGACCTCTTCTGAGACTACCCAACAACCGTCCTGTGATTTAGCCTCTGCAACCACCTTAACATCCTTTGTCAAAACATTGGCCGCAGGGCTGAAATGAGCCCCTCTTCGAATGAGATGTGAGCGCGATACGACATTGGTCGGGCATCCAGGCACGTATTGAACGTCTAAGAGAGTCATTCTTTTGATGCTTGTCGGAGAGCTGACATTTATGTTTGTAGATACTGATATCTCGGTCGCATAGAAGCCTACAAGGAAAGGGGGAATAGAGATACAGACATATGTAGACAGGAAAATGCTCGAGAGGCCCTGTAAATCGATGACGTTACGATTGGCTGCAGACAGCCGTCCTCGCCGTTTTAAACAGGAGCTGTCTTCTCGACGCCGCTTAACGTCGGGCTTGCGTCGGGCTAATCCTTGACGGAAAGTTAGCCGATCACATCACATGACCGTCGCTCCGGGTGCCTCCCGAGCTCCTATTTCCCTACCAGCAAGTATCACTGCCACTAACCAGTTGGTTACATCTCTTCCAAGCACTCCGCAGACAATCAATCAATATTCGGACCTTTCGTCCAACTCAGATCTGGCTGGATCCTGCCATAACGCAAGGAGCGCTACCACCTCCGTCTCAGAACGCCAGGTTTGATAGCAACTATCTCTACAAAAAGGTAGGATTTGCAACGGACTCGAGGTCACCCACCCGAGTTAGAACCGCTCTGGCCTCGTAACTGTCAGACGAGTTAGGGAGTTCTGATTGCATCGATTGATCTGTCTAACGAACTGAATACATTGTGTTGCGTTGCGTTGCGTTGCGGTTGTTGTATTGCATTGTATTGAGTACTGTGTCCATGCCTGCACGGATACAACCTTAAGGAGAAGAATTAATAAGGAAGGATAGGGATAGAAATCAACTTTGATCTCAACCTCAACCTCACAACACCCTCCTCCACCACTGGACTGACGCCCTTGCACACCACCACCGCGCTCTTCTCAGGCTCAGGCATAGGCACTGGCACCCTGTTTTCAGCCTTATCGTCCTTGTCATCCCTATTGCCAGAGACACTCCGATTCTACCTGGGAATGCAGACGGGCCTGAACCCCAATGCGCTGAATCAGGGCGAGTTCCCGGCCTGCCGGGGCAATGCCTACCGGTGTAAGTCGTGAACCAACCATGACATTCACTAGCCTCAAGGAAGACTGTCTACTCTGGTGTAACATAATTATCCAGTACGTCTGCCACGTCGAGAACCAGGCTACGGTCATATATCTCCAAAAGGTCGGGAGGACGGGCCACTTGACCACGCTCGACATCCTTCCTCCTCCTCCTCCTCCTCCTCCTCCTGCTGCTGCTGCTGCTGGTCTTCGAAATGCCATGTACCGCCGAATCTCCCTCTCCTGCATGCCTGTTCTCGCCATTATTGCTAGTCTCTCACTCTTCCCGTCTCAAACCACGCGCGCAAGTCTGACTCTCGTGGCCATACCCGCCATGCTCGTCCTCTCGCGCATCCTGTCAACCATCTCCCTCCGTGCCCGCACATCCCGCCCGTCATGGAACAGCGCCTCCAAAACGGGCGTCAAGAGGGATCTCCACGTCCTGCTTTCCGAGGACCGCTGGATCCGCATCAGAGGCCTCGCCGACAACTTGAAAGCAGTCACCTCAGGAGCGTGGCTGTCGCGCCTGACTGCGCATCCTGTGCCGATGGACGCGTTGGACTGGATCGCGCGTATGATGGTGTACAGTCCCGTGGTGGCGCTGAGCGGGCGGTGGCGCTGAGCGGGCGACTGATGCGGAGAAAGTCGTGCTGGTGGGAGCAACGGGGGCGAGTCATTTGTCGCTCATGTATGAGAAATTCCACGGTGGACGAATTGGTCATGAACGAGAGGACGGTCAAAGTGTTACGCTCGCCGTGTAGTGTCAAGAAAGTATCATCAAAGACGGTTGAATATGGCTGAGGAACTGGTCAGGGAGATGGCCAGGGGCGATTTGCTGTGAGGCTGGGGTTAATCACTACGGAGCAGGTACCAGAACCGTCGAAGAAACAGGCCGAGAAAGGCGCTGGTGGCCCTGCGCAGGAGGTAGTCACCATGTAATAGGTAGAAACTTCTTTTCATTGTAGCCTCGTGCTTTGGTGTCACGCGAGAACTATCCCTCAATTTCAAACGTTGTCCTCACACCCATGGCCGCCAATTCAACATCCAGATACCTCAGTACGCCTGGCACATTGACCACAGTGGTATTATCACCGCCTACGAACTTTCTCCCTGCTCCATCCTCCCACACCTTAACCTTAGCGTCATCAAAAGTCGCGGGTCTCGCACAAGCCCGACACCTTACCATGCCGCTCGGCTCGACTCTGCCCCCCTTCTTTTTAACGGTGAATTGGTTCGGCACCATCATGGTGCTCAAAAAGCTGCCGCAAGTCCGACACACCCAGGCCCGTTGCTTGTCGCTGCAGTCCATCAGACGATCTTGGAGCAAGTACGCACAACCATGGGCGATCAACGAGTCACGCTCCATTTCACCGACACGAATACCGCCGCCTTTGGCTCTGCCTTTGATCGGCTGGCCATGCAAAGCATTCACAGGCCCGGTCGTGCGCACCTGGAACTTGTCGCTGACCATGTGCCTCAACCGCTGGTAGTAGACCACCCCGATGTAGATGTCGGCCGCAAACTCCTTGCCCGTGATGCCACTGTACATGGGCTCATTGCCGTAGAAGTTGTAACCGGCCTGCAGTAGCTGCTCACCAAAGTAATTTCCAGCTGTATTGTCCTCGTCAAAGGAGAATGGTGTGCAATCTTGGGCAAGGCCATGGAGAGCTCCAGATTTACCGGCGAGAGACTCGACGAACATGCCAATGGTCATTCGAGATGGAAATGCGTGCGGGTTGATAATGACATCTGGTTGAATTCCGGATTCACTGAATGGCATGTCCTGGCTCGGCCAGAGCATGGAACAGACACCCTTTTGTCCGTGCCTCGAAGAGAATTTGTCCCCGATAACAGGTCGTCTAGGAATCCTGTACTTGATGCTGATCGCCTGACATGGCTGATCCCCTGTCTCGGAGCCGATTATTCTGATTTGGTCAATGTAAGCTTCCTCGGTGTCCTTGTATTTGAAGTACATGGTGTTCCCGTCCAAGTTTTTGAGCTTTCCTTCCGACGGATCGAACATGACACTGTGGTAGGCTAGAACTATTGACCCCTCGCCAACCTTTGTCCCGATTGCGGGTAGGCCATCAGGATCAAGCGCCTGAATCACCTCTTGTGAGATGTTCGGGTCGCCTTCAGCAAAACCGAAAAGTGACTTGATCTCGGTCTTTGACCGAGCTGCCCTAGAATCCTCATTGAGCCGGTAAACTTTGGTCTTGTAGATGACGCCATCACCGAACCCTCGCTCATGAGAGGATTTGTTAATTATCATGGCATCGTCCATATCGTAGCCGGTATACGAAATGACCGCCACGACGGCGTTCATCCCGTTGGGGAAATTGTCCAGTCCATACTCGTTGTACAGGGGAGGTCTTACAACTGGGGTTTGCCCTGTCTGAAGCAGATACGCTTTGTTGTCTGTTCGGCACATCATGTTCGAGGAAGGAGTCCCCATGGCTTGCTTGCTCATCTGGCACTGGTACATGTTTCGAGGCGATTGGTTGAAATCTGAAAAAGGGGTCATATTGGCGAGAATTGACAGGACATTTGTGGGCTTGAACTCAATATGCGTGGTCAGAGTGGGTATGATATCCGCATCCACACAAGCAATGTTCATATATTGCTGCTCAAATGGCCCGATGTAGTCAAGCTTATCAGACGGGATGTACTTAACGGGGCGTAACATTCGTGATGGAGAAGTGAAGAGGTACAAACCAGGATAAAGACCGCCGTTCGAGGTAGGGACATGGCCTATTTCTAGCTCGTTGGGGATGTTGTGCTCTCCATTCACCTTCCAGTGCCGCAGAAGCTGGGCAATTTCTCTTGCCCTCTTTGCCCCGCAGTATCCTAGGATACGACCATCGAGCTGGATGGAAAGGCTCTCATTGACGGCCATTGAAGGCACGGAAGACACTCCGAGCCGAAGCACTGCTTTCTCAATACCCGAAGTGTCGATCTGCTTAATTTGAACCTGGCATTGGTGAGCTAAGTGGTTCAAAAGTCCGCATGGGGCACCGTCAGGAGTGTGAACAGGGCAAAGAAACCCCCAGCTTTCAGGTAACAGCTTGCGGACAGTGGTCGTTTTCAATTGAGCAAAAAAGGCACCTCGATGTATACACCGGAAGTGGCTGATGAACCGATAAAAATTGATTTTCTCGGCCATGATTGTATAGCCTGACGTCTGAGACTGATCGAGACCAGTTTGACTAACCAGGTTCCCCGTGGAGAGAAAGTACTCCAGCTTTCCTGCAATGTTTTCGTTTGTCCTCCGTACTATTTTGGGAAGGAAATCAGTCTCAAAGGAGGGGTCTGTGAATTTGGCGTCGCTCTTAGCCCTGACCCAGTCTCGGGCCATAGCACCGATGCCCACCAGCCACTCGTAGATGTTTTCCTTCAAGATCATACCGTAAAGGAAGCCTCCAAGCAGGATCTCTTGACTGGAGACTGCATCAGGGTTGTCCAGAGCACAATCGCCCGCAGCAAGGGAGTAGAGCTTTCTGATCATGAACAGAATGAGCTGAAACTTGTCGTTGTTCTGGGACGGCGTGACGTCGACGTTACCGAGATGTGGTAGAACAATCTTCCTCAAAAACTCCTCGCCCACTTTCTCATCGGGCATCGTTATAGGCTGCATTAGAACAGGACGAAATTTCTCCCCGAGATAAGCCAGTGTCTGTGCTCTTGTTTTGAGGTTGTACGCCTTGTACGTCCGCAGGAGAAGCTCCGCCCGGTCGGCGACAAAAGAACCGGGCGTTTTGTTAGAGGATGATGTGCCAATGATACCCTCAGCAATCTCCCGGTCGTTCGTCTCTACCAGAGCTTTCAGGATCATGACTACAGGAACCAGATACTCATTCTTCCTCCACGAAAATCTGAAAGTGACATTTCCGTCTGTCAGGTAGTGGAGAACGTTGGTATGCGAGGTCTGATCAGGTCTCACGGATCGAATCGAGATTGCGAGCTTCGAAAAGGTAGGCCCCCTCGCGGCAAATGCGGGTCTCGAAATGGCCATGGGGTAATTCCTCCTTGTTGCTATCAGCATGCGGATGAGCTTTTCATTCCCATTGACAACGAAATAGCCGCCCATTTCTTCAGACTCCTCCTTGTGGCGTACCATCAGTGCGGGTGAGAATTTTTCGAGGTGACATCTGTTGGACCGCAACATAATTGGCATTTGTCCGAGATCTCGAACGGATTCCTGCCAATCGCCATTGTTCACCCTGTACTGTAGCCTTGCTCTTAACTTTCCTCTGTAGGTTGTGTGCCGCTCTCGACATTCGGAAGGGTATATGTTCCGGTCTCCAATGCTGAACTTATTGCTCGGAGGAAGGGTGGGCTTCTCGAGTATGACTTCTGTCACTCTCAGATCAAGCCTATTGCGATGGGTTGTTCGGCTCGGGTTTCGTACATCGCCATCGACCACTGTATAGATTCCAATGTCTCTAAGTCCCGCGTCGACGAGGTTATCGTCCCAAAGGGCATTGAAGGACTCAATATGAGGCTTAACTGCCGCTTGAAGAGCTGGAAAGGCACTGCGATCTTTCGGCGTGTTTCTGAAGAGCTTATGGCGGCGCACAGTGTCGTACTCAACGGACCATTTGGTGCTGGTACGTGTCGTAGTCGCCGACATTGTTTTAGGCAGTCACCGTGACCGCTAAATCTCGTTCATGCAGAGGGTGGGGCAGATGAGCAAAGAGATGCAAAAGCGGGACAAGAAAGCAAGCACTCTAACACCAGCGCTGCCCGAACGCGAGGTTCGATCGTTGTATTCAAGTTTCAAATAGAAGTAGTTGAAAAAAGTTCTATGCGCAGACTCCGCAGCCCTTATCGATATGGGAGCCTCGCGCATAAAGGAGCTAACCTGAATTAGACTAGTCGAGCTTTCCAAGCTGTGTTTGACGAGGCTGGCTTTTCTTCGCTCTCACATATGCAGCTCCTCTGCTCTAAGGGCTCGCCTGCGATAGATCTTATCGTTGTACAAATAGTGAAAAGATACTTCCATTTCTTCCAGCAGACGATAATCCAACCCTCGACATGTCCTTCGCACGAAGAGCGCATAGTTCGACACTCTTCCACTCAGGACGGGGCTCTGGTCGTTTGACCGTTTCGCTGACTGAAGCTACACCTCAGTCTCACCTATATTCACATGGATTGAACATGATGGATTCATTTAGGCTCAGCGCTATTGGTTCTCCTCTTGATGAAGCAGTAAATTCATTCACTCTATTGAATGTCTCAAGAATGTCGGAAACAGGCACTGAACTTTGAAGCAGATAGAGTTTTTCCTACTGGGTCTCAGTTAAAGAATGATAAAAGGCACATCCATGTCAGAACTGATCATTCGAGCGACTGAAAGGTTTCCATCACGGTTGATATCCCTCTCCCGAAAAATACCTCCGCTTTTCCGCTTTGATGGCGATGCATTTCAACACGAGGCACATTCCCCAAAGTCAGATCCCCAAATCCTTGGTAGAAAGAGCACCCCTCTTGAGCAGGCCGACCATCAACGGACTCGAGTCCCCAGTGATCTCGATCCTCTTCACGGCAAAGCTGTCTCCGTGTTTGACATACTGAAATCGATATGTGCCGGGGGTAGCCAGGTCCCACGTCTTCCCGTCCGCATCGGTCTTCTTCGACTCTCCCTCGCCCGGCTCGCCCGGAAGGTTGCCCCAGAGGGTTGCTTTACCAATCATCTCGTAGCCAGAGTCGATCTCGTAGCAGTTCAGATAGAAGGCTTCGTGACGCCAGCCGGGCAACGGGCCATACAGGGCTTTGAGGGCTTCGATGCCTTTGTCACGGCCCTCGTACACAGTCCCGTCCGGCCCAACATACGTAAGGTCTGGAGCATACCATTTCGGATTGAAGGACTTTGTGTCGTAGTCGTCTCGGAAGCGCTCCATGAATTCCATCACTGGAAGTTTGCGGGTGGTACTATCGAAGTCGCCATAGTGGATAAAAGCAGGCTTTGTTGGGACCGCCATTGTTGAACAATAGTTGAGGAGGAGTTCTGAGGATGAGCTTTCGAAAGATCTTGGTCCAGCGATGTTCGAAATCTCGCAGCAAGAGCAGTCAACACGGTCAAGGGCAGAAGAGGGTGGGAGGATAAACCCTGAGGCAAGTGTCTTTTATCTCTCTCAAGTTGGGCACCACAAGGTCGGTCATTCTGGACCTTTTAAAATACGATCTGTCCAGCCGGTAAAGCTGGTTCAGGCCGCGCGCTGTGAGGGGTCTGCGTGAATGTGTCCCTGGGAAACACAACATATTGGACGGCCAAGGCGCTCATACCAATCAAGTCTGCCCGAAGTCCCTGCTGGAGCAGATTTATCGTGTCCGGACCGGCGAGGATATGTCAAGAGGACGGTTCAAAAGGATACGAAGTGGGGGAATTCGTATAGTTCTCAGCTGAGAGCGTGGTCAGCAGCATCAATTCTAGCACGGATCGTTACTGGCTGGCAGAGGCTCAAACCATGGTGTTCATTCCGCGCGAAACCACGAGACTGGGCAAGTAATGCCTGACCGAGCCTTGCAAGTTACAGGGGCAATCTCATTGCTTGCCCTGTTCTTGTGTTGAAATCTCGATGGCATGTCCATGCTCAACGTCCACGGTTAACCAATGACAAGAAGTAACAAGACACATGGTAGTGTACAACTCCGCGTTTAACATGCTATGTATTCGCGAATGAAACTAACAAAACGGAAAGACCATAGAAAGTCCCCTCCTGATTAGCCAGACCCATTGCGCTCAAAAAGCTTCCCTCATGACCCTCTGGCGTTTCAAGATTCATGCCAACCAAACCCCATCGTCAAATCTATACTCTTTACAGCCCTTATGCACCGGTCAAGTATTTGACCAACTGCTCCCGCTCACTCGTGGGCACAAGGCTCAATACTTCACGAACACCCTTCAATCCACCTTCCTTGTTACCCATCAATAACTCGGCGACCCGTTTGCTGATCGCCTCTGTTTTGACGGCGTCAATCTTGGCATACACCTCCTTCCTGTGGCTCTCGTACCACTCAGCCACCTTGCGGTCATCTTTCTCGAACTCGGCATCCAACAGACCAGACCAGTTCTTGAGTGTGGCTAGGTTCTGCTCTCTTTGTGTCATGCCATTGACGGTGGTCACCGGAGCCTGGCCTGCAGCCAAGCTGCTGTTAAGTTTCTTGAGAAGGACCTCCTCAGACAATCTCCTTCGAAGACGCCAGTAGAAGAAACGCCTGGCATTCTTCCATTCCAAAGGCATCCGGATTGTTCCCTTGGCCTGCATACGTCCAGCACGGTCGTGCAGATCGGCGAATTGGAGGGCGATTTGCAGGTAGATCGGTCCAAGGAGTTGCTCACGCTCAGTCATCTTGGCTTTGATAGCGTTGAGTTGCTCAGCACTCAAGTTTTTGGCGAGAGACTGAGCCTTAAGTCCGGCATATATGGGATCCAAGCGGGCCATGGTCTCCAGCTGTCTCTCTTTTCGGTACTTGATGCCAACAATACCCTCCGGCTCCAAAACACCACCACGCGACTCAATGTCCGCATACATCTCCATCTGTTCAGGGTTGATGGTTGGATCAACAACGACCTAGCAAAATGTATTAGTATTGATCGGCAGAATATGGGACGGATGTAAACTTACCCATGAACCACCACGGAGCTCACCGAAAGGAGGAATGTAGACGAAGACCGGCTGCTCGTACTTGACGAGGGCGTCGACGATGTACGAACCATATTTGAGCACCTCGTTGTACATGTCTCGCTGACCTCCAGAGAAACCACGCCAGTTGGCAAGAATCATACATGGGAGTTGCTCTCCAAAGTTGAAGTCTCTCAGGGCTTGTGCGGTCTTGAAGGCGGAGTTGGGGAACCACACACCCCCCGCCTCTTGCACAATTTGCTCCATAGAGTCAGCATTTGCAGGGTCGGCAGGCGTGACGTTCTCGACAGTGCGGGTCTCAACTGCGATCACACCCATGGGGATGCCACCCAGTCGAGCACGACCCACAACCACGGTTCTGGCCCAGCCACCTAGAGCTTCTTGGAAGGAGTCCTTGTCGAAAAGACCAGACAGGAAACCTTCCTCATCCTCCTTGCCACCGATGAGGTGCCTCACGTCGTAAGGTCCCTTCGGTGGGTAGAATGTGATGTCGCGATCCCAGGGGTCTGACGGCGGGCTGACTGGAACTGGTTGTCCCTTCTTGTCGGGGACAAAGGACAGCCATTCCACAATCTTCTCGACACCTTGGAAGTCATCACTGGCAGTCATGTGGGAAACACCGTTCTTGTACATGATTTGGGTCCCACCGAGCTGCAAATTTGAAGTGTAGACTTCCTTGCCCAGCACCTTGTTGAGGGCAGGGGCACCAGTCAGGATAATTGGTTGACCTTCGATCTGAATAGCACGTTGACCAAGACGGACCAGGTAAGCGCCGATGCCAACGGATCGACAGGTGACAAGAGTCAAGGTAAAGATGTCCTCATAAGCCCTAGATGTAGCCCCAGCAATGAGACCAGAGCCACGCAAGCATTCCACGCCCAGTCCGTCCTTGGCACCAACAATGGTCGTGATCTTGTGTCGCTCCTCGCCATCCTCGACAATCTTCTCGGTGATGATGTCGGTCTTGCTCAGCAACTCTCTCTTCTGAGGAGTCAGATAAAGATACTTGAAGCCAGAGCTTGGGTTCGACTCGTCGTTCCATGCGACAGAGAAGTGAGGAATAAGTTCCTCGGCCATACCAATACGGGCACCAGAGTTGGCGGAAAGATAGATACGGGGAATACCAAGTTTTCGGGCGTATTCTGTGCACTTGTTGAAGAACTTGTCCTCGACAGGGCCGAAAGAGCCGATCTGGTAGGTGATATCGTTGGCAATGATGATGAATTTTCTGCCTCTTGGGTATTCTGGAGTTTTGGCGGTCAAAATCCAAGCGACCATACCGCAATTATTAGTACCCGGTTCACGGGACACCTCGGTGACATTATCACCATCATCGAGGATCAGCTCGTTATACTCAAGGCAAGTCGCAATCTCCGGTTTGGACTCAGCGAGCGGAGCATGTTTCGCGACGGCCTTGTTCCAGCTGTTGTAGATGGCCTGTCTGAACAGCTCAGGGAAATCGTACACATACTGAGTGCCCATAAGGTGAGCCTTGTAACGTTTCGGCTGCAACCACTCCTTGGTTGGGTAAGGTGTGGAAACAGGGCGCAGATGCATGGCACCAATCATGGTGGTGCCACCGATGCTCTCAAATACCCATTCGCCATTGCGCGCCTTCTTTTCGACATATGTCTCAACTTTGACGACATATCCAGAAGTGTTCGTGATGATGACGCGCAAAGGATATGGCAATCCAGTCTCGGGGTCTGTGCAAAGGATTCTGATCTCCGCGCCAGTGACTCGAAGGCGGAGGAATTTGCGAGAGAAGCGTTCCAAGAAGCCTGCAACTTGCTCCTCCACGTCTCTAGGTTGCAAATTGAACACCGGAGTGAAGTTGATAAAGATGTGGTTCAAATCAGAGTTGTTGTTGCCGATGATCTCAAGAGCGTCGCAGATGTCGTTGACCAATCGATCAGTCTCCGAGATAAGGTACTCGGCAGTAGGGATCTCATCCTTGAGACGTCCCGGTCGAACCACAGCACGAGTGAAGTAGCGCTTATCAACGACCTTGTCCCTATCGTCGCCCTTGCCGATGGCCTCATAAATGTGGATATTTCTGTTTTCTGTAAAGACCGGTTTAATCTTGAACTTGGACAACCTTCCAAGTTCAAGCTGGAAAGCAAGGGCAGGTTCATTGTGACGAATGCTCACGTCTTCCTCGTACGTGGGCCCACGGAAGGTGAAGTATCCAGGGTAGGTACCTTCTTTGTGGCCACAGATGAAGGTGATACGACGGACCTTGCGAGCCAACAATTCCGACTTGTACTCGTCGATCAAGCTTTGTGCACGATTCAGAATCTCTTCGTCGCTTAGGTTTTCAATATCACGGACGGCAATGTTACAGACGTTGGTCAACTCGTCTTCAAGGGTTTCCGACCTTTGTGGCTTTCTCTGGCTGTCGAGGGTCGGCATAAGATGTTGTGTAGTAGAGCGCTTCTCTAGCGCCCCCTTGGGGAATGCCTCGAGGGCGCGAGCGAGACATTCATCGACTTCGTCGAGATAGTGGCAAGGGGCAATGACACCCTTGCGGGAAGGCTCGTCGTCTCCTTGCAGCTTGTTGAGGTATGACAAGTCACTGACGGATGCAATACGTTTGAACTGATTGCCGTTCTGCGAAGGAGTTGCCTGTCCTGATGGGTATGAAGATGCGAGTGGCAGCCCGAACTCTGATTGTCCAACTTTGCGAAGGACAAAGTCCCATGAGAGGTAAAATGGCGGCTCAACATCGTTGTGATACTCGACTTCCTTGACAGTGTAGGCACGGTAGGCACGTCGCACGTACACTTCGAGAGCGGCGAGACCAACCCATGGATCATGATGAGCGAAGAAGAGGGGCAACACATCAAAGACGGTGTAACGAGAGTCCACTACTTCCCTCAACACGTCTAGATCCGGCTCCCGATGCTCCCAGCCGGTCTCTCCATACTTGGATTCAACCACGGAAGATTTGAGGATATGCTCCATCTGAGACGCTCTCTCCTCCAGAGAAGGTAGGGCACAGAGAATGAGCAGCTCGCGAGCCTTGAGCGCAACCTTCGCAGTTGCACGTGATTCGAGCTCAGTGAGTCGGCGCAGAGCTGGTCTGAAGTATTTGCCAACGTTTCCAACATTTGGTTGGTTCGGTCTGTAAAGATCCAAAATGGCGACGATCAAATTGTTCTTGGCAGACACGCGGGTATGGGAGAGGACAGTCCAAACCACTGAGGAGAGATCATCTTTATTCTGCTCCCGAAGTTTCAAGATCACGTCTTCATCTCTAGCGGTGCCAGAAGCAAACAGTTTCTCAACTTGATAATACTGGTCGAGAAGCCCAATGAAGACGTTGTATTCTTGGA